GCCACCCTGGGGGTGGCCCCCTTCCTTCCCCTAGTATATAGACAACTAGCTAGACGTCTATAGAAATCAGAGTTCACATCAATTTCAACCTGAGTATTCTTGTACTCGCATCCCCGCGAAGAATCCTCTTGAAGCAAGGGTGACAGATCCCGCGATGGTGGCAGTGATGATTGCGCCCACCACTAGCCACGAACTCTTGCTCGCAGTCACACTTCGCGCTTCCGTTTGATTCCCAGCGCTGGCGGATAGGCGGGGCGCAGCTGGCACAGAAAGCTCGATGACGACCTTTGAGATCCAGACGCTCGGCAACGCAGACTTCAAAAGCAAAGTACGCACTCAAATCGATGTAATATGCTACTCGATGCGTTGGATTGTCAGAAAGGTTGACCTTGCAATGCTTGTGGGGATTAACGTCCAACTCTAGTCAACGCCTTCACTCAGGTTGCAGCACTACAACCTAGGATCAACAACTCATATGCTAGAAAGCTACTCCGAACATCAGCTGTGGAGAGCCCAGCTGAAAACTCAGCTGTGCAGTGTTCAGCTGAACTTACTAGCGCGCCACCCAGGGGTGGCCCCCCTTCCTTCCCCTAGTATATATACAACTAGCTAGACGTCTATAGAAATCAGAGTTCACATCAATTTAACCTGAGTCCTTCTAGATCGGTGCCATACCTCGCAGACGCGATTTGGACAGAGGGCACATCAGGTCTTGAGTGGAAAGTTGTCACATCGGCTCCCTCATCTCTGTGAGAGTGCTGCTTGATCGATAGCAACTGTCGAGTAATATGGGAAACGAATGTCGGGTTGTAGCTTGTCGCATTCGTTGGAAAAGGGGAGCCGGTGAAATGGCCGTCGCGCTGGGTCATCGTGGACCGTGTTCCACATCTTCTGGCAGCTCCGGGTGAGATTTAGGAGGTCTCGTGGCTCGAGGTGGGTCGTTATTGCACAGAGGAGGCCGTACTGCGATAGTATCTCTACGAGCTGATCCTCCGAGGAATGCTTTTGTACGCTGGCTATCTGCTTCGTCGTAGTAGGCGCCATCGGAGATGAATTAGTCAGATCTAGGATTTCTGGTCGTGGCCGGGCTTTGGTTGAAGAGCTGAGAAGGTAGTGATGTTGAAGAAAATCGGCAAGTTATTTGTGCAAGGCCCCTCAACGGTACCATGGTAGAACACATGCAAGTGAGCTCCGTTTACCTAAAAGCGTCCTCTAGCGTCTAGATCCTTTGCTCTGGCGGTTTGATATCTCACTCCGATCTCACGTGCGATCAGGCGCTGGCACACAGCAATTGCAAGCCAGTCATCACCAGTTTACGCCCGGGCGGTTACGACCTGCAACTCATGCCCACGTCACAATCTAGACGACCAATGAATTGGGAGAGACAAAGTCACATGGATCCAATGGCGTGAATTCCGCCCCACTGGGCATCAATCTGCCTTGCGGCGAATGTCTCAGCCTTGCCAGCAGCGAGATATATAGAACTAACCCGAGTTCAACCACCTCTAGAAAACAGCTAGAGTCCACATGTTCATTAAAGCGGACCTAAAACGAATACTTCCGCCATTTATTTCGAGGAAACTCAGCCTAACAAAAAATGTCTTCGTACCAATATGATTCGACCATTCCCTCGGAATCACGCTTTCACTTGGGATTCCACTCCACAAGATCAAACATCCCAAGCCTGTCGGAATCGAGCTGGACCTTTCTAGGATTTCTCTGCCACGTACAGTTCAACTATCTTGATTTCCTACCTATCACATGGCACGCCGCAATGGAGCAGGTGGGGATCGGTGGCACAGCCTCGTTGCGTGAGCGCCTAGTGAACATATCGCAGAGTTTCGTTTTCAAACGCGTACATCCTAGGCATTTCCCTCAGCACGCGAAGCAAACGGCAGAAAGTCTAGTATTCAAACTTTTGGTGAAGGAGATTTACGTCGCAAGTCATGGGGATCTGTTTGTCTGTGAGAACGTAGTGAATCTGGAAGGGGTCAGCTGGGACATAGAAAACGACGTCGACGAAAAGGCCTGGCCCGTGCTCGTTTATGAGAAAGCAAAGTATGGGAGCATAAAGACATTTATCGAGGAGAAGAGCAGCGGGCTGGGGATCGAGTTGGGTTTTTCAGAGCGACTGGAATTGTGTGCACAGATCGCACGTGGAATTGGATGTATGCACAGAGCTGGTAACTTGCTACTGGCCAATTTTGGGAAGATATTGCTGATACGCCTCCAGGTATCATCCATGGCGATGTCAAACCCGACAATGTTGTTATCTTCGGGGATTCGGAAAGTGGTTTCACTGCCAAGATCACTGATTTTGGATACTCCACAGTCTGCATCGATATACAGGATGGAAGCCGCCTGAGAAAAGAAGGTACTCTAGAAAGTGGAATTTACCTCACCAAGCCCTCTACCTGGTCCCATCCAGATCGCCATGATGAGAGTTACTCTTTCCAAGAGGCGGTCCTCGAGGAAGTCTATACATTCGGCATGACCTGTTTCTGGGTCCTTTTCAATCGACATGCGGCGTATCCGGATCAGGAAGAATTGAGGAAGAGAAAACACGCAGGCCAAATGCCAATGTTAGCTTTCGAATTGGCTCTCACTTCTACGGAGAAACCGACCGCCATCCAAGCTGCATTCATGCAACGGTTGTTTAGAGTCACGTTAGCACATGACAAATATGAGAGAGCGACATTGCCGGAGATTATTAACCTCTTCGAAACAGGGAGCATGCCAACAGAAGTCAATGGATGTCAAACCTTCGACATTGTGCAGCCACAGCCAGCCGAGTTCAGAGATCCTACCTTCCGGGTATGTCCCTGCTTGGCCAAGAATAGATCGAAATATACTAATATATTTTGTATTGATTTATAGCTCCTCGACTCGGTTTCACAACTACTCGCGGTAGACTACCGAGTCCGAGTCTATATTCGACATTGCATCTCGAAATTCCTAGAGGGACTCAAGGAAGGCACAGAAATGTACAGCCGTGCACATCTGGAAATGGCTTATTGTTATGCGTTAGGATTTGGGGGCGAAGCAAGCAAAGAGAAACGTGATATGCATCTCCAAAAGGCGGATGTAAGTCTCTCCGAGGCTGAAGAACAAATCCACAAACTTCGACATGCGAAAGGCCCAGAGTTTGATAACAACAAATTTCTAGATGCGATGAAGTCTGGTTTAGTTCCCCCACTTGACATAGCACAGGCACTTCGCGACGTGCCCACATCTTCAGACCTCATAACACCCATGAAGCAGGAGATCGAAAGCCTAGAGGAAGTTTTTGGGTCCACGCACACGAACATTGTGCATATGAAGGCGAACTTCGCGAGGCTGCTCGCAGAGCATGGCTATGTTGCCTCGGCTCGAGAGATGCTCTCTGTGTGTCTCAATGCGTTCGAAGCAAGCTCCGGAGAAGAAGATGATATGGATCGACTCTTCATCAAAGCCCAACTCACTGAAGCTGATGTTAGCGTAGGCAGATGGAAAGAGGCAGAAACCTTAGCACGGGAAGTATTGGAGGAGAGCATTGCAATTCATGGAGAGAGTCACGCAGAAACCATTGTTGTCAAGAACCAGCTGGCGTTGATGCTTTCAGACCAGGGTCGCTGGGACGAAGCCGTGTCGATCCAGAAGGCAATCCTACAGTACCAGGAAGAGCGTTTGGGTCCGAACCACCCCATCACTCTTCAGTTCACTTCCTCCCTTGTTCAGTCACTCATTGAACTCGGCAACTACGACGAGGCGGAACACTGGATGAACAAAGTTGTCACGACCCGAGACGCCGTTTGGGGCAAAGATAGCCCAGATACATTGCTCAGTTTGATGGACGAAGCCCGCCTGTTAGACGCTAAAGGTTGCTTCAAAGATGCTGAGAGCCTTGAAAGGGAAGCCCTGGAAGGATGCAAGCGCTTGCTTGGGCAGGACCATCTTTACACGCTTGATTGCACGATGAATCTTGCCCAGAGTATGATTCTTCGGTACGATCTAGAGGGAGCTGAACAACTTGCCGAGGAATGCGTTGCTGCTTATACCCGTACACGGGGAGCACAACATCCGGACACCCTCCGCTCTATGGGTTCTTTGGCGATGGTGTACAAAGAGTGTGGAAAATGGAGGGAATCTGAACGTATGGACCAGCTTGCTTTGCACAATCTGAGAGATACGCTGGGTCCACTCCACCATTTCACTCTGCAGAGTATGAATGGGCTTGGGCATGACTATTGGAAGCTCAATAGGTTGGAAGAAGCTGAAGAGCTTTTGGTGCAGGCGGTTCGAGGTCAAACTGATGTACTTGGGGAAGAGCACAGAGACACACTCGACAGCCGGAGAATTCTTGCCAATGTTTACGCGGACCAGAAAAAGTTGGATCTAGCAATGACAACATTGGAAGCCGCTCTGCAGGCATCGATCAAGGCATTAGGAAAACAACATCGCGATACCTTGAGCACGGCTCATAATCTAGCAACGATCTACGATGATTTGGGCGACATCCACAAAGCTATAAAGCTAGAAGAGGAAATACTTGAGATATGCAGGAGTTCCCTTGATCCAGATGACGGCGTCCTGCTTGGCACCGCCTCGAACCTTGCCATGTCGTACTTAGATTTCCAGAATCAAAAGGCACGGAGAAGCACTCATATTGGCAGAGGAGGCTGTCAGAGGAAGGATGGCAATCGGCGAAGGAGAGTACCTTTCGCACGCCCAGAATACACTCGCTCACTGCTATGTTGCTTTAGGGAGACTAGAAGACGCGAAAGAGATGCGTGAACTTGCTTTAGCGTCTCGGCTAGAGGTGTTTGGAGAAGATCATGAGGATACATTGATGTGTAGGCAACTGTTACAAGAGGTTGGGGAGAAGATTGCGCAAAATGCAGATCCGATGGAGACTGGTATTTAATAGTTCCCGAGCTCTATGCCGCGGTTTACTAAGTTCAGCAGGAAATCGTCTAGAGTAGCAGATCCAGTGATTTCGAACAGGACCTGTATCATCCCTTTGTTCTTCCATCAGAACGGCCACGCTAAGAAGAGAGTCTATTACACCTCGTAGTGGACGGTGTAACTGAGGCATATTGGTTCTCAAATCATTATCTTGCACAAAACATTCGGACATCAGCCATGACAGCTTTTACCTTTTTCCTACTTTTCATGCTACCCGAATATCTACGATTGGCTCAACCACGTTAATATAAAACTCGTTCAACTGTCCCTCCGCCCCGGACCCAGTCGTTTCTGCTTCGAAATCAGATTGCAGGCACTTATTGACAGCTTTGGCATACGCCGACCCCATGAGTGATCGGAGTAGAGGCATGTACTTTGATTTCAATGCTTCCTTGAATGATTCAGTGCCCGTGCTTCGATGCTTCGATGCCATGGACCTAAGCGATCTCCACAGTCCAACTTCCAGAAGCAGAAAACCAAGGCTGAAATAGTCATACACCCTTCGGAAGCGCACTTGGCCACTGCCCTCAGATTCTTCTGAGAGTAAACCTCGCCGATACTCTGGGTGAATATAATCGCTGAGAGATGGATTGATTTCGGGACCCGAGGATGTCCATATCTCGCCATCTGGGCGGCTCTCAGCAAAGCCAATAATTCGGGGTTGCATAAGATCAGCCATGCCAACAGAGTTCGGGAAGAGGAGTATGTTGTACGCGTTGAGGGATTTGTGAAGCCAGCCATTCAAGTGCAGTGAGTGTATGCTGCCTACTAATGCTTGCGCGAGATTGACTCTTTGCTCGAGAGGTGGCACATCGGAATCTCCAAGGGCGGGACTCTCCAAAATCTGGATTAGGCTCTGTGGATCATCTTTGGGAGCCATACCACCGAAGTCTTGATGCTGAGAGGCTTCGCGCAGCTCCTCAGGCAGCTTGAAGATATAGTCAACTCGGCCAATTCCTGGTTGAACAGCTCTGTCTATGAATCCGATGCAATCTAGAACGCGAAAGTCGACAGGCTTCTTGGGAGTAGAGAACAGCCTAGCAAGAGCCAGCTTTCGGATCGTCATCTCTTCAACACTAATATCGAATCCGGCCCTTTCCGTAGCTAAGAAGGCTGGCTCTATTAGCACACGAACCTTCCCAGCCTCTCGAGCATAGTTTCCGAAATCATGAGTGCCGCTGGTGTGAATGTCTGTGAGCTTAATCGGATCCAAATAGAAATTGTTCAAGTCCAGATGCGGTTCGAGATTCTCAGCCAGAGTAATCAAGTTTTTCTTGACAGTTGCCCTGTCGCCTAATTGTTGGTAAGGTTCGTTTTGTGATTTTCGACTATCAACAGCGTATGTGTTCAGCTCGTCCACCTCGCTCGTTTCAAGAAGGCGATGGGTCCACAAAAAGTCGGCTCTTTTTTGCAATTTGAGTGGAAGGAGATCGAAGAGGCTTTGCACACAGTCCGTAAGCTCTTTTTGGAACTGTGAATGAAAAATCCATGACTTTTCGACTTCTACGCTGGGATTCGCATCTCTGATCATCTGTTGATGTTGCCGATCGACAACCCCCTTGAGATCTGACAGGAGGGTCTGGCTGAGTTTGGAATTCATTGCTGCGGCCATGAAGCCAGCTGGTGGCAGTGCTTCTCCGTATAGCTCTAATATAGTTGCCCAAGAGTTAAGTCTTTCCATCTCAAACCACAGGGTCGCCTGCGATGGGCCATTTTCTGCTTGGGAAGTGAGGAAGTCGTTGTAACTGACTAGCGCCGACTTCAGGTCGTCGAATAAAGCCACAGTGCATACAAATTCTAGGGCCTCGAGTGCTTGCCGTGATGCTAATCGTTCGCTTGGCTCCATCAGAAGCATGGACATTGCCGCTTTGAGTAGCTTGTGATAAGCTGATCCGCCCTTTTGCGCTTGCAAATTGGTTACGTGTTGCAGTACTTCCTTTTTGAGAGAACTATCGCGGAAGAAGTAGCCATTTTCGATGGGAGGGCGCCATAGAACGTTTCTTTGCCTTTTGAATCGTTCCAAGCCATCGGCTCCCAATTTCATATACGTGGCAGTGTCGATGATCATGCATCCGAATGCCCAAATGTCGACTGCTCTTCCAACTTTCTGACGTTGAAATTGCTCGCCATAACATTCTGGGGCAATGTAGTCTCCTCGGCCAGCTTTCCAGAGCGTTTGCGAACCGCGATCATCGAAAGGGTCTTTGAAATCCGACAAGCCGAAGTCCGTGAAGAGGAATGTATTCGAATTTACGAGAACATTCTGGGGCCGAATATCCCGATGAGACCCAGAACGGCTGAAATCGGCGAGGTGATCTGTTCTATCTAGTTTGAAAGTATGAATGCGGTCGAGTGCTGATGCAAGCCCTTGCAAAGAAGTGTAGAATGTCACTTCCTTCGAGAAAGAATCAAAAGGTTCCGGTCTTTTGAAGAATTCGTGAAGATCCATAGGTTCGGCTGGGAATAAAAGATAATGCCGGCCTTTGAAAGTGTATGAACACAAGAGTTCGACGATATTCGGATGCTGTATGCAGTGCAGCAGTTCAAGGTTCTCCTTCTCTCTTTTAAAATGAAGGTCTGACTTGATTGGCCCTTTTAGCTTTTTCCGTACGAACAACTGTGGCATAACCTGCTTAGAAGTACTGATTAGTGTGTCCTCTGGAATTGTGTGAAAGAAAAATGTGCATACTGACCCGGTTCTTACTTAAGTTGTGGAAGGACGGATGTATGGTAACTTTCGAAATTGATCCGTAACTGCCATCCAAATCTTCGAAGCGCTCGACATTCTGAAATGGCAAAATTATCTGATCATCGTGTATATGGCAATGGAGGCCTCGTTCAAAGAAATGGGGAAGAAATTCATATTGAACATTGAAGAATTGCGGACTAAGGTGATTGGCATTGGGTAGATGTTCTATAGCGTTCCTTTTCAAAGGAAGTTTATCGTCGCAAATTTGATGTTCGATAAAAGTGACAATGAACTGCGGTTGCTCTACACAAACGAGAATGGCGAAGATCTTGTAGGCTCTGCTTTGAATTACGGTTCCATAGTGCAAGATCTGATGAGGTCGTGCCCCGCACTCTTTCAGGCTGAGAGAAAGTTCTTTCGTGTCAAATAATTCACGGAGCCCAGATATGTCTACGAAGGACCTAGAACTTCCTTGTCGTAGGTCGGAGATCCCTTCGGCAAAATTTCTCAAAGCTGATGCCATAGCAGTCTCTTCTCGCGCCAGAGTGTTGAACCGCAATGCCTGGTAGCTGCCTTTTCAGATCCTTGGAGATCCGGTGAACGTGCCGGCTACGAGTTTCAGTCACTACGCCTTTGACCGGAATACGTTGTGGGGTCTGGCGAGGCTGAGGGCCAACTACAGATTACGCCATAAGCCAGAGAGAAGCCAATGGAACGCATGGGCCGTTCTCTTTGTATGCAGAGCTGTGCGAAGTCACCCAGATTCACATAGTCCGGTAGCGTGATCGTCCGCGAGGCTAAGGGAGATGGACACTATAGCGTTTTGCGTAGGCGGTCTAATCTTCGTTTTGTGTCGAGACGCTCACAATCTCGCCCTATATTATTGTTAGAACCAAGCCAGCGCCTCCGTAGGGACATCGGTAGGATCAAGCAACCTCTGTCAGCTTTCTTTCTGCCGTAATCAAGTATTGATCGTTGCTCTCCTGTCGCGACTTCAGCTTGGTTCACTACATAGTCCAATCAAACGGCGATCTTCACACACCTTGATGCTATACGTGCCTGCGACGAATTTGGAAGCCAACAGGTTGACCAACGCTTCGTAGTCGACGTACTTCTGAGCAATATAGGTGATAGGCATTTTGCGTCAGGGGTTCGAGCCTGTTTCATAGAGGCAACGCGTGGTTTTATCCGTTGGAAGAATCCTACCAAAGGCAAACGATTGCCCTTTTCATATCGCAACGTGCTGCAATTTCAGTGGTCCGATTGGCAATGCTGCAGTGCGCTTCATGCATTCCACATCAAAACCGGTATGGCCAGCACAACAGGCGAAGAGGGCGGATGCGGTGAAAGTAAGGCATCAACGCATTTCCCGTGCAAGTAACGCCAAACTCGCCGAAAAGGCTTGCTAGGATGTGTTAAAAAAGAGCTACTCTTGACGGGTTACTCTTGATACATGCACTAATTCTTTTGAATGATTTTGATCGTTCTTTGATGTAAATAGCTTGATGGATGGTTACGGCCTTGGTGCCACGTTGCCGCAGTGCCTAGCTCACGCAGACTCGGCCTCCCGTGTCAGGCTCTTACTGCGGACTCCCCGAATCGAAAGCCGTGAGGCGTCGCATGAGGTTGTTGGGCGTTCAACTCAATTCTTGGCCTTTTTCCATCGATCGTGGACAAATGAAGTTCAAGGTAATCTAATCTTAGGAAAAAAAAAGGCGGATCTGCACCTTTTGTCTGCCTCACATCATGCGGCACAGCTGCGGCAACCGCGCGCGCAGCGTCTCGCAAATTTTCATTGAAATGGTGGATACCTTCTGTATGGCGCAGTCGAGCTGTTGTTCCTTTAGAACTTCTTGAGGTCCCATTTCTGCTTCCACGCACTGTGGAGCCTTTCTTTCCAACCTCTTCCTGCAGCTTTTCAACAGACGAAGACATCTCGCTGCATGTAGTGGTAATCGTCCAGTGATCCCTAGGTAGCTAGTCAAGTTATGCTTGTCCATAATTCGGAGGGCTGGGAAAACTACCCTACTTCGAATCCTGTGAGTCCTTTCAGAGGTCCCTGCACTGATGATATGACCTACCTGAGTTCTCTTCTAGAAGAGAAGGCTGGTGTCATATTCGTTTCGAATCCATCCAACATATCTTTGGAGACATTGATATATCCAAAGTCTCCGGATTTGCCTGGTACGCATCCACCATGCTTACTCTGCCACGAGGAGACAAAGAATAATCATGGTTGATAGTGAGAGTAAGACTCATACGTTCAACGTCGCAACTTCATGACGTTATTCAGGCGAGTCAATCAAGGCATCCTGAAGTTTATCAGGCTCAACTATTATAGGCAAACAAAAGCTTCGATCAAGATTGGATTTTGTAGGTGACTGCTCCAGAGAGTCGCCCGTGCATTGAATGACTGTATTGCAGTATCATCCCACAGAAGGGAACATGGAGCCGTATGAAACTTTCAGTCGATATGTTCCGGTTGCTATGCCATTCTTTCCAACTTCATCCTGCATTTATTGAGATTGCCGTATCCTTCGGATTCAAGATTGAGGATCAGGATGAGTATTTTACGTCGTGCTTTCATAAATGCTCAAAAGACCGTGGTCCCTCACATGGTACTCACTCTCTACTATCAAGAAACTCATTCAAATTCACTGACAAGCCCAGAAATTTTCTACAACATCAGATACGTGGAACGCCATGGACGAAGCAAGCCCGTAGACCCCTGGTCATTTCGCCAGTACGCGGTATACCATCAATACAATGGCCAAATTGATGCATCAGTATGGATACTGATACAGCCTCGAAGCGCATTCCGCCAATGGCTCGCAGCCTCGGAAGCTTGGCGAGGTGCTGGCGGTGCCATAGCTTCGCTGTATTTGCATTTACGGTTCCTCAAATCCTCGTCGAGTTCGTGGAGATGGTTTATGAACCATCTGAGTGACGAACTGGAGCAGACAGTAAGAAGACGACGGTATTCCAAGTCCACCTACTAATCGTCGTTCTAGCGAATCAAAGTAGTCTGTCAAAATGTCCCAAGACTTTCTCACGGCTCTGATGAAGTAGAATTCAGTCAGGCACAGTCTCTCGAACTAATCCAAGCAAAAGCAAGGCGTGCCTGCTCGGCAATTGCGTCCACGATAGCGGTAGTGGCAATTTTAGGTCACCAACTTGACGAGGCCATCCGCCTGGAATGCGATCAAGGACCTGGTCCAGAAGACCCTTCTTCAGATTTAAAAGCGGAAATCAAGCAGCTCATGTTGCAGCTTGAAGCTCACGCGCGAAAAGCTCGAGAACTTATTGAGACTGTAAAGAACGTCAACATGTTGGTATGGGAAATGCGAAAGCGCAATAAGCATTCACTGCGGCTAACTTGCAATAGATTCAGAGAACACTCGACCTCTGCAACTATAGCACGGTCCACTCCAACAACACAGCACTGCGGCAGATTTCAGCTTCAGCTGCAGCGGAGAATAGAGCCATGCTCCAATTGAGCGATGCGAATCGCAAAGACGCTAGGATAATGAAAGTCGCAAGTATCATTGCACTCGCATACCTCCCTGCGAGTTTAGTTGCAGTAAAACTCCCTTCGCTCTTCGTAGGGCAGACGCATGTCTGGACTAACCACCTCCAGTCCATTTTTAGCACGGAACTTGTTCACTTAGACCCATTAATGCTCGACATTGGTAAAGGAATTGGCATCTTCGTAGCCCTCGTCCTCAGTCTTACGGCGGGTACAATTGCGACGGCGTTTCTGTGGATTCGAAAAGACGCAATGTCTGCTCAGAACAAGATCTCTACGTCTCCTTAGACATTGGTAGGCATTTTCAGGCTGGAAGGGTATACAATCTTCTACTAGCAACGGTACATAGCTCAGTCGTAGCTATGCTATATATGAACTCTCTGGTCGTCAAACCTCAAGATCGGACACAGCCATGCTTCTCTGCCCAAAAGTCTTCCAGGCTGACTTTGCAGTAGGCTGCTTTGCTGGCCGCCTGGAGATGGATATTCACTACATTCATTGCGACAACGCTGGAGATGTCGAGTACCGATAAGCACGGGAATACAACATGAATATCGAAGCTGTTAGATTATGACAATCACCTACAACAATCAATGCTTGTAGCAAACAGGGCTTTCATGTACATAATGTTCGCGTTCCACTTAATATCAGATGCTACGACCTGCAAATTAACAGAAGCTTTGACATTTCCGCTGCAAAATCAATGCGGATTCTCTCTCATCCCACAGATTAGCATCAGCACCTTGATACAGCAACAACCACAACTCCACCCCGTTGCTAGACTCCACCACTAAACATCAGCGACGAAAATCAGCCAGCCCAAGCGACCCCATAACACTAATCCCATCAGGGCATCTGACGCCGAGTTTTAAACTCCCGCTCCGCTCTCATCAGTCTGCTTGTTGGTAGTCTTAAACACCTGTACTTCCACCAACATATGAAGCACTAGGAGAAGGGGTTTTAAACCCACTCTATCGTCTTCTTTTGTGGGCTTCATTGATCCATACCCGTCTCCTTGTAAGAACTTGATGAGGAAGGAAGAACGAGGGGTGGAGACGAGAGATTATATATCGGATGGGGAAGGGGGAGTACGTGGTGCACGGGTGTATAACGTGTTTACCAGGGGAGGGAGGAGATGGGGCGGTCATGGTGCTTTAGAGGGAATTAAGGTTGGGGAGGGACTTTAATTCGCTTTGGAGCAGGCGGGGACGAAACAAGGAAGTCTCAGCCTGATAACATCTCAAGAGACCTCCAACCGAACATCCGTTTTGATACTTCGGCAGCGAATTATTCCAACTTTTATCTCTTTTGTCCTTCGTTCTTGGCATTATCTCCCGAGATACTTAACACTACTACGCCTCGTTGATATCACCATCCATAGTGAACTTCACTGCCAACGAATAAAGATAAAGACCAGCCAAATCTAAGCGGACGGAAACACATTGTCCAGATCCACCTTCATGTTGCTGTTCAAGCTGTTCTCTTCAAACACCGCACAGGAGTCATAGGAGGAGGACGAGGATGAGTTGTTATCCCAGCATCCCAGCACTACAGCATACTGAGTATGGGAATAGCGTTTGAAAAAATCCTCTCCATGGGCGATGAGTCTTGCAGCGTTTTGATCCTTTTCCGTCTCCGTGCGAGACCACGAAGAAGAAAGAAAGGAGAGGAGGAGGGGGGGGATGGGAGGTTTTATACGCAGCTCAAGGGATGCTGCACGTGGTTCACTTGCGACCACGTAGGCTGGAGAGCTACATGTCCATCGTTCTAAGAGGGAAAAACCAGGAATTCAATCATGGGACCAACCATCTTCCCGTCCTATCGTGCTCGAGTAACTACCTTCCTGGCGTTACGCCATCTTCCTAGAAGTAAACCTGCACTTCGTCCCTAGCTGTCTTTCTTAACCTCCACCACTTCTTCCTTCTCTTGCTCCCCACCGCTCCTCCCCTACAGCTTCCCTAGATTCATCCATCTCGTTAAGCCCTTTCAACACACGTTCAAGGTTTCCACCACCATCGCCTTATAACAGAGCCCCTCTCACCCCCAGACGCAACTCCATCGAGCAATGCGCGTGACGTGGTTTAATCACCACCGCCTCCCATGGTACGGTTGTTTCTGCCGTTTTACACCCGGAACTCTCAGAACCACTCCATTGCTGTGGAGCATTATGGTAGTTGAACCCACTCCATAAACGCTACCGACTTCCAATTTTCATCCAACCCCATCTCCTTGCGAGACCCCGATGAGAGAAAGCTGATCTTCGAGGAGTAAGCGGGAGTTTTTATACCTTCCCCCCGAGGACTCATCATGTGCTACACACGTGTAGTTACATGATCAATCCTGAAAATGGCTGACAATTCATCCGTGAACCATATGTACCCTCCTCCTTCCTTCGCCAATCTTCACAGCCGCAAGCAAACGATGACAAGAATTAACGGCCTTACAGCTTCGGAGAATACCCCCCGATCCGATTCCATTCTTGCTTTTTTTTAAAGGAGTATGTTTGATTTGAACTTCCCGATCACTCCCATTCGCCTCATTCATGACTTCAGTTGAACGCCCCGACCTCTACCACATGTGCGGCGGAGAGGGTAAGTTTTGCAGAATTTGCCCATAAAGCGTTTTGAAGTCACAATTTTTGATCCCTTCCCCGTCTCCTTGTGAGACCTCGATGAACTAAAGCTGAACATGAGAAAGTGAGCGAGCGAGTATTTATCTAGTCCTAGGCGTGGGCCATGTGTTGCACTTGCAGCCACATGATCGATCGCTTCGCAAGCGGTTTTAAAGACCACACCCCTCCATGTAAAGTCATTGCCAAATGTTTTGAAGTCCAATTTTCCGAGCACCACAACGTGAACACGTCTCAAATTTCCAATTGATCCAACCCCATCGGATCTATGATCTTGAGGTTTTTGCCCACCCCATCTCCTTTGAAGACCCTGATAAGAAGAAAAAGGACTAGAAGGACTGAGCGGGAGGTTTTATACCCAGTCCTAGAAATAGGCCATGTGTTGCACTTGTTACCCACATGATCGTTCCAAGTAATGGCTGGTGATTCATCCGTGAACCAAGTGCACCACTCGTCTTGTCGCCGCCGAGACACCAGCTGCGGCCCAAATCCAACTGCTTTGTTTTTCAGGTTGATCGATTTGAGCACCACAACGCTCCCATCGAGCAATGATGTGTCGTATTTTGACTGAACGCCCTAACTACGACCACATGTGCAACGGAGTTCCTAGGTTCTGCAGGTCTCGCCCATGAGAAGCGGTGACGTGAGAGTTCTTGTTCTCACCTCCGTTTCCTTGTGAGACAATGATGAAAGAAAACTCAACATCAGGGGGTGGATGAGACGTTTCTCACCTAGTCCTAGGCATGGGACACGCGTTGTACATGCTACCCACATCAAAGATCCGGAAAATGGCTGGTGATTCATCCATGATCTGGATTCACGCCTAATCTCTTCACGGAAGATCTCCATAGATAGAAAAGGAGTTGGCCGAGGGTCGAAGGTTCTGCCATATCGTCTGATGTCCGCTGAGTTTGTTTCTAAGTTGGCTTGGTTGTTCTTGTGGAGCATGGTGAAGATTGCTGTTTCGAACCTGTAGTCAGTTGATCTAACACCATGGCGTCACGCTTTGAAGTATTTTGATCCAACCCCATAAGATCTCATCAAAGTTGATCACTGAGTCGATTCTAGGCAGCCCGGGGGGGCCAGCTCCAACCCAACACCAGACTCAACCCCATAGACCGTAAGTCCCGCCATTGTTCGAACACCACACGAATTTTCATGCAGGTGTTGCGGTCCTGTTCTTGAACTTCCTTCCACCCGAACCTCCGCCCAGCGCCACGGCATCAGAGACTCTGGGACACTCAGTTGATCCAACCCCATAGGGTCGTTCTCATGGCGATGTCGATTCTGAGAGGCTTGAGACACCAACTCCAGCTCAACACCAGACCCAGCCCATAAGCCACTCCGCTGTGCTATTTTCGAATACCACCCACACTCACACCAGGCACAGCGCCATAAAGGCTTTGCTTCGTGATATTCGAACACTACTTACACCCACAGCAGTCACAACTCCACATACGTCTTGGCTGCGCGAGATTCGAGCACCGCCCACACCCACACCAGTTCCAACTACATTGTCACCTTCGCGTATCGATTTGAACACCCCCCAAACTCACACCAGAATCAACTCAATTGCGCTCATTCATGCGTTGATTTGAACACCACCCACACCCCCATCAAGTAGTCGTTGTAACTATGATTTTGAAGTCCAATCCTTCCAGCACCACAACATCACAAGGTTGTCCCCTGCCAGGTGATACAACCCCATCGTAGTCAGTCAGACTTGCTTTGGATCCACCCCAATAAGGTCTACCATTGTCTTTTTTTGATCCGCCCCCGTCTGTTTGCAAGACCATGAAGAAATCAGAACGAAGAGGGGCGAGCGAGAGCTTATATACTCGACGGAGGGGAAGGTCATGTGATAGCATGTGATCGCGCCGATGAAACAGACCGCCGGAATGACGTGGCGAGACGATAATGAAAAGGGCGGGTGTCCGTAAAATTCCGGAGGCGGGAGACCCTTGATCAAACCACTACAGCCCCGAAAGGCAGAAAGAGTGTTCATGATAGAAGAAAATACACGTAGAATTGCACCTTGATAGTAAGAAAGAATGCTTATGAGTTTTCAATATTGCCGTGTGCTGCATGCTGCCCCAGACCTCTAATACACAAGATACCTTTAATTCAGTTATTACCAGCCATTCATTGCTCGTCATCCATGACCGTCGCTCCCGAGCGCCATGTATGCCGTGCCTATCCTCTCTGATCGACCTCAAACCTCCAGACTCCATCCATCGACATGCTTCTCCTGAACTTACTATTCGATTACCATAAGCAAGCACCACCTAGCTATTCAGATAATTCCGGACAGCCCCCTGCAACCTCGTCGCCCCCTCGCCCAGCAGACTCGTCAGATTCTCCAGGTCATCGCCAGCCGTGACACCGAACTTCCTCACAAAATCCTTGGCCGCGCCCTCCAAATCACCGTAGTCGTCTTCCGGTACATCGTCTTCAGGACGTCCGAAGTAAGCGTTCGAGGAAATAGCGGTGGCGCCCTCGAAATTCGATAGGTGTGCTTTAGCGGCGGCTTGAGCGGAGGGGTCGTACGCGGCGCGGCCGAAGAACTCGTCGGAGGAGATGGATTTCTGGGTGCCGAACTTTTGGCGAGCGTATTTCTCGGCATCGTCTGTGGATTGTTAGCATGATCTGCAACGAAAAATCAAGTATGAAAGGGGCATACCATACCCTCAGCAGAACGACTCGTGCTCCCAAAACCGCCCATCTTCTTCGCCGCTGCCGGCGCCGGCTTCGCGCCACCAATCTGCCCGAAGCCCAACCGGCCCATACCCATCCCCAGCCGCTCCATCTCCGCACTGCTGCGCTCCGGCTTGCCCGTCGAGCCGAAGCCTCCACGCGGTGGCGCGACCGGGCTTGGGCTCACGATGCCAGGTAGTTCCTTCTCGGCCGCTGCTTTGCCCTTTGCAGCTTTCGCCGCTTCTTCCGCCTTCTCGGCTTCTGGGTCATATCCCAATTTCTCGATGCGCTCGGCCTCCTCGCGTGCCTTGCGCTCCGCAGCCTCGAAGTCCAGCGCCCCGTCCGCGGGTGTCAGCTTCTTTGCACCCAGCTTTGTCTTTTTGGCGCCTAGGATGTTGGCCTTGCGGGGGGCTGCGCCTGCAGTTGTTTTACGGACAGCGGAGGCGGGAATGGCGCGCGGTGTGGGGGCAGGTATAGAGCCATCCGCTGAAGTGAGGGGAGATTTGGGGCGTGCGGTGCCGTTGCCGTTGGCGGGAGCGTTGAGGAAGGGAGTGCCAGTGCGAGAGCCGCTAAGGGGTGTGCCAGTGCGTGAAGGGGGGTTGGAGGGTCGTTTGATAGCAGGCTTGTCCCAGGAGGAAAAGAAGTCATCTTCATTGTCCGCTGGGGTGCTAGTGCCGCTGGGGGTGTCGGTGGCTTCTGTTATGACCACTTCATCGGGGAATCTGGGGGTGTTAGATATTGATATGCTAGAGGCCGCGGAGACGTACTGTCGTGCATCAGCGGCACATCTCCTCGTCAGCTCTTCCTTGTATTTGGTGGCGGCGTTGGAGGTGTATTTCGTCTTGGGGTCTTTGCTGTTCAACGCTGCGGAACCACCGTGCGTCTGGAAGTATTTAGTGGCAGATTCATTGCCGCCGACTTTCATTATTCGAAGTTGATCCCATTGCCAGACTGTGTTGTCGTGTAAGCCATTGCTCTAGGTATGATCTCACTCCACATACTATCGAGATTCGTTGACCGCACAAACGAGATGTGCACGCCCATGTTCCTGTGGTTCGCCGAGCAGTCGAGGCATAGGTAGATGCCGAAGGGCACCGACGACCATGTCGGGTTCTTTGCGCCGCAGTCGAAACATATCTAGAGGGCAAGATATCAGCAGTGTGCGGAAAGGGATGCGGAGGGTGGTGGAGGGGCAAACTGACCTTGTTTGCGGGCTTGAGCTTCAATTTCTCGAAGATTTTTTGTGACTGCGTCTTCGTGGCGAGCGCCATGGTGGACGGGAGGCTGTAGCGATATACAGAGGGGGTGAGGGAGGGGGAAAGTTAGGGGGTGTTGAATGTTGCTTGGAGATAGTTGGCCTCTCCCGCTTCGTTCGTTACATTTCTTAGTCATCTTACTTTACGAGACGGCCTCGGCCACCCGACTTCGCTTCTTCACCATGATTCCACCATGAATCTAATAATAAATAACCTGAGCCTACCGAGATGCCGGCTACTCGACAGCCAAGCGTAGTTAAGGATGCTGCAACAGCAGCCCTTCTAGTACCGTAATGCCGTCTTTCATCCACAAGTTGTATCTAATTTCCTATTGGTCAACAGGTTGCTCGTTCATCATGGCATCGAATGATGACAGCCTGGATTTATGTGCCAATTAGTATTCTTATTATTCTTCTCGCATGCTTTGGAGTAGAGTCTCTTATTGGATTAAGTTCTGTCTCGTTTCCTGCGTCAGTCGCTTGTATGATCATACTTTTCTTTGCCTTGATCATCTGTGAGTCGCTGTTTGGGGATAGAAAGACAAAACGAGTCGTGAATCTGGTAGAAATTCCAGTATGTATTCGCCTTAATTGAAAGCAGCATTAAATCTGCTTATCAACCCATAGGGAGGTTTCGCTCTCCGTTACATCAATATTCTTTTCTCTCCTTCATTCATACTGTTGCCTTCGAGTTCCCCAATTGGAGGCATTGAGATAGCGAAAATCATAGGAGTGTTTGGTTAGCATCCCTGGTCCGAGGTCGCAACAGCAGCTGAAGCTACCTACAGTCATTGGCTACTTCGCCATGGCAGCGTTCACAGCCTACCTAGTCCGAGGCCTCCAATACATTCTCGGAACTTCAAAACGAGCAATGACAGAAAGAGCTGAAGAACTAGGTACACGTGGAGAAGACATACCGCTCACACACAGCCGTCACCCCTCAGAGCCTGCCACAGAGCCTTCCTCAGTAGCTCCATCTGTATTATCCTTGCCATCACCGATCGAAGGACTTCAGGCGCCTCTTCGAGCCCAAGACCCAAGCCAGATCACAGGGACAGGAGGACCTCCCGAAGCATCTCCAACGCTACTCCAGGAGTCTAACTCAGCACTTCGTCAAGACCCAATCCCATTGACACGCGCCCAAAAATGGGCCGCCTTCATCAATGTAAATCTAGATACATTGTCCTACATTGCCATTTTCGTCTTCATCGGCGTTCCAATCTATTACAGTACCAGCTACGCGATGCCAATCCAACTCTCCTTCAATATCCTGGCCTACTTCGTCGCCTTGACTCTACCAGCAAAATGGCGCCGCTTCCTCCATCCAGTCCTAGTTTCATCCCTCATCACGGTCCTAGGTGTTTGGATATTCGCACTCATTCGTGGGGATAGTTTGAGATATGCGCTGTATGCCTATAAAACAGGCACGAAATACACCCAATTATGGCAGGGCAAGCCCAGCCTCCCACGCCCCGGCGCTGGTGATCTCTTCAGCACAGTTCTCGACGTCAGCATCGTCGCACTCGCATTACCAATGTTCCAATACCGGCACGAACTTCGCAGACACGTGAGACTTCTTTACCGCTCTTCGATCTTCAGATCGTATTTCTCTTCTTTCTTTCACCTTAACGAAACTTGACCTAACATCCGCGTACAGTTCCTCCCCATCCTCCTCCCCAACACCCTCCTCGCCCTCGCATCCCTCTTCAGCTACCCGACCCTCTGTCACGCCCTCAGCATCGCCCCAACGCGCTCTCTCTCGTTCGCCTCACGTAGCCTCACCCTCGCCCTCGCGCAACCCGCAACGGCGAACTTGGGCGGAGACCTCAGCTTAGTCGCGGTGTTGTGTATAGTATCGGGCATCCTAGGTGTCTTACTTGGACACGCAATGCTGCGGATTATGCGGATAACCGATGGTAAGTGATCAGCCTCGGCCGGTTTTGAACGGAAGTGAGAGGAGCTAATGTGTATGCGGACAGATGATTACATTACGAGAGGCGTGACTCTCGGCGCCAACTCTTCCGCCATGGCCACCGCGCTACTTCTCGCGTCCGATCCACGCGCGGCCGCGTTTTCGTGTCTGTCGATGAGTTTGTTTGGGACGGTCACTGTGGCGCTTACTTCTGTGCCGGTAGTTGTTAGAGTTGTGGCGAGGTTGGCGGGGGTGGAGGGATAAGTGGTGGGCGGTTGGGAGTTTGAGATAGAATGGAACTGCTTTCACGTAAACTGTAGTTACTCTTACTCCCATTACTCCCATTACTCCCCGCCCCCTCTCTTCCAAACCCCTACGAACTCCCCAGCCATCAAGTATTCAACCAAAGCACGAACACGCACTATACATGCTCAGGCTCTTAGCTCAATCACCATTGCTTATGCCAAAAGCGTAGACGCCCTCAAACATCAAACCTAAGCGTAAACGTATCGCAATCGATAACGTAGGCAATGGGGTTATTACGGTGGAGGTAGTTACTACGGTTCCGAACATCAAGAAAAAGCTTGGCAGGTGCGCTGATTCGGAATGCATGTAAAAGCTTAGACCACCGTAATAACTACCTCCACCGTAATAACCCCATCACCTACGTTACAACCTATCCCGAACCTAAAGCGTGAACCCAGCACCACTAAATCGCTAATACTTTTTACTAGGTACCTGCCACCGTGAGATTGGCTCCAAATATGCGAGAAAAGTTCAGAAGCAATGTCACAGACTGCGAAACGCGAATCAGGGATCAAGCCAGACTACTTTTACGAATAGCTCACGCCGTTAGAAGGGCTTCGCACATATATAAAAAAAAATCAGTGGTAACGAAGAGCGCGAATTAGACGTATTTCGTGAACGCGTTTCCGAACCCTAAATATCGGGTCCCCAGGTTTAGCAGTGGCTTTTAAGGGCCCAAATCGGGTGAACGTGCCAGGCAAATTAACCACCCAGAGAAGCCACCATGACGCTCCTGGCAGCATTACCTTCCGCACATGAATATATCGACGAACTAATATGACAAAATCTGGGTATCTGAATAACGAAAGTATCAATATCTCCTTCCCAACCACGAAACCGCCTCACCCCCCTAACTCCCCTCCCATCAAGTCCTCATCACCTCTCCCAACCCCGAACCCTCCCTCTTCCGCGGCGTACCGCTCTCGTCATAGTAAATATTCGGCAAGCTCCGCTGCCGTCTCTGGTCCGGGCTCCTCCCCTCCCTATACTCTCTCCGCCGGCTCGGCGGCTGGCTCCTCTTGCGGCGATATCTCCCCGGACTCGGACTCGCGCTCTCGAGAATCGGCGAGCGCGTGCGATGGCGGGAGCGCTGGCGCGGGCGGCCGCGAAGGTTGTGGTCAAGCGATGCGTCGCTGCGGCGGCGAATGCGGTGTTTTGGAGGTGTGGAGGACGGGGAAGAGGAGATGTGGCGGTGTTTGCGGGGGTCGTACCGGTGGCGGGATGCAGATCTGCGGTGGTGGCCTCGAGATGGGGATTCGGAACGGGCGGGGGAGCGGGAGGTGGAGCGGCGGCGTTTGCGGCGGCCGCGGTCTTCGGATGTGGTTGCGGAGGCGCTGGCTATGGCGCGAGCTTGGGGGGGTTGAAGTTCTCCGCAGCGGCTGATCAGGATGGGGATGGTGGGGCGGTAGGTCTTGTCCACGGGAATTTCGAGAATGCGGTCGAGCACAGATTGGCCGGAGATCAAATGGCCGAACACGGTGTGCTTGCCGTTGAGGTGGGGACAGGGGCGGAGGGTTATGAAGAATCTGAAGGCTGGTTAGCGCGTGAGAGGATGAGGAAGTTGGAATGGAGACATCACGTACTGACTGCCATTAAGGTCCTTGCACCGATTTGCCATGCAAAGAAGGCCTGGGGCATCGATATCCTTCCACCGGATGTTCTCGTCTTCAAAGGTATCGCCATATATCGACACTCCTCCAGTTCCATCACGATTGGTTGTGTCGCCGCCTTGAATCATGAAGCCCTCAATTACTCGGTGAATTGGAGTCAGTCTGTAGCTCAAGGGAGATTTGGACCCAGTACATAGAACACGGAAGCTGCAAAATAACGTGCCATCAGCTATTGCCTGGATTGAAATACCGTGGGAGTCTTACTTTTCACAAGTCTTAGGTGTCTGATCGATGAACAGCTCTACCACAAGACGACCAATCGGCTCCGTGCCTGCACTAAGTTCAAGGAACATACGGGGGCGTATTGTACTCGGCATCGCGAATATAGCTCATGGGGATTTGAGAAGATGTGTTGTGTTATAGAGAAAAACAGCGGCGATGGAGAGGGGAAAGTGGAGAGCTCGTGTGACGGAGGTGTGCGCCTGACGAATGACATGAGACCTGGAAAATACTGCCAGGGCGGTGAAAAGTCGAGTCTGCATGTGATAGGAACACGTTGGGAAGGTAATGTATCTGATTAGCATTTTTCGATATTCTGCGATATTCTGCAATATTCTAGCAGCCCAGAGGCAGCTACCCAGCCGCCTGCCTAGAACCCGCTTGAAGACCAAAGGGCATCCAATAGCCCTGCGCTTTTCACACGAAGCCCTGATTTCCATTTTGGGTTAATCTTGCAATAGGATTTGTGCGACCGACCTGGGCATGCGTCCAGACTTTACTGCCCCTTCTTGGCGTCTCTCTCCGCCTTGTTCAGTGCTCTCTTCCTGATTGCCACATGCATGCCTCGATTCTGGTCCACAGCGAACCTATTCAAGGTCCCAACAAACGTCGCGAGCGCCCATTGCATCAGACCATGGCTCCAATAAGGAGTGCTTGTGAAACCAATGCCCTGGGATCCACCGCTACGGCCAATTTTGCTCAGAGCAGCAGCAACGAACTGCTTAGGATTGGGAATGGTGGCTGATGTGCGCCTGATCTTCGACATGGCGGTGGTAACGAGGTATGAGGTAACAAGCTGGACCCTCACTCCTGACGGGGCAAGCTCTGAGCCCAAAGCCGTCGACCAGTGCTGCAAGAATGCTTTGCTGCCAGAGTACGTAGCTAGCAGCGGTGTAGGCAGCACTCCAGCGAACGAAGCCATGGTCAAAATCAGCCCCCTCTTGCGCTGGACCATGCCTGGAGCAATGAGCTGCGTGACCCGTAGTGTGCCCAAGCAATTGATCATGATGATGTCTGTCATCTCCTTGTGTGGTGTCTCCACAAACGGGACCGGAATGGAATGGCTCAACCCAACGTTGTTTATAAGTATAGAGATGTCGAGGCCCTTGACTAGGTGCTTGAGACGGCCGTAATCGATGTCGTCGTTGCGGACAAAGTCCATGGCCAGAACCTTGGTCTGTATGCCGGCATACTTGGAGGATATTTCGGAGGCGAGGGCATCGAGTTTAGATTGTGTACGTGAGACTAGGATGACGTTGAAGCCCTTCTTCGCGAGTTGAAGGCTGTATTCTTTGCCAATGCCATCAGACGCGCCGGTGATGAGGGCCCAGGAGCCTTTGGGGCCGAATCTAGACAGCTAGAACATAATTAGAGAAGAACGGGTAGATCTAGACTGCTGATGCCTACGGAAATACCCGGAAGAACGAACAAGCTCAACAAGACGCGGATGAAGCTGAGAATAGGCTTGCTGATGGTGTAGAGGCCTGCGCACAAAATTGTGGAGAGTACAACTTTGCCGAAAATAGATTCAGCATCGATATGGATGCCGAGAGAGTCGACAAACCGTGCTAAGGAATCCATGGTGTGTTGTGGGTTTGTTGGGATGTCGGCGATGTGTGGTGATGTTTGCTGACTTTCTAGGAAGCTCGGACCTCTTCAACGTGTGGGGGGAAAAACGCTTTGCAACTGCATCACAAGACAGGGGAAGCCGATTTCGCTAGGAACTGCCTACGACGAGGGAAGTACCGGGTTTGTAGAGAACATGATATCCTCTCGTCTTGTCCCTGTTATCAGTCTCTACTTCAAGATTACACTCCTATTGCTTCTTGAACGTTCGCATTCATTGCCAGGTCTAACATGTCAGATACCATTGATCAATATCTGTGCTACAAAAGATGCACCAAAGTCGCCCTGAACTGGCTCTGGTGTAACGTCAAAGACACCGATACGTTTCCAGTACAAGCCTTCGAAACAACGTCCGAGATTGTTGCAGCTGCGAACGGGATTCGCGCATCTCCAAGTAATGTTCCTAGCTATGTGATTGCAGCTCTGCGCGATGCCATTAAGCATCGATGGCGGGTGTTCAAAACTTTCGCGTCGGCAAAGGGTGGTTCAAACGTTCGAGAAACGAAGGCTAAGGATGAATGTCACGAGATATTCATCATGCGGTAGGTATCAGCCAACCTTTCGACTTAAGTCTCTTGCTTGTTACAAACGAACGAAAAAGAGCTTAGACTTGCTGCGTCCTCTGGAGGACAAGACCATCCCAGATTTGGATCTCGGCAATTTGGATCTTGGCCATTCCTCAATCGACGCCCAATCCAATCGTTTCCGGTCACTCAGTCTTGTCGAAGAGGAGGCGACGAGTGACGTTACCTCTCACAGTAGTCAAATGGATACCATTCGTGCATCTGCACAGCCTAAGACGCCTGAAGGAAACCAGCAGCCCCTGGCTCGACAAGATAAAATTTTGGAAGATGATGAATGTAAAGTCAGCCGCGAGTTTGACATTTTAGGCACAAGCTAAAAGCATCGTAGCAGCTCGACACACTCTTAACGGCGACAAACACGTACTGGTCAGAGGCAGCAAATGGAAAGATGCCTCTACCTGTAGCAGCTTGGCTATCCACCACCGTGTTTCACGCGTTAGCAAGGCTGTTCTCGACATAACTCCGTGGCCCCCGATTACGACGTGCTGATGGCGAAATGGTTCAAGCATAGAGAGACTTGGTCATTCTGAATCATTTCAAATATGTTTCCGAGCGCAGCATTGAGGAAGCGCCCTGCTGGGATGGTATTACCATCTGGTTCCCTCGTAGACTAATCAATCATTGCAGAACTTTGAAAGAGTGTGAAAAGACCGGCCTCGCTGCTCAAAGCAAGCGAGAATCCCGAATTCTTATTCTAATACCTGTAGCCGTAGCCCAGTATTCCCAATCGAGCTCATCGCCGAAACCTCCCGCACCCTTACCCTCCTCTTCCCCCGCGGTAACAGAGACTCAAAAAGGGGGTACAACAAGCAAGAGAACCCAGAAGAGCTACACCTTGAGCTATTCGAATGCGGCTTACCATACCGACAATCCACACTCTAAATCACGTGTTCGTGCCGCCGAGATCGCGTCAACGCTGCGGAACCTCACTTGCAGATGGGCAAGAGCTCCTGTGGCAATGCATTATTGACTGAAGTACCAAATCTGGCTCGCCCTGGTCACTACTGGGGAAATATATGCACTCTTCAACGATAAAGGTTACATGTTTACTGTTGCACCGACTTCGTTTGACTTATTCAAGGCAAACAGTCAAAGCTCTCAACTCTTACCCCTCAATTCCTCTGCGCGTCAAGCCCTGCTCTCCTTAAAACCAGTTCTAGCCCCTTTGCAACGGTTCAGGCCGCTTTTCATATACACAACATGGAAGACGTCACCACCATCAAACATCGATTGTCGGCAGTTCGAGACGCAATCGTCTCCATTATGAGCATTGGCGGCGCGCCAGGGGCTGCCATTGCCGTCATCCACGAAGGCCAAACAGTATACTCTGATTATCTGGGCTTCCGCGATATTGCGAACAGTATCCCCGTGGACGAAGAAACAATCTTTCCCTGTGCTTCCATGACCCAGGCAGTGGTTTCCGCCGCTGTAGGAATCTGTCTCGAGGAAGAAAAGTTCGGTTGGGATACTCCAGTCAAAGACATCTTGCCCAAATTTCACACTCGAGATGAGACGCTCCACCACCAAATGACGCCCGTGGATCTTGTTTCACATCGTGCTGGAATGCAGTCATCTCTCTGCTGGCTCGGGAACATAAACAACGTGCTCATTGCAAATAAGAACAGCATGAACTTCATCAATGACCTGCAGAGAGTGAAACAATTCCGTGGAGAGTACCTTTACAACAACTTGGGCTACGAGGCTGCCGCCCATGTCCTCGCGAAGGCAACGAATGGGAATGGGAAGACGTTTTGCACTCTAAGATTTTCGAGCCACTAGGTATGACAAGGACCGGAACGCATGCGAATTTCAACGATGGAGACAACGTTTCAAAAGGCTACTGTGTGCTAGACGATAGGAACTTTGTAGGAGTGGCCCCAATGCTGTCAGGAGACGATACTGTAGGAGGCCCCGGTTCCGCCAAGCGCAGCTGCATCAAAGACCTCGTAAAGTTGTATACGGTATTCCTAGACGCTGGAGCAGACCAGTTCGCTACGGGGCTGACAGCCACGCCAGGATCGCCATTGAATCAACTTCCGCGCCTATGGTTGGCGAACATCTCTATGAACCCCATCTCGCGGCACGAAACATCATATGCCGTGGGTTGAGCATGAGTTCAGACCCCAGGACCCTGGGAGCCATTGGCTTGAACCCAGATCTTCTCTCGCCAAAGCCTGTGCCACACGTTGCTCGTAAGCACCCATCGGAGCTAATTCTCTACCATAAAGGTAGCATGCCAGGCAACTTGGCCGCCATCAATCTCGTTCCTCGTACCCGTAACACTAGTCATTTCACTTCGAGTCGCAGAATCCGCTAGCAGTCTCCATCGGCCAAGATTTCACCGCCCGCTAAGTTTCTAAATTATGTGAAATAAAAAAAATGAACGGTTAGAGCGCGGTTCGAACCTGGTCCTCCATGAGGGCAAAAAAAAAACCAAAAAAACACAACGCAGGATAATAATACACTTTTGGTAACTTGTCACGCTGGAAGGGTATGACAATTGTCAAGCCTTCGCCACTAGGCTAAGGGGTATGAACGTGTCAAGCTTCCATTGTGATTTCGTTGAAGGGCAGCCAAAATTAAACAAAATATATACCTCTAAAGTAAGTCAATTTTCTTGTTTGCTCGCTCCCCACATCCCTTCACTAGATCCATCTCTTACGTTTTTGCATCCCACAGATTGTCTCCGCCAGCAGTCTCCATCGGCCAAGATTTCACCGCCCGCTAAGTTTCTAAATTATGTGAAATAAAAAAAGAAATGAACAGTTAGAGCGCGGTTCGAACCTGGTCCTCCACAAGGGCAAAAAAAAAACAAAAAAAAAAAAACAAAAAAAACACAACGCAGGATAATAATACACTTTTGGTGACTTGTCACGCTGGAAGGGTATGACAATTGTCAAGCCTTCGCCACTAGGCCAAGGGGTATGAACGTGTCAAGCTTCCATTGTGATTTCGTCGAAGGGCAGCCAAAGTTAAACAAAATATATACCCCAAAGCGAGTCAGATTCGGCGTTTTGCTCGCACTTTCACCACGCCCCGCAATCACACCTTCTTTTCTATGTCAAGCATCTAGATAGCTTTTCACTAAATTTAGGCAGAGCCAATATAACTATCGGTCACTACCGATTTTACTATTTCCGCCTAACGTCACGTGTTACTATCAACGATACTGTGTTTGGGATTTTCGTCTAGCCAGTCGGGTGCATCTCAGTCTTTCCCATTGACGCTTTCACCTCTGCCAGGTATATAATCTCTCACCCTCGCGCTTTTCTCCTTTTTTCCTTTCATAGACGTCTCGCAAGGAAACAGGAGCGGGATCAACACACGACCAACCAGAAAATCATGGAGTGGCATCAACTAACGTTGTTGCACTCTCTATATGTTGGCTCGGAGCTCTTGGGGTTTAACAGGAACACCAAAAACCTGATGGCTGTGTCCGGGTGGTGTTCAGAAAGTGGGAATTCGTCCGAGCTATGGTGTCTGGCGGTGTTCAAACTGCGCTGGGGAGCTCGTTGATGGATTTGGGCGCTGGAACTTAGCCTGATGTTCATCTTTTTTTTAGGTGATGGTGTCTGTGTATGAAGGGCGATGGCGGTAGGTATAAGGGAAGGGAGACGATACCGACAGGTAGGGCAAAGAGAATATGACATTTAGTGCTGGTTGAAGTTGTTAAGGATCCGTAGATGAGATTATTCTGATCACTATCCAACAGTGAGTAGATAGATGCAAGATTCGAACCATTCTTAAGATGTCTCTAGATGCGAGTAGTGTTTTGAGCCCACTCCAAATGCTTGTCAACGCTTTTCCCGTCCCTCCTGTTTTGAGAAGCAAGGTGAATAAGAAACATTCATAAATTCATCCTCAACGCCCGAACCGAAATCGATACCTGAGTTGTGAACTAAGACGCCAAACGCCACATATCCCTTTCTTACAAGTCCTTTTTTGTGCCACATTTTCAAAGTTGCAGCCAACGATGGTATGTACGAGGTAGGGAGCTCGACTGCACGCTCCACTACTCTGTGAAACTAAGACGACTTACGACTTGCTCGAGCTTGCCACCGTCTCCTCGGACTCGGATGGCGGATCGGCGTTGATAGCATGGAAGCCGTTCGGAAAGACGTTTACAGCGCCTGCTTGGACGAGCTACCATACAAATCAGTAACCCATCCAAATCGTCGTTGGAAGAAACTGTAACTCACCGCGCGGCTCAAATCATCCAACAGATCCTCAACATCCTCAATCCCCACGCACAACCGAATGATATCCTCAGGCAGCGCCCTCTCTGCCCTCGTCTTCGCATCAATGCTGGCATGGCTCATGCGACACGGCATGCTGATCAAGCTGTTTACACATCCAAAACTCACGCTGATCGCCCATAGCTTTGCGCTCTCGACAATACGCTCGCTGACATTGACGTCGCCTGTTTCGAAAGACAAAACTGCGCCTGCGCCCCGCGCCATGCTCCAGTGCAGGTCATACTGTGGGTGGGACCGTAACCCGGGGTACCGTACTTTGAAGCCATGGGACTCGAGGAAGACTGCAATGCGTTGCGCGTTCGATTGTTGCTTCTCCATGCGCACGCCGAGGGTTTTAACTCCGCGAAGAAGCAGCCAGGAGTCAAAGGGGGAGAGCCCGACGCCGGACGCGTTGATAGTAAAGTAGAGTTTCTCGCCCAACGCGGGATCGTTCACTGCGAGCACGCCAGCCATCAGGTCGTGGTGGCCGGAGAGGTACTTGGTGCCGCTCTCGTAGACGATATCCGCGCCCAGATCAAGCGGGTTCTGTAGGAGCGGCGAAAGCATAGTATTATCCACGGCCACGATGGCTGACGGGTTCGCGGCGTGTGTTATGCTTGATACTCGCGGGATATCGGCGATTTTGATGAGGGGGTTGGTGGGGCTTTCAAGGAGGACCATGGCGGTCTTGGGGGAGAGGACTTTGCGGACGGCCTCTGGGTCGGTAGTGTCGACATGGTGGACAATGATGCCGCCGTTGGTCGCGAGGTACTTCAGCAGGCGGTTTGTACCGCCGTAGAGGTCGTCTCCAGTCACGACCTCGTCGCCCGGGCGGAGTAGGCGGGTTATTACGTCCAATGCGCCCATGCCGGAGGAGACGACGAGAGCGCGCGAGGCGTTCATGATTTTAGCTAGGTGTCGTTCGAGATGGGTGCGCGTGGGATTGCCAGAGCGCGTGTAGTCATACTCTCCGCCTCCGCCGGTGGCCGATTCCTGTTTGAAGGTTGCGGACTATGGTGTTGAGTTAGCATCGTTCACTGGGATAGAGCGTCCTCGGCTTCCGCAAAGGACTTCGGTATGCGACCTCGAAGTCTAGAGGGCCTGAAATTGTATGTGTACCTGATATATGGGCACGCTAGAAGCATTGTACTGGTCGGTGCTCTCGGTGTAGACCAACTCGGTCGCCAGAGCGTACTTCCGACCATTCCGTGGACTCGAAGGCGCTGGGCTGGGCGGTAGGTCGTGTCCGTCGAGATCCAGGCCGCGGAAGGCCTTGCCTACGCTATTGACTTTGTCCTTGAAGCTGTCCGGGGGTGGTGACGACGAGCCGGACGACATGGCAGGCGATGGATGGGATGGGTATCGTGAGGGGACCGAGGGAGGGGCAATTCCTTTGTGGGGCCGCGGGAGGAGTGGATTATGGAGGAGCAGGCCGGATTGCGGGCGGAGGGAGGAAGATGTAAGAAATCTGAGGCAGTCCGGGGCAAAGACGCAGGTACATGGCTAAAAGGCGGAAGTCTAGTCGTTGAGTCTCGCTGGAGAGTCACCGCTCCGATTGCGCCATTCTCGCTGGTGGCACGAGAGCCATCATGCATCAAACCCCGAGAACACCCCGCCTGCCCGAGCGTTAAGCAGCACGAAACATTGCCCATGACACTCAAAACAACACTTGTTTTTGACTACGACGAGAAAACACACAACGCCAATTTCAAAGCCCTCTCTCCTTCCAGACCGCTGTACTTCCAGTGTTGTATCTCACTTGCGACCTAGATGAGCCGTCCGAGACTGGCATTCGCATTTTTTACATGCAGTCAGAAAAAGTAACAACCCAAGACACTCGAATGTCTATGCGGACAGCGAGGCATTTTCAAGACGCCTCATTAATACTGAATGCATCACCACACGAGTACCTCAATGGGCCGAAGAAACCCCCACATGGAATTTTGCTACCTAGAGCCAAGGGTATTGAGAGTCAAAACCATCCATCAACAAAAAATGCGTGCCTGCTTGCTCCCCGTGATAGTTGTGCCCAAACGCCCGGCCGCTAAATCATAACCTCGTAATAACGAGAACTAGAATGGAGACGGCGGAATAAAAGACGAAGAAGTACAGGTGGCACCAATGTTACGCTCATCCTCATCCAATCTGTCCCTATACGTGCAAGAAGCCCCTATCGCGGCACAATAGCCGGGAACAGCTTCCGTTCCCGCAGGTTGATGTTGAATTCGAAGATGCCGTCTTCTGTGCCTGCATACAGCTTGCGTCCATCCTGGCTCATGGCGAGCCCTGCAGTCCTCACGCCGTTGTGTGGGTCGCTGCGTGGGTCGTGCGCGCCAGCCGTCTGCCGTCGCGGTCCTTGTCGCATCATGGCGATCTCGTAGTCACTGCCTGGGTGCTCTCGCAGGCTTCTTATACGATCCCGAGCGGCTTGCAGTTGGCGTATGCGGTGCACCTGACTTGTGAGTGCTGCTGGTGAATCCACTGGTGCTCGGGGCGGCAGCGATTCGGGCAAGGAGCTTCGCGCCATGGCAGCCTCTATCGTTCGCCACGGGTCACTGGATGAGGACTCCGAGGAATCAGCGCGCCTTGCGTGTGGTGGGATTGGGTTCGGCGACCGTGATGTTGGTGTGCCCGTCAGGCTATCAGTGCTGCCGCTGTTGGCAGCGCTGGAGCGGCCACCGGAGAGAACGACAGACGCTTGTCGCCGTGGTTGGTACGATGCCCGTTCTGGGTCTAGAGCTCGCTCTCGGAGCAGACTACGCACACGAACATAGTCTGTGAAGTCCCCTCTGCCATGTGACGATGCATTCTGGCCTGCACCATTTCTCTCGCTGCGTTCGGACGACGAATTGTTGAAGGCCGTCCTGAATAATCCTAGATCACTAGTATTCGGGTAGCGGATGCTGCGTGGTGTTGCACCTCTTTCGCGGGGTTCGTCCCTCTGTCGCGTCATGATCGCATCCAGAACCTGGCGTTCGTCCGGGGTCAGTCCGTGAGGATCATTGTCAGATTCCACCACTCCAAGCTGGCGATGTAGCCTTCGCCGGTCCGCTGCTGCCTCGAGGTAATCCGTCGCATAGTTTGATGCTGCCGAGTTGCCTTCAGAGTCCAAAGCGCGACGATACCTACGAATGAAATCCGCCTCCTCACTGATATCCCGTAGCTCCGACTGGGTCTGCTGTACTTCGGGTTGCATGTCAATGTCGAAGTCCGCGATGTCGATTTTCTCCAAATCATCTTCCATTGGATCCAAGGCGAGTACCTGCTTAACGCTAAGTCCACTGCGGATATCCGCGACGCACACTCTCGCTTGGTCCTCGCTCCATACGAGGAGATCCCAAGGTTGAGGGGAGAAGAGCATGGTCCGCACGGCACCCGGGCCAGCCACGGAGTCGGGTCGCGAAGATTTAACAATCTGCACGACGGCATCCTCGGCATAATCGCACTCGTTTAGTAACTCAGTGTCGAAGACTGTGATGTACCCACATTCAGAACCTACCGCGCAGAGCGCCCCTGAGGGTGACCAGGCTGTGGTGAAGTATCCTGCGACGACAGAGCCTGGTGGCACATACAACTGCGCCTCGGCAAAGTTTGACCATTGTGCGGGCAGTAGCTGGGACCGGCCTTCGGGTGTTTTCAATATGCTCGGTCGCGATCTTTGGAAGAAGAAGACCTGCTGGTAGTCCCCTACAGCAATCAGGAATTGTCCATCGGGAGATATGGTGGCGTGGTTCATAGCAAACGGCAGCTTCAACTCCGCGACCTCTACACTTTGCGTCAAAGAGTAGATGCGCACAGTCTTGTCGTTGCTGGTGAGAACTGCTACCACCTCATCCTCCTCTTCGCCTTCGCCGGGCAGCTTGTGTATTGAGATTGAATTTACAATCTCCGAGCCAATCCTTTCGACCCGAATAGAACTCGCTGAGCGTAAAGTAGGCGGCGGCGGTAGAGCGGTGCGATTGGGGAGATCTAGGGGCAAAAGCGCATCGACGTCGGCGGGGTTTGGCGGGGGGTAGGCTTCTACCTTGATGGCGGCAAAACAACCATCTTCGGCGCCTCCCACGCAGACCCAGCCATATCCGGCAGCGGTACACCTGGCATCGAAGGTCAGAGTAGCTATGTGGGCTTGTGTCTTTGTGACGGTGTTGAGGCAGTAGACGTCCTGGCCGTTCGCGTAGTAGATGAGGTCCTGCTCCGGGGAGCTGATGAAGTGCCGCAGTTGGTAGTGTCTGGGCCCAGTCAGTACAATCGCGTGAATGAGCAGTGAGAGGGACACTGACGAAAGGGGTATGGAGAGCGGATAGAAGGCCTTGGAAGGCAGGACGAAGGTGTCAGTGTCGCGGCACCTGCGGACATTAGCATGCGCCATTTGGGCCATGTTCCTTGGGTTCGAGGCTGGGATGCAACATACAGAAAGTCGTCAACGGCCATTCTGTGTATCAGTTCGGGGTGCACAGCATGGCCTGGTGGGCTCAGAGAAGGAGGGGGCCCAGGACAACAGTCGAATGCGCGCGGCGCCAAAGTACGTCACAGCGTTGAGGCACGGGTGGAAGTGAGAAGGTATTGGAATTGTCCAGAGCGGCGTGCTCTCTGGGAAGTAGATATATCAGACGGAAACCCCGTGAGACAGGCGTTCGGTGGTGGAGCGGGCCAGGCGGCTGCGTTGTACTCGGCTTTATGGACTGGAGGTGACTGCTCCTCTTGCGAGCTCTCCATTTGCTTCACGCCATTTGTCGATCACGACTTCACTGCACGTGAGCCAGAAGCAAGCAACCAGAGACGAGACGAAATCCGTAGCGCTGACCACGAAGGCTCCGCGCAAACGCCGGCTTGACGGCAGCAAACAACAGCGGACACGACGAGCCGTGTTCGCAGCCTGTCGTGCCTGTCTCCCTCCATCTCTCCCGCACTTCGGCACCTTCGACTTCGGCAACTCGGCCTGCGCGCTCGCTGCACGTGACCTATCCGCACAGACCACACATCTAGAAATTTCCTTCCTTTGCCATCTCCTAGAGCTCTCCCGAGTCTCCATCCCAACTTCATCCACCACACTCGCCCATCAATTCTCCCCACCCTGCCCCTCCCCAGTTGCTCAGAGTCTACCCTTAGCGGCGCCTGTAATATTCTACCCACATCATGTTGTCGTCCAGGATATCAAGATCGGTGAGTCTGCTTGCCCCCAGAGCTCTCGTGCATTTCTCTGACCTCATGCCATCAGTTTTTGCCCCGAGCCACATCCGCCGCGCGATGGACGCCTGCTGTCCGGAAGCCCTTCGGCTCAGCCTTCGTCAGGGGATACGCTGATGGCGGCGAGGAGAAGGTCAAGGGCTCGGTCATTGGTATTGACTTGGGCACCACCAACTCAGCCGTCGCCGTCATGGAGGGCAAGGTCCCGCGCATCATCGAAAACTCGGAAGGTATAATTGCTCCATCACTATCAAATATTTGAGCCAATGCTGACTCCATTTCTCGTAGGTACGAGGACAACACCATCCGTCGTCGGTTTCACAAAGGAGGGCGAGCGTCTCGTCGGTATCGCCGCAAAGCGACAAGCAGTCGTGAACCCGGAGAACACCCTTTTCGCCACCAAGCGTCTCATCGGCCGGAAGTTCACCGACGCTGAGGTGCAGCGCGACATCAAGGAGGTCCCATACAAGATTGTCCAGCACTCCAACGGTGACGCATGGCTCGAAGCACAGGGACAAAAGTACTCGCCATCTCAGATTGGTGGCTTCGTTTTGGGAAAGATGAAGGAGACCGCCGAGGCATACCTGGGCAAGAACATCAAGAACGCCGTCGTCACTGTCCCCGCATACTTCAACGACTCGCAGCGTCAAGCCACCAAGGATGCCGGCCAGATCTCAGGTCTGAACGTGCTCCGTGTGGTCAACGAGCCCACTGCCGCTGCCCTTGCCTACGGTCTTGATAAGTCGACCGACAGTGTCATTGCCGTCTACGATCTTGGGGGAGGCACTTTCGATATCTCCATCCTCGAGATCCAGAATGGTGTCTTCGAGGTCAAGTCTACCAACGGCGACACCCATCTCGGTGGTGAGGACTTCGACATCACCCTCGTCCGCCATCTCGTCCAGCAATTCAAGAAGGAGCAAGGCATTGATCTGTCTGGTGACCGCATGGCCATCCAGCGAATCCGCGAGGCCGCCGAGAAGGCCAAGATCGAGCTGTCCTCGTCGCTCCAGACCGACATCAACCTGCCCTTCATCACTGCCGATGCCTCCGGACCGAAGCATATTAACTCCAAGATGTCCCGGTCACAACTTGAGCAGCTGGTTGATCCCCTGATCAGCAAGACCGTTGAGCCAGTGCGCAAGGCCTTGAAGGATGCCAACCTCAAGGCCACTGACATCCAGGAGGTCATCCTCGTCGGTGGTATGACTCGTATGCCCAAGGTTACTGAGTCCGTGAAGAGCATCTTCGGCCGCGACCCGGCCAAGTCTGTCAACCCCGACGAGGCTGTTGCCATTGGTGCCGCTATCCAGGGTGCCGTCCTCTCCGGTGAGGTCACTGACCTCCTTCTCCTCGATGTCACTCCCCTATCCCTCGGCATCGAGACTCTCGGCGGTGTTTTCACTCGCTTGATCAACCGCAACACCACCATCCCCACCAAGAAGTCGCAAGTCTTTTCGACCGCTGCCGATTTCCAGAGCGCCGTCGAGATCAAGGTCTACCAGGGTGAGCGTGAGCTGGTCCGTGATAACAAGCTGTTGGGCAACTTCCAGCTTGTCGGCATCCCGCCTGCGCACCGTGGTGTCCCCCAAATTGAGGTCACCTTCGACATCGATGCCGACTCTATTGTGCATGTGCACGCCAAGGACAAGTCGACCGACAAGGATCAGTCCATCACCATCGCCTCTGGATCTGGTCTATCTGAGTCTGAAATTGACAACATGGTCAGCGACGCCGAGCGTTACCAGGAGTCCGATAAGGAGCGCAAGAACGCCATTGAAGCCGCCAACCGCGCCGACAGCGTTTTGAACGACACCGAGAAGGCCCTCAAGGAGTTCGAGGACCGCCTAGACAAGGCCGAGGCTGAGAAGATCCGAGAAAAGATTGCCAACCTGCGCGAGTTCGTCACCAAGAGCCAGTCTGGTGAGGGCTCTGCCACCGCCGCCGAGCTTAAGGAGAAGACCGATGAGGTTCAAACCGCCAGCTTGACCCTGTTCGACCAGATGCACAAGGCTCGCGCATCAGACTCAAACAACAGCAGCTCTGGCGAGCAAGGCCAGGCTGGTGAGAGCACCGAGGGCGAGAAGAAGCCATAGATCTTTCACTAGCTAAAGTTTTATGTCTGTCTCCTCTCTCACAATTGGGCTCACTCTCGGCACTTAAAAAGCGGTCCTGTCATTTGCATCCTCTCGGTTTTTGGGATTTAGAAAGCGTCTTCCCTGTCCTTTTACTTGTACCTATAGCCTTGTTGTTCGATTCACCTCTCATGCGAAACGCCATCTCCCTTTATTGGCTCTGTCGTTTTATTATGGCGATTGGGAGAGTGTGGGGGAGTATCTGGAGGGAGTCGTCTGCTGCAATTTTGAACAAGGACGATACCGCTGGGGCCTAGATATCGGCTGCTGGAATTGTAAAATAGTAGTAGGGTGTGTGGGCATGAGGCCTAATGTCATATTCTCCCCTCATGGCGAGTTGCTGTTATTTGTTTCCCATCTATGATTGTTGAGTTCGTCAAATTCGCTTGAGTGACTACGCTAACTTCTGCAGTTTGATAAACACCGCTTGATGGTGGTTCGTCCCTAAAGTAGCTGTAGCGTATTGTTGAACTCTTTCACGATGAGAATGGAGAGTGATTGTTTTAGCTGGGGAAATTTACACTAAAGATAGAATACGACTATGCCAAGGACGGTAAGGTGCCCAAGCTAGGCATCCCTAAACCACCCGCTGACTTGTGACGTCTCTCCCTCCCTCCCCCCTCTCTCCGCTCAGCTAGGCATAAACGTACAAGGGTTCCTTCTAGCTGTTCAACCCATTGAGACTAAAACTCACATTCTACCAAGTTCATATAAAAGAAACAGGATTGAAAACCTGCGGTTTGTGGCAAAGCCCCGGCCGATTCCCAAGCCTGAAAGGCAAAGCAATCAATCTGGCATCATAATGGAGTCTTCAACAGGAACAAAAACATCAGGTCTCCGATCCGAGATCCTTTCCAGGCCCGACTTCGAAGATCGCCCGGCTCTGAACGCCGCCTTAACAAATCTAGTGAACGAAACATTCAGTCAAGTCAAAGCCGCGGATCCTAGCCTATGGGAGCCGTCTCAAATACGTCCTCGTTTTCCAGACTCTTCCAGCTTAACCACCATGCTCGGGCGGGCTGGAATGTGTGCCGTGATCTTCGACTCTGTCAATGGGACAGACATACCTGTCGCCACAGCAAGCGTCATCCCAAGCGACAACGCTGAGCTCATTGGATCGTACTGGGACGATGGGAACTTAGTACGCCTTCCTATTCCTCTCAAATTCACTCTGCCTCAAATCTAATGGGCTAATCCGATCCAAAGCCCATCGAGTTCGAACTCCTTGCAGTAGTCTCGCATCCATCGCCGACGTATCGCAGGCGAGGGCTAGCAAGCCGTTGTTGCAAGATGCTTGAAGACTGCGTTTCGGCACTCCTCCAAGCCAGCTTTTCCGGCACTGATCCTAGCAAATCAGCAGCACGACCAAGCAAGAGTTGGCGACTAAGGCTCCACACCGTTGAAGAAGAATCGGTCGAGTACTGGCGGCGCCGGGGCTTCCAAGAGACCGGGCGGCACCCCTTACCCATCGGCACGTGGGGCTGCAAGAAGGAGCGCACTATAACGAGCATGATGCGAGACATTCCATTGGTCCCGGACTACACCGGAGTCTCGATACTAAACGAGGTTGAGTTTTCGAGGTACCAGGTGTCATTGCAGCCGTATCTTATCAACCAGGCCTTGACTGAGCAAGCAGCGAGTATTGCACGGCGACGTGAAGAGGGGCGGCCGGAGCCTGTATCCCGGAAAGGGCCTGATAGCGCGAGGAACGAAGATCTGGCAAGTGCATCGATACTTGACGAGCTGCGGGAAAGCTGTCGGGAGCTGCTAAAACCGGGCGTGCCTTAAGAGAGAGCCTGAGGCGTAATGTTTCGATATAGAGACTGCGGGAAAGCCTAGACGATGAATTACAAAAGGCCTGAAGCAAGCATCACCAAAGTTCCGAATCCATCTTCTCCTGCGAACCATTTCTCCCACGAGACTGGACTTCTCTTCAACCCATCGTATCCTCCTCTTATAACCATCAGCTCTCCGGTCTCGGATAGCCCGAAGATCTCCCTTTCCTGAACACTGCGGTCTATCTCTAATCGCCACTCGTGCGACGTCCTGCACTCCCACAATGCCTTTTTACACGGTAGGGGCACGAGGATGAATTCCGGTAATGGAGATGGCCTGGGGCAATGCATCCCGCCTTCGATATCTAGGACCATCATGATGATTCTGAAGAGCACGTGAGTACTGCCACTCAATCAGCGACGTCATGTCCGAAAAGTAGGCAAAAATACAAACCGCCGTTTTGACTCTTCGAATAGCCAATCCTGCCACAGTTGCTCCTCATCGACCGAACGCGAGGCACCTGACTGCGCAATATTTGCCGCTGGGTTGTCGTATGTTATGTCTCCGGATGCACATGATGCTATTGCGTCGGAAACGGCCTGCACTAGTTAAATATGAGCGCATCATTGCACTTAAGAGTGGTATCTTTTTACCTTGAATGCTGGAAGGAGCGGTACGTGTATACTCCATTTTTCCAACTCACCATCAATCTCCATCATGATTGTGTATATCAGGAATACCTGTATCGCAGCCCAAAGCTCACGATCGTCGAATTGGTGGAGCTGTGTATCAATCAGCAGGACTCTATTAGTCTAAGGATTGCATCACATACATGCGTCAACACTCGGTCTCGTTCCATCTGGATAGTCCTCCACATGAAACCTTTAGACTCTTTCGTCCTTGTAGTGAACATTTGCGCTACGCTCATACAATTTGCCAGAGTCTCTGGAAGAAAACCACCCACTGTACGATATTGAGGGTGGATGAATGGTGGGAAAGTCTCCCTACGAAGCATCATCTCAGGATACGAGCGAATAATCCGGATCAAGAAATGGGAACACATTTCAGAACCAGACCTGGCCATCTTTCGTCGCACAATCGGTCTAAAGGGAGTTGAATCTGGTTCTGGAAGGTAGAGGCATCCTTCCGGAGGGATACAGTCATCCACGCTGGGTTGAAATATCTCAGAGATGTCTGGGAAAGTCATGTCGATGGAGAACCCCGGGTCAATCTGGGGAGCCCATTTGGCAAGAAGGTCCATCGACATGCCATCGCTGTCTGAATGCAAAAGCTCTCCCAAGTGTGCCTCTCTATTTACTGGCAGCGTTTGTTGCGAGCTTCTTGATAACGGCGGAGTGGTAGTCGAGTCACTATTGCTTCTCGTTGAAGGGCTATCCGATTCGCCTGCAGGTGAGCTCCGCTTTACGACCTTATCGTATCGACATTTGAGACCCCTGTGCTCGCATTTCGAGCATCGTGGTACTTTGGTATCACAGCGCGTCTTTGCACGTACACAGGAAGTGCAGGACCGTTTTTTAGAGCTCGAATTCCCAATCTGCTTTGATCGGCAATAGTAGCCGTGACGCTTGTAGGTGGATTCTACGTTCGTTAGATTGGCTTCCCACGATTAAGATGACAATACCTTTTTCAAATCCTTTACCGCAAAGGGCGCATGCTAATCCACGTATCTTGGGGCTAACGGAGTCCATGGTATGTATATACAGTCTTCTACTACTCTTTGAATTTTGTAGGCATCGGCATTTTTTGAACTCTTGAAGGAACCCCGTGCTCCGGGACGGTAAGCCTTAACTTTAAATACAATTACACGGATTTCCGTGAAAATGGACCAAGGTTGGTCAGCTTTTTCGCATTACTAATTAGGCTTGCCGCAATTCAAGAGCCCTGATTGGCCTCTTTGCATCACCAAACGCGTACCTCTCTAGACGCATTCACGGGGTTTCAAAGTCGTGGTGAGTAACCATCAGTGAGATGGATTCGTCCTACCTTAAAGGGTACATGGCCTGGTCAGATATCCTATCTATTCATCCCAAATCTTTCCTGGCCTTTCACATACACACCCTACACAGTCAAAATGACTATTTTACGAGACGCTGGCCTTGGTCAATTCATCCACTACGCGAGTGGAGGTAAATACTTCAAGCATCCAGAAGAATCGCCAAACTTCGACACAAGTTTTCTCCGAGAGGTCACCGATTCAGAGTCTGCAAAACATGAGGCTCTCGATAGCCGACCCATTTCTCGGGATGGTGCCGCTTCTGCCCTCGATGTTGACTTGGAGAAATCACCCACAGCGAATCGAACGGCGACGAGATCAAAAGACGGTACTCTCCTAGTCGGATGGTACTCAGAGGGTAGGGAACCCACCGCAAGTCACACGAGTTTGACTTCTAGAGACTGACAGCATTTAGATGATGTAGAAAATCCGCTGAATTGGAGTCCGCTTAAGAAGTATAGTGTCGCGCTTATAATATGGTACGCCAGAAAATCCAGTCTAATTCTCAAGAATGAAGCTGACCTTGGCTCCTCTCAGTCTATATACTGTCTCGGTATATCTAGGCGCGGCGATCTTCTCATCTAGCCAGCCAGGTGTGATGGAAGACTTTGGTGTTAGTCTGATCGCCTCATCGTTAGGAATGGCTCTTTACATACTTGCTTGTGGGTCTTGCAATCTCTGAGCTTTTATCGATATACCAACTGAATTGATTAGATGGAATTGGGCCCATGATCTTCTCCCCTTTGAGCGAGTTAGTATTCTCCCTGTACTTTCAATAGACCATACTCACAAAGAGCCCAGAATCCCCGCTATTGGTCGGACGACGCCTTACTTGATCACTTTCTTCATCCATGTTATCCTCCTCATTCCGACATCTCTCGTCGATAATTTCGCCGGCTTGCTGGTCTTGAGATTTCTACTCGGGTTCTTTGGTAACAATTTCCCAGACGCGAATTGTGAGTCTCATTTTTAACCGTTGACAGGTTCACCGTGCTTAGCAACGTCGGGAGCATCTTTCCAAGATATCGTATTCATTTCCACCCTACATCTTGATTGTACATGAGTACTCACTCATTTCAGTTTCCCGGCGAGCAGATGACCTACATTATCGGCATCTGGGCAGCTATAAGTCAGAACGCTCCTATTCCTAACGGTGATCTCCCCATCTGACTGTTCACCAGCTTCCTGTGGACCATCCCTCGGTCCCCTCCTCGCTACTTTTAGCATCGAGCATTTCGACTGGCACTGGAGCCAATGGGAAATGCTCATGCTCTCCGGCCCCGTCCTCATCCTCATGGTTGCCGCCCTCCCCGAAACTTCCGCAGCCACCATCCTCCTCCGCCGCGCCCGACGCCTGCGAGCCGCGACCGGCAATCCTGCCATAAAATCGCAGTCGGAGATCGACCAATCACACTTGTCTATCTCTTCCGTCACATTCAATGCTCTAGTCAAGCCGTGGGAGATTAACATCCTGGATCCCGCAATGCTGTTCACGACCTTCTATACCGGGCTCTTATACGGCATCTTCTACACCTTCTTCGAAGCCTTCCCCTTAGTTTACGAGGGCGTCTACCACTTCAGCGCCGGCGGCCTCTCGCTAGCCTTTCTGTCCGTCTTCGTCGCGCAAGTGACCATCGCACCATCGTACCTCCTACACTGGCGCTACGTGGTCCACCCCGGCATCAAAAAGAACGGAATCAAGCAGCTAGAAGACTTCCTCAAACCCGCGCTAGTATCCTGTTTCGCGCTGCCGATCGGGCTGTTCATCTTCGGTGCGTTTGTTGCGTTCCACCCCCTTACTGTCTCTATACCCCGCCTGCTAATTCGTTGCGTTGCAGCATGGACCTCCCGCGCCTCGGTCCACTGGATCGTCTCCATGCTCGGCGTCTCCATCACCGGTTGCGGCATGTACGTGACGCTGCAGGTCATCTTCATCTACGTGCCGCTGTCGTACCCGAAGTACGCCGCCTCGCTGTTCGCGGCGAATGCGCTCGCGCGCAGCTTGTTTGCGTTTGCGGCCATTTTGTATGCGACGCCGATGTTTGAGAAGCTCGGGATTGATGGGGGCGTGAGCTTGCTGGCGGGCTGTACGGTGCTGTGTTGTGGGGGGATGTGGGTGCTGTATTATTGCGGGCCGTGGTTGAGGGCGCGTTCGAGGTTTGCGGTTGGTTGAGGGCAAGGTCGAAGTTCGCGATTGGGTGAGTTTTAATTTTGGGTCATAAGAAGTTGACGCTGGGGGGGGGTTTTTTTTAGAGAGGAGTGGAGTCGCTACGTTGTTTCGAGAGAGTGCCATAATGCTTTTCCTTTGTGCATTGGTATGAAGGCATAGGAGGTTTGTAGATTGCTGTTTTGGGATAGATGGCGTCACCTCAGCTGGTTTAGCGACTTAATAGATTGCTCTAAATAATAGAAATGTATCTTGTTTCAATTCTAGAGAACATGACGAAACCAATAGCGGGTTTATAACTGAGCTGGGGCTCCTTTAAGCGGGTTGATTCCCGAAGCCTGCTGATCTGGTCATTATTCAAGGTGCCACCTTGGACGAAAGCATCGAACACAGACGGCGTAGTTCTTACAGGTCTACAAACTACACACCCGACGTGAGCTTTTCCGAAGAAACGGAGGCGGTGCTGTCTGGGTGGACATGGTATTCGTTACAGACATGATCGGAAACTCTGCACAAGATTCGACATGCGCCGTCGTATTTTCAACTTTGTCAACATGCCGTGGTGTTCACCGCTATTATTGATAGGAGGAGAGAAGATGAGGAGGCTTGATGATTTTATTTTATTGCATTGTACTGTCTTCGTTTTACCCCTGCTTAGCTCATCAGGTACTGAATGAAGCTGGTTTGATCGCCGATCCGGTATTGGAAGTCCAGCACATAGTTGACGACAATGTTGTATTTCGCAAGGTCGAGACGGACGAGTCCCATAGTAAGTCTCGGAAGTACTTTTATCAAGTAGTCCCACGACTTGACTCACAACCTCCATCAGGTTAGTTGATAGTGAATCTCGACAAACTTCACATAAAACGATGGACGGCATTTTGGTGAATCGATCGCAGAGTTTCCAATTTCCATTTCTGTCTTCGACTGCCGACAGCAGGACACGCCCGACCATTATCAATAGCAAGGTTGAACCGTATTGGTTGCCCCAGGCCATAATTCCTACCCCTGGGTCATGAAGAGTGCGGAGCAGCTCAGTTCTGCCATAAGACCTTTATCGTAGTCTTTGTTAATGCTCGATATGGCTACGCCCATAAGTTTAACCCAACCCTATTAGTGATTTAATAACAAAGTAACCAGTATTGGTTTCCGGGGCCATTAACAGGATTTCCGAAGGGTGCTGTTCAGCTTCGTTCTGCCATAACTGGTAATGTTTAACGAATGCTCGATTTGGCCGGGCCCATGGGTGGACGTCTCCATCATTTCAATTGAGGATCTCTAAATAACCAGTGAGTGAAGCTTTCGGGAAGTTTCACCGACTCATAACGGATAAGTTCCCGAGAGTATGACTTTCGAATACCACCAAGGGCAGGCCGAGCCAGATACTGCGCGAATATCGCGACTTCGCACATGTGAAAATATCTCAAGTGGGAGTTTGTAAGATTTGTATCGATGCATACTGTAGTAAGGCCTTTGGTCCTACCTCAACAAAGCCCATAGTGTGATAAAATGAGATCGTTTTGTTCGGAGATTCCCCACAAATTATACGCACTGGTGTCATGCAGATTATAGAGTTCCCTTCTTAGCGAAGATATTTACCATATCAGGAAGCCTTCTTTCAAGATCGACACCAAGAAGAAGCAAAGCCATATGACGATGAACATGTATAGCTTTGATAGGCTTCCAAAGCCATCAGATTGCATGACTATAAGATTTAGATCAGCTACATCAGGAACTTTCTTGGGCCCTTGAGGTTTGTCCAGCGGCGATGTCATGATACCATGCGCCGGTTGTTTTGGAAGCAAATTTCAACGAACTCCATGAGCGAGGATTAGAGTTGAGGTTTAGTGGACCTATGGTAGTCAAGCAGGTTTCTTTCAACGCTGATACCAGGAACCAGGCTCGAGCACATAATTTGTTCATGAAATAGACTTTAGTAAGACCACAAAGCCACCATGTCAGGATATAGGTAACCTTTTCAATGGCGACCAAGCCACGCGAGCAACATAACTTGCTTGAGTCGATCTGACACTTTCAATCGACTCCATAGCCATTTCGATTATGAGTGTTTCGACACGATCTGCAGCCATCTACCGCAGTCCGATCCGTTTTCGGTGTCTTTGAAGGTCCTCCGACGTAGAAACGAGTGTTTTCACCGCTACCGCAGCGAAATCTTGGCAGCTGGTGAAAAGTGGTGAGAACTCTTGTGTATTGCTATGTAGGAGGATGGGTATATATAGGCGTGAAGGAGCCAAGCCAGCTAAGAGAAGGAACCCTGTTGAGCTGAAAGGTGACGCATGCAAGTTGAGGAATGGCGCTAAGGATGCGCTAGTACCGTAGCGTATGGACAGCTGCCAAATCTCGAGCATGTTACACTCGTGTTCGGTTTTCAAGAGCGACAACACCAGGAGGCCAAGTCTGGAGCCATCATGATCTGCTCGCTAAGGCTTTGATGAACCTAAGAGTTCAATCGACCACAAAGCCTGCATGGTCTCTGGATGAAATGCTTTTTGGACACTAATTCCACTGGTGGTCTCCCGGGAACGCGCAACCACAACCATGCAACATTCAAAGAAGCGCTTTTCAGACAGCTTCCATGCCATTCTGTGTTGTAGACTTCTTGATCATGCCGGCGAAAAGTGGGTAGTCTCAACATCCGCCGCGCGAGCAGGCACAAGTCTGATCCATGATTCTCATTAGTGTTAGGTCGTGAATGGGCGTTATAGCAGCAACAGAAACCCCAGGCACAAGTCCAGTCCATTTCTTCGTAGTGTCGGAAAGTTTGATGGCCTCTGAGACCAATTTACTTCATGTAACGCTGTGTTGATGCCTTCCTGTTCGTGGAACGCAAATGATGTAGACCATTTCGGTCACATGCATTTCTCGCTTAAACAGGTTGTGGTGGAAAAGAGGAGAATGCTCTATAAGGCTCTATAAAATCTTTGTTTCTCTGCAGTCAGGTGCGGACACATAGAATTGTTACGAAGATCTTTATGATGAGCTTTTGACGACTCTTTGGCTCACCAACTTGTGAAAATAGTTTAGCCAATGTCAAAAATCCCGCCGTGGTTCGAGAATGGGGAGCATAGGCACAGGCAGGAATTTCGAACCCTCGTTAGTGGTATACCAGAAAACTTTGAATAAAGCTTCAGGAGAGGCGTAACACATGGGGAGTCGTTGCAGCCAGCTGCCAATAATTCCTCATGGGATTGGAATGCCTCAATGTCAACCTCGGCATGAAGACAAATTTCATGTAAGTTCTGACATTCCATTTTGACAACCGAAATCTCGTCCGCTCAGGAAGCCATTATGAGTTCCGCTGGGAATTTCAAGTAAGATATCCGCGGACTGTAGCAGAAAAACATTTGGGCGAAGCTGGGAGCGTAAGTATTCTCGTTACACACTAGTCCTGCAGCTCCAGGCTGACTTCCAGCGAGCTCTTGCTCCTCAGGTCATTCTGCCTATCAGCTATGATTTCGATTCTTTCTTGCGAGCCAATCCACCAGACTCATAACATCTCTGCTAAAGTCAAGAATGAAACCCGGCAGCGTCCACAGGAAATAGAAATCAACGATGTTGTCCATGCCAACTCTGCAGAGCCACGTCCGAAGATCTCTACCGATACCGACTTAAAGAAATCGTACGGGTCTTATAGACGTTGGCGCAGTCATGATGCTAATTTGCACGCGAAGTCTGTCGTCGCCTTTTCGGCAAGCTTTCAGCATAGAATTTTGCTTGTAACATCTAAAACCCACGCTGTCGGCCATGTGACCACAGACATGCTTTTCTCCATCTGAAGTGTCGATATGGTACTCGGTATTCAGGGGCGCCGTAGAGGGGATACCTTCGCAATCACGCACACTCGACACCATTGGCCTATTCCTTACGGCTTTTAATCGATTTGCAGCACCATGACCAGTATTCCAGAGGGTGTTGGACTCAATATCCCATTGATAGACTGTTCTAGGGAAGGTCCAAACAGAGCCATGAAAGTGAGGGAAGGTGGTTTTACACTGGATCATTAGGGCTTCAAAGAGTCGATTCTAGTCATCCATGTCGAAGATTCCGATAGCAACCACCCCAGCAAACATGAATATCGAGTTGGCAAAGATATGAAATTAGGACTGCGCAAATCTGATCGACTCGCCGCGCCATGTGTAGATGTGCTGACATCTTTCTACAAGCTGTCCATAGCCAGATCGTTGAGGAGAAATCCAAGCAGAGACATGTAATCAGTGAATGAGAGTGCGTAACGGAAATCAGGGACACACACAGGCAAACTTTGGATCATAGATCTTCACCCCCAAAAAATTGGAAATTGATTTTTTCAACAGCTACCGCACGAGCAGACCCAAGTCCGGCACCATCCGATGGGTCTCAGGACAATTTTTTTGATCCACACATGTTTGGTGCAGACATAGTATTTCAAATCGGTTGCGGTCCGATCATATCCACCAAGGCAAGCTTAACTAGAGATATCGTAGCGGGTATTGTTGGATTTTGCGCCAAACATGACCCCTTGATCGTTCGGGGCATTGATCATTCCATTCTGCTCCATAGGGGTTGAGCGATAGCCGCGCCAGAGAACACAAGTCCGACGCCAATAAAGGTCGTTGAGGAACCCGCAAAGTCTTGGAGGAGCGGAGATTCGCTCAACTTGCCGTATGCAAATAATACTTCAAAAGCTTTGCCTCAGTCATGTTCGACTGACTTCCACTTGTTTTTTTGCCGCCACCAGTAACATCTTTCTTCCGGCTTGAGCTCAATCATGAGAAATAGGTACTCGTCGATGGTTTAACAGAACAGCAAGAGCATCCCAACGCCATTGTGTTGCAGCGTTACTGATGGGATAATGTTTCATCCACTGAAATAACGACGCTTTTCTGTTCATGACTGGAACACAACCGCCATTCTTATGACATTTGGGACATATTTGGCCAGAGACATCGCTGCTTGGCGTCGAATCTCTTTTTGAATCGCAACGGTATCAGCAGGCGGAAGAATGCTAATCCAGAGACACAAGCCGTGAGAGAACTTCATTCGATCATGCGCTAGTCTTACCTGGAAGCATCTCCACGAATGCTCAGCCAGAAACATGGAAAGACTGCACAGGATTGTTGTTGTCACAGCAGTTGTAGAAAAGTTCGACGGGGAGCTTCAACCAAGGACATGCCGCTGTTCCATACTGGATTCTCGATAACGCCATGGGGGTATTCCGGCCGAAAGCTCAATTTCAGACATGGCGAGGACATTTGCGTATCTTTCGCGCCACCTAGCAGTTCTTACACCCGAGAAAACGCAACCGGGCTCACGGGTCTGCAGGATCGCCTTGTTTTTGCAACGCTCATACGGTTGCAACCTCACAAAGTCTTGACTTCAACAACAACCGTTGCCTTCACACAAGTCTGCGCACACTTGCTCATAAGTGCGATCTTCCGGACATCATGAGAGATCCAGTTGGGTGTGAAATTCCATACGACACCAGTTGGTGACGGTTGATCCAATCAGCCATTGTCAGACGTATTCTGGAAATTTGTCATAATTCTAGGAGAAAAGTCATTGCTGATGCCAGTCTGTCCTTATGGATCTAAGGGTCGCACCGATGCCGGAAAAGCACACCGGGGAAAGCTCAGCCAGAGACATACCGCCGTTCACCTGAATGGTCTTGATAAGATGACTTTGGGATCACTTCGGAGAAAGCTCAACCAGACATAACTTCCGTCTATCCCGACTTTGTGCCACCACGCATCATTGTTGATCCCCGGCGTGTTTGGAGAGTTTCTTATACGCTTTCCAGGCACATGGTGCCATCAGAACGCTCTTTTGGAAGTCGAAACTCGAGAATGGTTGGATCTAAACACAACACCACTTATCATGACGCCTGGTAGACATACGTTTGAATGCGCTAACTTTGAAAGGAATACTCCTACTCATGAAATCTGCGTCCACGTAGAATTGGACAGGAATGCTCCCACTCATGAATGCATGTTGGAAGAGTGATTGTAAAGCCATCGTGATGCTTGAGTGGCACTCTTCCACCCATAATCACTTCCGTTTCGCTAGCTTGACTTCCGCTGAAAGTCCACACATGATGTGTTGCAACGTCTTTTGATACCGCACACAAGTGCCAGAAACTAACACGCGGACACATCCTGGCAGCTGGCCATAGATCGTGGGTGTCTCCTGGTTTGGCAAAATTCGACCAAACCTACATGACAAGCAAACGCCTATGAGTTGGCGACACCCGCAGGAGCGCCAGAGACCCACATTCCTGGACAGCATATCTTGTGGCTAACCTCCACGGGGGATCCGCATATGGCCTAGCCATTGATGCATTCGATATTCAATACACGGTGGCAGGAGTGCGGACACCAACATGCGTCCTGTTTCTCCGTTTCGTTCGATATTGAGTCCACCAGGAAACCGAGCATGAGCTTCAAGGATACACGAGGTTTTTAATTTCTCCTTGAATTTGAAAATTCCAGGCTCCAAAATCGTCCGTTCTTCCTTGGATGGTTGAACTCCAACGGAGAACCACACATTGCGGATCGACGTAATGCGATGTTGATGTACGCAGGTGTCCCAGACGCTACCACTATGAAAATAATTTCATACTGGGCTGGATGATCATAGGAGTTTTGTCGGCGTATTTTTGTAAGCGCCCGACGCATACCGGCTGGCGGTTAGAGGAGCTGGAAAGAATGCCAGACACGCACATCGAGTTTGTCCAATTCGTGATTGAATCTCACAAGGACCCAACGCATGATCCGTTCGATGTCTTCAGCTTGGAGATACTGAGAACGAGTGCCAGAGATCAACATTCACAGGCTACCATTGCTGGTTGTAATACATTGTTGACCTCTACAAAGAACGGACCTGTCCCATGGCGTGTCCCCAGGTAGTATAAATTGGGAGGGAATGCCAGACACAGACATGATAGTCAGGGTAGTCGATAGTTATTGATACTACCGAGAGTCCACACATTTGTGCACTATTGTGTAGTATTTAAGAGTCTGGACAGGGGCGCCAGGGACCAACATGAAGAGATCGTCGTAAGAAGTTGATTTCCACCGGGAGCAAGCACATCACAACTAGAAATTGGTCGATTTTTGGTAGTTGGAGAGCTGGAACAGGACCGTCGACAGCACCATGCGAGAACCACGAAGTTGGGTATGATCTTCCGCTGGGAACCCACACATACCGGCATGTTCTCACCGACTCATCGGAGATACTGGACTGGGATTTTACTCCAACATAACAAATACCAGTATTTGGGCATTGACTTTCACCGAAGTCCACGCATTGTTTCCTATTACGATCTGGATTGAAAACGCCTAAGCTCGCGGCTAGTCCTCTCCCACGACCCGACCACATTCCCCACCTACACATCGGCGTCTGCGTCGTCTATCGTTGGGATACATCCAAACTCGCTTCTTCCTCTTCCATGTCATAGTATCTAGAAAAGATGTTGATAGATTGTCGATACCCACAGGGCAACCCACCATGAAGGCTCCAGTTTGGTTTTTTCCAATCGTGGGAGACACCAACCAACCTCGCCTCTCCCTCCCATGGAGACAGGCTTCAATATTTCTTCAAACAATTCCGACAACGACCAGAAACCCGCATACGTTGATGTCTAGTAATGTTTTGAAACCCCTTCTCAAGCTTCCCGAGTGCCCCCCAACCCATCGGTCCGGTAGTTTCGAAGTTCTTAATGGCGCGATGCCGATTTCCAACCAGAGCCCACATATCGTTGTGCAGACCGACGTTCTTGGAAATACCTCCAGCAACCCCGGTACTAGCCATCAAATGATCCGTTTGCGTAGTTGATACAATATCGATCCCACAAGGAATACAAACGTGGACCACGTCGCTTTGTGTTGGTGTACCCCAAGCACGCACCGCCCTACCTATCAAGGTGGACGCCAGGTAAAGTTGAACACCTCCCCACCAACACCCACACATTCCCAGAATCTGCCAACCTTGTTGAAACACCCCAACCTCCCACCCACCTCCGCATAAGAGTAAACCACTACGCTCTTGGCACCAACAACGCCCACCAAACCCAACACGCTCCGGTCATTCAGCACTGGCTTGTGGTTGTTCCTTTCAAAGCCCTCACCCCTCACCCCTCCCACTCCCATGGCAGGACTCCCAAGTTTATTTTCTCCAAAGTCCAACCTCAGACTGCCCTGAAGAGCCATCCTCAAACCCGGGCGACGCCCTTCTCTTGTACCCCGTCCCCAGCGATCCTCGGAGCTCTGTGCACCCGGGTTTCGGCGACGATTCCGCTGCGGGACACGTATGGGAACACGACGGGGTCATTTGACATGGAAAACTGAGAAAGAATGACAGCACGGGGAGATGGGAGTGGCCAATTGGGGTTTGCGGATGGGATGGAGACGGGCGGAGACGGGGAGGAAAGGGTGAAAAGGGGGGTATGTGGGTGGCATTGATGTTGCGGTGAGGGAGGATACGGGGGTGAGAGGAGGGAAGTAGCTAATTGATGAGTTTGAAGAAGTAAATCCGCTGTCCGAAAGCCACCGATGAGCACGAGGTATGAAATGATGTACTACTTACCACGAAAACAGGAGCAGAACTAGCCAACCCGGCGCAGCGTGTGTCAGGAGTCCGACATGTGATGACAGCACCAACGGCTCGAAGCCCCTGAAGAAGAGCCGATTCATATTGCCCGACTCACCGCTACGAATATGCTGCCCAATCCCCACGCAATCATATGCCAAAATGCCACCACATGACGCGCTTTATTCCGCGAACGCCCTCAAATGCCACACACGCCGCTTAAACGCTATCACATGCAGCGTAACCCGTTCCGTCGCCCTCTTTTTCCCCTATGAACATCCAATGGCAGATCTACAGCGTATCCTCCCGCCAGCGACTCCTCACGCGATCCCACCCCTCCTTCTCCTTCAGGCCCCCTTTGTTCTCCAACCCCATTCCTCTCTCCACCCACTCCCGTCCCCCCATCTCACTTAGCCGACTCAGGGCTCTTGCAAATGCAAAGCGTTCTTCATCTCCGGAGAACAGCGACGAGTTCTTGAGCATACTCATGTTCATCCCCAGATCATCCATCAAGTGTCGCATGACATCACTCACGTCCTCGTTCTCATCACTTTTCGGGATGGAGCCATCAGACTGCCCGCCCTTCATCGCGTCATCGAGCTCGTTGTGGCTGAGGAAGAGCTCGGACAGGGGCACGGCGGTGGTGAGGACGAGCTTGGCGCGGGACTCGTAGACGGCGTCGATGAAGGTGATGAAACGCCGTGCTAGATCTCGGCTCCGCGTGTCCATCCCCGGGACGTCGGTAACGATGAAGGCCTCGTAGTGCCGCATCAGCTCGAGGTAGTCGGCGGCGCCTGTGGCACGTCGAATGATCTGGTCGAAGGTGAACATGGCGGCTTTCCCGCTGGCTTTGGCGACTTCGATGTCGCGGCCCCATACTTGATGCACGGCGTGGTGAGGAGGGTCGTTTTCAAGATCGCCGAGAAAGCGGAACCAGCGCTCCGCGTGCGTTTTCGCGGCCGCGTCGAGAGGGTGGTGGTATACGCCTGAGGGTGGGCGGGGGATGCGGCGGTAGTCGGTTTCCGAGTCAAGGTTTAGGACGCGAAGGCGGGATTTGAGCAGGTTGATTGCGGGGATGAAGCTCTCGCGTTGGATGCCGTTTTTGTAAAGGTCGTCTGGGTGGCGGTTGGAAGTTGTTACGAGAACGACGCCGTGTGACATGAGGGATTCGATGAGACTGGGGGAGTTAGTATCATTTCTCAATTTGGCTAAGAGTACCGAAAGTCGTCGAAAGTAGAATGTGAGATGATAATAGCGTACCGCCTCAGTATCATAGCATCAGCTACGTCCGTACATTGAAATTCATCAAAACACAATACGCTGCTCTTGCTGGCAATATCCGCTGCTACGAATGGGATCGCGTCAAACTCGTTCCCGTACTTCATGTGAACTTTATGCACCTCCCTGTGGACACCCTGCATGAAGTTGAGAAAGTGTATCCTCGTTTTCGCTTTGATGTTCGGAGGTAGGGTATCATAGAAGAGGTCCATGAGCATAGTCTTTCCACTCCCGACATCACCGTACATGTATAGGCCTTTTGGTAGGAGATCTGATATAGGCGGGAGCTTGATTTGTGTCGGAGATGAGGAGAATAAGGAACCGAAGAACGACTTCTTCGGTTGAAGCGACTCGATGGTCGGATGGACCACTTTGGGTGGGCTGTATTTGGAGAGCATCTCGTGGAGGTCCTCGAGGTTTTGAACGATTCCTGAAAGGCTATATTACTTCTGGGCCCTATGTTGTGGATACATGAAAGCAAGGCGTACCTCGTTGGTGCTCGTCCTCCTTCAACCGTCCAGACTCAACGCGGTCATTGTACTCGGCCACGGGCCCCCATGACTTGGTGTTTCCTGCAAGGATACTTAGCGAGGCACTTTCCTATAATGTGGCATTCGCAAGACACGCACTCTGCGGTGACGTTGCGAGTCCCCTCCACGCAGTGGGGGCAAATACTCTGGGCAGCGTCCTCCTCTGCAAGCCACTCCCAGGCACGGTAGGAGCCCAACGACGTGTCTCCAGGCGCGAAATTCTCACACAACTCGAACATAGTGTCCTCCGACGCTCGTAAGTCCTCTGCGAACGGTGGGCGGCTCGTAGGAGGACTCGAAAGCCTTGGAGGGCGTCGGTCGAGGCCATGGTGGGGTGAGAAAAGCGCGACAAAGCAAGGAGGTTCACAAGGGATGCTACCAGGGTATCATGACACGTAAACGGGATTGTGAGGCAAAATAATGCATGCAATTATTTACAAGACGTGACGAACGTGGTGGTGACTTCGGAATGAAATCTTGCGGGAGCGAGTTCGGCAACCTCCCTCGGCTTTTTGGTCCCGCGTCTCTCTGATTGGATGGAGCATCCTGCACCTGTCGTATGCTCTTCACGTCTGTCGACTCCACACGAAGTCATTCGGCGGGTCAGGTACGGGCTCTCGATGACCGGGTCCAGAAGATGGACGGCAGCGGAGAGAAGTGCGAGCGCGGGGTGCAGAAGGTGCCATACCGGGCCGTCATGGCTGTCTTCTCCAGGATAATCGGGGAATCTTACCTATTTTTCTGAGGACTCTTGGGGGCCACTCCTCGAAGTGCTTCAAAACCCCAAAATCTTACGATGCGTGGAAATGCCAACTATTGGAAATCGGAGTAGTCCCACCGAATTACCGCAGACGGCATCAGCCAGAATTGCACATCAGAACACGAACGCCCGAATGTCAGCGCATGGAGGTCAGCAGGATGCACTGTCTTACATGTGAAAATGCCTCATGTATATTGCTCTCAGATATTGCTCTCAGTATTCGTCGCACGTGCGGCGCAGAGACATGTGTTGCTAGTACTCCAGCAAGTTGGTGGATATTATTCAGCGCATCAAAAGAAAACAACCGCACCGAAGGCCTGCAGTGAAGATCGCGCCAGAACGACAACCTGGAAGAGAACCCCACGTGGTCCCCGCTTTCACGCAGGAGGCGGCGCTTCTTTTGACCTCGCGAGATGGTGAACGGCCTCAGAGCACCGGCGCCCATGAGGACGTGGCGGCCAGGGACGTTGCCAGCCACCCAGCCTCTTGACCTCATCTGTCGCGATGCCTCGGCCGGCGTCCGAGACCCTGCCCAGCTTGGAGCCTTTAGATGGGCCCTTCAGTCCTCAGCGTGGCGGCCATACAGGCGCCAGACTACTCTGACTACAACTTCTTCCCTTACCCCATTACCCCATTACCCCGTCTTTTACGTTTGCGTTCCTTTCCGCCGGCAGCTCCCAAACCTGGCCAGCTTCAGACACGCCATCTAGCGGGACTTAGTCCGACTTACGTTGGCACGGGGCGATCGCAGTTTGTACGGGGGACTTGGCGGCGTACAAAACAATGTCTCAGCACACCTATCCGACCAGCGCACCCCCGTCCCACTCCTCTGACTCCTCTAAACTGCGACTCTCTCAGCTCTCCTCACAGCTATCTCCAATGGCCTCCACACACTTCGACGCCGATGTCGTGCCGCACGCGCCCGAAGACCCTCTCTTCGGCTTGATGGCCGCGTACCGCAACGACACCTTTGACAAGAAGGTTGATCTCGGTATTGGAGCTTACAGAGACAACAACGCGAAGCCCTGGGTTCTGCCCGTCGTCAAGAAGGTGCGCTAGAGCTTGCTTCAGCTTGGATGAGCGTCCTGAGCTGCCTGGGTTGAGTTCTGCTGACACGTCTTGAGTCAGGCCGATGAGGCGCTTCGGACCGACCCCGACTTCAACCATGAATACCTCCCGATTGCCGGCCTTGCCAACTTCACAAATGCCTCGCAGAAGTTGGTACTGGGTGCAGACAGCCCCGCTATTAGGGAGAAACGGGTGAGTCTGCCGCTTGATCCGCAAGGCGGCCAGGGCTGATAGTGTGTTTCCCCAGGTCTGCACCGTCCAGACCGTCTCTGGAACAGGTGCCGTGCATCTGGGAGCCCTCTTCCTCTCCAAATTCTACGCCGGCCGTACCGCCTACTTCTCGGATCCAACCTGGGTCAACCACCACCAGATCTTCACCAACGTCCACATCCCAATCGCCACATACCCATACTTCTCAGCCCAGACCAAGGGCCTTGACTTCGAGGGAATGCTGGACACAATTGGCAAGGCCGCAGAGGGCAGCATAATACTCCTCCACTCATGTGCACACAACCCCACAGGAGTAGACCCTACACAAGAGCAATGGAAGGAGATCAGCAGGGTTATGAAGGAAAAGAAGCTCTTCCCCTTCTTCGATTCCGCATACCAAGGCTTTGCATCTGGCGACCTGAACAAAGACGCATGGGCGATTCGATACTTTATCGAGCAGGGCTTCGAGCTCTGCATTGCCCAGAGTTACTCCAAGAACTTGGGACTCTATGGAGAGCGTGCCGGCAACTTCCATTTCGTGACGGGCGCATCCTCGGATGCTGAGTCAACAATTTCCCGAATTGCATCCCAACTTGCAATTATCCAGCGCTCGGAAATCAGCAACCCCCCTGCCTATGGTGCGCGCGTTGCATCGGCTATTCTCAATGACCAGGCCCTTTTCGCGCAATGGGAAGAGGATCTTCGTACCATGTCCGGCCGCATTATCGAGATGCGGAATCACCTGCGAAGTAAGCTTGAGGAGATGGGCACCCCCGGAACCTGGAACCACATCACCGATCAGATTGGGATGTTCAGCTACACCGGCCTTACCGAGAAGCAAGTCTTGAAGATTCGCGGGGAAGCTCACGTCTATATGACTAAGAACGGCCGAATTTCGATGGCTGGATTGAATACAAAGAACATTGACTACTTCGCCGAGGCGGTTGACAAGGTCGTCAGAGAGACTTGACTTCCCTTGTTTTGTACCAGGGGGAGCTAAGTTGGTCTGTTACCAGGCGTCATCGGATGGTTCCGGGGCTTGCTTGGTTGGGTCGGGCTAATTTCCTACTGTACGATACTCCTCTGGTAGGCTTCTGCATTACGGCCTAACGCTATAGACTTGGACGTCATGGCCCACATTTCAGAACTTGGTGTGCACTGTAGAATCACGATTCTCTTCTCATTGCTGAACGGCGACCGATAGGCCAACTGACGGGCACACATGCAAAAGTTGCGCTGATGGACTTAGCTATGCCGATTTATGTCTGCTACGAACTCAACGCTAGTCGCCTGGAAACCGCCAGATGTATAACGCGACGCCTGGAGAACGCTTCTGAACCAGTATTTCGTCGTGTCGCATTGCCTGCATAGTGGTAGACGTGAAGCCATCTGACGTCTCCTTCGGGAGCAGTTGCCGTGGAGAGCAGCCGTTCCTTCCTCACAGCACAGCACGCCTCGCACTTTCCAACTTGTCGTGGCCTGCCATCCTTTCCGCCTCTCTCATCTTGCTTCCGTGCCCCCTCCACACTGCACCTCTTCGCACATCTGCGCCGTGCACTGCTTCGCGGCCATCCAGGCGTCCTAACTTCGTCTTGCCCTGCCCGCGGTGACGTCTATTCTGACCACATACCTCAACGGCATTCACCGAAAGAGCACAGCAGCGTATGACGTATCCAACGCAAACCTCGCAGCCTCCCCACGAACTTCCCGCGAAGATGACTTCGCCTTGGTGGAATCGCAAGTCGGCCTCGCCCTCGCCCAGCGACGGAGCAGACGAGTTAGGCAAGGCCTCCCGATTGAGCCTCCGCCATCGTCGTTCCGAGCTGCCTGTCCCCAAGGGCCTGCAGACTGGCACGAGGCTCAAGAGGTTCCTGTAAGAGTCATCGCATCTTCTCTCTCTTTCGAAGTCTTACCATCGTCTAGTTCGTCGAAGGCTCTGCGCCAGGAGTCTCCTGTAAGTTCTGTTTCTTCGCATATGCTTGCCGAACCCCGCCCACCCTAGAAGTTTCCTGTGGACTAGGATCCTCTCTCAAATATATCTCCTGGCGTACCTATCACCTCTTGCCCTTACCTGCACGATAGTAACACCTTTCCGGTGTTTGTCTCTCCTTCCCAAGACGCCCCTTGGTGCAAGCTGCAGCGAGATTCATTTCAGAAATGCGTCCCCCTGGTACTGATAGCCGTCAGGGAGTCGAATCAGATCCTTCCTACAACACCAACATACCCGATCCGAACGAGAACTTTGCCAGCATTCCCGCCGTTGACGGACCTTCAGACAGCCCCAACGTCATGGGCCCTCAACCAGCAGTCAAAGGCCATGAGCTCATTGCGCGACCTCGCGTAGATTCTTCCCTCCCAGACTACACTTTCGAGAAGTTTCCAGCCGAGGATACTCCAAAGACGGACAATGCTTCAGCGAGGCCAGCCTGCGCTGCAATGAGGCCCAAAGTTCGTGATGCCACCCCTCCAGGCAACTCAACCATTGAGCTTGTCAAACACATTGGATCCAGGGTTCTCGGCGTCATCGATGATGGAGACTCTGCTGTCTTCGCCCAGCGTATCAGCACTAGGAAGCTAGTGGACCGTATTCCTGTCAGAGATGCCATTGCCATGGGCCTCGGTTTCCAGAATTCAAGCCAGGAATACTGGTGGAACGGCCTCACTCCCATCATCGAGAACCTTATGATCAAAGCACAATACCCAGACTATCTCAAATATGCATACCTTGCATTCATTGCCAAGTTCATTCTTCCATCTCTTGGCTCCCACAGCGGCAAGCAACCGGCTCCCCCCAAAATCACTCACGACAGGTGCACCCTCGAGCCAAGCCTGAACATCTCAAAGTCCGGCCTCAGCGTCCGCTTCACCATCGAGCCTCGCGGCCCCTTCGCCGGCCTACCCCAAGACCCCTTCGGTCAACACCAAGGCCGCAAGCTCTTCGATGAGATCTTCGCCTCGTCCCCGCTCGCGACCACTATCGATAGCACGCTCTTCAACCACTTCGCCAACGAGTTCTGGGTCCCGCCCTCCGCCGCTTCTACCATAGATGTCCCCCCCGAGCGCATGCCCCCCCAATGCCAACTCGCCTTCGACCTACACCGCACCAAACCCTCCATCGGTGTCAAGGCCTACTTCATTCCTCGCATGAAATCTCTCCTCGGATCCTCAACCCCGCAGAACATCGCCTTCGATGCCATCGCGCGCGCCCCTTCCGCCGACACCCTCGGTCCCGCCTTCTCCATCCTGACAGCCTACATGTCATCGCTTCCGGAATCTCGCAAGTGCAGCGTCCAGATGATTGCCATCGACTGCACCTGCCCCGCCACCGCCCGCGTCAAGGCCTACGTCAAGCCCGGCATCGGCGTCGCCGTCAGCATGACGAACATCTGCGACATGTACACCCTCGGCGGCCGCCTGTGCTCCAAGACCACCGCCGAGGGCCTTGAGGTGCTCCGCTCCATCCTTCCCCTCCTCCTCGATGCCGAGGACGAAGACCCGGACACTCTCCTGACTCGCCCGCTGCTCATGCACCATCACGCCGGCATCGTTGCGAGCTACGAACTCATGCCTGGCGCGCCGGAGCCCGAGGTCAAGTTCTACGTCCCCGTGTGGGCCTATGTGCGCAATGACAGGGTTGTGGCGGAGAACCTGACGCGGATTTTTCGTCGCTTTGGGTGGGACACGCATGCGGTGAGGTATGCGCTCGAGTTTGAGGCCATGTTTGAGGGGCAGCTGGGCAAGGCGGGCAGGCATTGTTATGTGTCGTTTGCGTGGACCGAGGCAAGGGGCGCGTATGTGACGGTGTATTATAGCCCGGGGGTTGGGGTGGTGGAGTAGAGTGGTTTGAATAGAGAGAGAGGGGGGGAGAGGGGAAGGGGAGCGTGTGGTCAACCATCTGTCCAGACACGAACCAGAGAGAGGGTAAGAGAGTAATGGGTTTGTGGATTATGGGTATCGGGGTTGAGATTCTGATGGGCTCTCTGTGCTGTTCGTTTTGCGGTGGTATGGTTCTCGTCTCGTATGGTTAGAGGGGGACTTTGGGGGCTGGAACTGTTCTTTCGCTTTACATGATTGTCACAGCATGGTTAGGCTTTTCTGCTAAAAGGTAGATCCAATAAACATCATTTCAAAAACTCTTTTGTTTATTTGCGATTTTATGAGGTCTTTACTATGTAGTGAGAGAATTGCAGTGGTTGGGCACTATATTGAGTCGATCACGTGTGTGGTTGACTTCTTCTGAGCGGGTGGGTATAAATTGCAAAATTGATCCGGGGTTTTTAGGTCATAGGAGGATTCGGGTTCGGGTTGGTTGATCAAACCACAGTGTCGACACGGCTGCATAGTGCCTGGAAGCCTGGCTGCTCGAAATCGGGTGGAAAACAAACCCATGGTGGTTTGGAGTGTGGAGGGGATCAAAAACCTTACGGCGAGAGTTTCATGTGTGTGGTAGGGACTTCGCCTTGAAGATGATGATGGGCTTCTCGAGCCGGCTGGAAATGGTGGGTTTCGCCGCGAATGGATTGCAGCTGGTTGTCGGCGTACTTAGGGGGGCTGCCGTGCTGGAGTTTAAGGGGAGGATGGTAAGCTCGATGTCGTATTGTAGTGGTGCTGGGTGCTGATAATCGTTTGAAGAATTGGATACTTATCGCTGGTGGTCGCCCTATGATTCAGGCTTGAGATGTCCCGTTGAATCTCCTCCAAACTCGCTCCGTACTGTGTGTCTTGATGCCCCTTTTCATACCGCTGAGTGCGCATATCGTGCGGTTGATAAGATAGTCCTTCAACACACCATCAAGGTTCCCACCATCACCACCTAGTCACGTGACCCATCTCTCCAGCGGACGCAACTCCATCAATGAGATGGAGTGGTCCAGTTCAGACCCACCTCCTCCCATTCACCCAGATCTCGTAAAGGTTTGATCTCTGACCTCCCAGCACCACTCCATGATTTGTGGTAGTTGGTACTTTTCGACCCACCTCCTCTTCCTCCTTCCATTAGAACTTGTACGGCGGGGTTTGCACACACCTCCCTCCTACCCACCATCGATACTCTTCATATCCTCTGTTGATCCCCCACCCCCCGTCTCCTAGCGAGACCTCCATGAAAGAACGCTGGCCTCTAGGGAGTAGACGGAAGGATTTATACCTTACCACAGGGGCCTGTCACGCGCTGCACACGTGTAGGCACATGATTAAGCTTAGAGCGGTGGCGAATCACCCATGCACTGAATGAATCGACTTAACTGTTATCAACCCGTGCAATCAATCTGCGTTTTTAACCAGCCCAATCCAATCCATTCCGGGGCCTTGTACTTCGACGGCCGGATTACTGCCTACGCTAGTTACGCTATCAAAGCGTCATTCCGCATCCTTCACATCCAGAACACCAATACTCCTAAGAGGGTTAGCAGACTCCAACCACTCGCTTTCAGGGTCTCGAACGCCGCAGCACCGGTCGAACTCGCATCAGCCTTCGCAGAGCCATTCGGCGAGGGGCGTTGACGCCGTCGGCGAGCTCGACAGGCTCACCTGATCAAGCGGCAGCATCACAACGATCCAGAACATGCATGCGGCCATTATTCGCCCTGCAACAATCAGCTACCTATCTCGCATTATCAACGAGCTCGAGCAACTCACCGCACATTCGCATCCACAACCTTCGCGCGTTATTGAAATAGCTATCCTTCCCCTGAACCCGCCACCCTAACCGTAGCATTCCTCGGCGTCGCAACCTCCATCCCGTCCGCCAAGAAACTCGAATGCAGCGGCTGCGCCCCACCGTATGGAAGCGCAGCGTATCCGCCAGCGCAGACACATTGCGCGTTGCATCCGCGTTCCCAGGCGCGCTGAACGCGGCATTGGTGGGGCCGGGGCAGGTGATGTTCGGCGAATGGTCGAGGGTGGGCCAGATTACCCGTGCGGTTGATAGCGTTGTCGAGCGCGGTGAGAGTTTCGCGTGGCGGATGGTCGCGGAGCACGGGGCGGGCAGGGTGAGGATGCCGTCGAGGATGTGGAAGGTTGCCGCCGTCGAAGGCCGCCGTCGGTGACGAGGGTCATGTGGACGGAGGCGTCAAGGGCCGGATTTCACGGGGTTGGGGCCGTAGCTGCCGCGGCGGACGAGGAGTTTGGGGCTGCTGGAGGAGGAGGCGGAGGAGATGAAGAGGACTTGGCCGGAGCTCTTGGATGCGCTGCCGATCTTGGGCGGGTAGGGTGCCACTGGCGGTTCGATTGCTGTATTGCGGCGAGGTGAGGAGGGTTGGGCATGTTGTACCCGCCGGGTTTGTGAAGTTGTCTCCGTTGAGCGCTCCTACGAGGAGGTGGGAGGAGAAGAGGGGTGCGAGGTCGGCGGGTGGGAGGGAGGTGACCTCAACGCCGTAGGTTTTTTTGTAGTTCGCAAAGGCATTATCATCGGGTACCAGCACTGTGAGTGGAGAGTCTGCGCTGAAGGGGAAAATTGCTTTGTTCGTTTTGACGAAGGTCGTAAAGTTGGATAGTTGCGGATAAGCGCCAATTGCCTCAAGAAAGGTCTTCGCATTCGCGCTGAGCGCGCTGCTTAGCACAACAGCCGTAGAAAACCGATACATCATAGTTGAATTGACTCTTCAATGGCAAGTTGAGACGCGACGATTGAGAAAATAAATGAGATGGCACAGAAATATATGTACTTAGCCTTGCCATTTGGCACAAAGCCTCCTCAGAGCTGAAAACTGACATGGCGAAATAACTGCTACCCGCAAAGCCACTTCCAGCCGTGGGACAAAGCTTAGAGGATCTTTGATGGCCAGGCGTCCTCAGCCCTGCAGAGAAACGTCAGCTCGAGCGGCCGGGGGCTAACAATGCCAAGCGAAAAATAATTAGCAAAGGGCGTTGGATTGAAGCAATCGGGGGCAGTAGCCGATGCCACTGGGGAAGGGAGATCCATTTCAGACAAGGCCAAGGCCGTTAGTTAGAGCTGGCTGGTTGCGGTGTGGGATGAAAGGTGGTGAAAGACGTTTAGAGTTGATAAGAAATGGCAGCTGGATGCACCCCCTAGTGCGTAAGAACTAGTGTATTTGATACTGTACTAGAACGCTACTGCTACGCTGCTGCTACGCTCCTGTCACTTCTCCTTGTTTCACCATGTTCCACTCCTACCGTCTTCCAACTATATAGCCACTCGCTAGAACCTCAATACAACTCATGTCTCCCTCACTGATTCTCCCTTCCTACGCCAGCTACCAAGAAAGGCAGAATGGGTCTACCGGCGCCGGCTGAAATAGCGCGGTTTACAGCAGCATTCATCCTACTTCACGTGCATACAGAAATGATATATGCACTTCATTTATGACCATGCCATCGAAGCTGCTCCTGTTTACAGCGGTCAATTTCATTATGAAGAATACAAACCTCAAGCTGTGCTGTCGAGAATACAGTGCAGCGATTGCGCCGTCTTTCCGTACGGATCAGTCCACCAACACCCTAAAGGCTTTGACTTGAAAATAGAGTGACAAGAGTACATACTGTAATGGAATGACGGAGACCATGAGCACGTTCTCTCGCCTCTCAATCCTTGCTTCATTCAATTTCAACATAGCGAAAGTGCCGAGACGTTCAAACCAACGCTCCGAAGTACTTCAAAAACTTCGGAACATCAGGCTCAGCTGTTGCTTCTTTAGCCAACCAATCCGCCTCTTCGTTGAGATCTATCGGTAGCAGCCAGAAATGGACTTCGCATCCATCCTTCGCAAGCTTGTTGATCTCCACTAGAAGAAGCTTCCACAGGTCCTTGTTGTTGACCGTGATCCCTCCAAACGTCTGCCACTCACTCTGCGCCCAAGTCTCAATTCGATCCGTGATGCCGAGCACGACGTATTCCGAATCGGTGCCAATAACAATACTCTTGAAGTACTCTCCCCGCCAAACACGGAACTGTAGTGCCGCAATCACGGCCCGGAGCTTGGCGCGATTGCTTGTCTGCGGATATTCGATGCCGGTTGGACCCAGTCGTTCCAGACGGAAGCTACAGCTCTTCTCCTCCAGGTTGTATGGTGCTGGTTTGAAGACAAATGCGCAGCCGCCGCGACGCTGCGAGATACCGTCGCGATCCTTGTGGCCGTAACAGGAACCATCGGTGTAGATGAACATCTCTCGCGCGTTGGTGCGACGGACAAGGCGGTGAGTGTTGAGAGGGTGGCGGAAGGAAATTTGGTGTTCAAACGCGGTGTGAGCAAACAGACTTCGAGGGGTATCGTTCGAAGATAGCGGAAGGAAAGCTTTGCCTTTCTTGAGAGGGTATCCTGGCAGTGGAGGACCAGTCAGGTTTCTGAAGTCCAGTATATGCCAGCCAGCAGATACCTGGGCGAGAGGAAGCGCCCTTAATGAAACCTCCATTACATGAACAAGGTGAGGACGTTCGAAAACCGCGATTTGCACCAGGTCTGATGATAACACGAAACTCGTGAAGATAGAGCTGGATTGCGATGAAACAGTGCCGCAAACGAAGAAACGTACGATCGTCCGGGGTTGCTCTCTGGAAATCGACGATAGGCGTAGAGTACACCCTTCGACTTCAACAACTTGGAAGCCACCGAAGTGTATAGGACATGAGCGAGTTAATCATAGGGTATTCTTTGAGCCCTTGACCAAGAAGTTATTGGCACCGGTGGTCGTTTAGAGATGAAAAGTTTGAGTGGTGAAACGAGATCACGTTGGGCGCAATACTGGGAGACGCCTTCTAACCTAGAGGCTAAGCTAGGAAGATAGACAACGTAAGTCAAGAAAGAATAAGCGGAATCATTTCGAGCGGGTGGAGCTGTTTCGATCAGAATGTCTCCTCAGAATAGCGGCGGCTGATAGCGGAGATTTAAGGATCCAAGGGTCTTTCGCTTCGATCACGTGAAAGTCATGTGACTCGGCGACGCAGTTGAACTCCCCTCAGCATTGGCAGAGGCGAGACAATATTTTCCTCTCGTAGCATATGAAGGACCTTACTCATTACCCTACTTACATATCCGTATCACCCTCCAGTTTATTACGTATTACCCTCCTCCACTAGGCCTAGCTCCAAGCCATGATAGCCTTATTACACTAATCAGATTGCCATTTAGTTACTAAAAGCTGCTCAATGTCTACGACATTGACAGGCGTATATATGATCGTCGACCGCTCCTACAAAGGCGACCAAACCAACCAGGTCATCAAATTTTCTGAACGCCGCTGAATGACTACACTCCGTAGACGACATCGCGCCTAAGCGGCACAACCTCATCATCTGTTCCAAAGCCCGCCCTTCTCACCGCTCCTCCATCACCATCTCTGTCGGTTTCACTCCACACCAATTCCCCAAAACGGATCCTCATCGTTTTAAGATACTCGGGAACATTCTCGTCTCCCCCAAGGCAGCCGGCTGCCGCTGCTTGTTCGAGAGTCTTACTCCCAGTAGTGGTCATCAGGATCTGGACGAAGCCGCCTTGCGTTGCTGATACGCCGTTCAGACGTACGCTGTTCAATCCGAAATAGAGGAAGGGAATCGATAGAAGGAGACATGTAAGGTAAGGAAGTATTAGCGTCCGATGCGAGGCGAAAGAGTACGCTTGGTGTGTGGAGGTGGTGTCGACGGGAACAGTGGTATTCCAGAAACCGAGTTGAAGAGCAGCACTCATGATGAGATTAAAAAGGGCGTCATTAAGAATGTCCTGGGAAATAGCAAAACTCGGACCATCAGCTGCACCCCTCGAAAAATTGTCTCTTTGGGTATTGAGACATGTATCGGCGACGAGAGCCCCACCTGTGGGCCCTGCCAGAGTTTTAGTAAGAGATTAGTTACGTACTAGACTTTGACTTGATTTAGGGTTGATAACTTACCACATATAATAAGATCATCTGCTCCTTTTGTAAACTCGCCTGACGATAACATCGTGTAATTACCGCTTAGAGGACTAATCAGCGCATCAATGAGAGCGAAATGATTATATGCGGTTAAAGTTTGGAGAAGAGGTTGAGACCATACGGCGGGAGCAAGATTATCACAATCCTTGGAAGCATTGGCCCGGTCACACTCTGGGGTGCTTGGATGATAATACTCGATGGGTACCAGCATGTCGCAGATAGAGCCTATGTATTTTTCTGAGCGCGTGATGGTTCGTAAACCACCCTTATAAGTAACGTTGACTACGTGGGATGCCCGGGATGGGATGCAGGTAATACTCTCGATTTCCTGAAAGACATGGGTGGTGTTATACGTGCCTGGTGGAATAGGCTTAATGGAGCGAGAAGCTGACATGTTGATCGCGCCCCCAATATCGTAGACATACAGTGGAAACGTTTGTGGCCGAAAAAGCAGTATAACCACACGGGGCCTGGGTCGGTGATTCGGTGTCGATAGTCTGGTTGAAGCTGGCGTCGGCGCATTGAAGATATGGTCCTTCAAACTGAGTGACATACGTACAGTCCGGTCCACAAGGCGATGAGGATGGTACACTATCGTCGAGTTCAAGGACCAGGCGACCAGTTCGTCGTATGCTAGCAGCCGCGCCACTAGACCATCAAGTGCTATTAGCAAAACCGACTTGCAATGACAAAGACCTCACTAATAATACCATCCCCCTCCACTATAGCCGCGGATTGTTATGGATTTTAGTTCCGAATCAACCAACGAACCGTTTCCTATCGAAGAACCATTATACGTGGGCACAATTGCGTTGTAGCTGCTCCGTACTGGATTCGATATAACTATCAAAGCACCAGGAGGGAAGGCGATTGCAATAGGTAGCAGCCAGATGAACAACGCTAGGATAAACAACGTTGGTGCTGCCTTGACGACTTTCGGCAGTACAAGCAGAAACGGGTTCTGTGTAATCTTAAACAGCGTGTCGATGCTCGAGATCTTAACTGTCTTTGTCCTCATCAAGTGCCAGAGGCATTAAGTAAAGGCCACGGTCAAAGAGCCGCAAAGAGATGCTCTAAAGAGAAGCCCGAGGAGGTGCGAAAGCGCTGCTACGTAGCTCTGCGGGATAGAATGTGGACCGCTTGCCCTTTTTTGGTCCAGGAATATGAATACGGTGAGATGGATGATAGCGATTATCCAAGCTAATCATTTGAACGTTAGAAATGTGTGGAACATGCTAGTAATCGAGTTGTACGGACCCAGTAGAAAGAGTGCAGCCATGGTAGTCGGAGTCTTCCCTTGTAGACATAGTTGTTTGTTGTTTGCCATGATCCGAAAGCAGCGACTTGTAGCTTTCCGCATGGTCTCCTTGGGAAGAATCATTCGGGTCCGACGGCGGGATCAGTTGGTGGGACATTGCAAAAGAAATTTAGAGCCTCGTACACTAATCAGTAACACAGTATTCTGACAATGTCTAATAAGGGCATGTGCCAGCAGCTTTAATACCCACCTTATTTGGTAGTACAACCTACTCAGCCTTGATGCATTCGGGGGCTTAGACAACTGTGACAGCCCCTAGACGCATTCTGTGATTAGTGTGCAGGTGGCATTTATGAAATATGGGACGGGAGCTCCATGAGATCGACCTCACTGGTTCAAAGCAGCCTTTCCCAGGGATCAAAAGCTATCGGAACACCATACCACCACTTGTGACGCTAACCATGAGATGCGTCTACAGCATCTAGATACATTCGGTGAGCTAGCGCGGAAATCAAGCCACAGGTGGAGTAGGTAGGACTTGAACGGAGGAAGCCCTTTCCTGGACTGATTGTATCCAAGGGTGCATGAGCACCGGAGGCTTTATTGGCAGAGGAATTCTCGTCCCTGCAGGCTCTGCAGGTAGCCGTGAGTCGCGACACGTTAAGCAGCGAAGCAAGTTGCGTTGCTGAAGAATTCAGAGAAGTTATGCCGCCAGCGGTGTGACTGGAAACTGCTGTAGGACTTGAGACTTCGAAACACTCACCTACCCTGTGGTGATTCGAGGCTGAAACCGTACGCCGTGCTATTGTCTACGTGCTCGCAGCTTCTTTCGACGGAGTTGTATGTACAAGTAGGTGGTGCATAGGAGTTTCCAGCTAGTTGTACAGCGAACATACGAAGTACGGTTGCTTCGTTTGCCAGCACGTTTTCGAGCAGCGCTTTATGACACTGACGTGGGACACATTTCGCCCTAGCCCATTTGTCCTAGGACAGAATGGAGAGATACGCAAGGCTGAACTTCTCGCCCCGTCGAAAAGACTTGGCAGTATTGCGCCTCGTTGAGCGGCAGGAAGAAGAAAAGCAATTCAAGACCAGATGTGGGATCAAAAGCTGGCGTATTGATGGTGAGAAAGCTAGGTGGCTAGCTATTAAGCGGCAGGAGAGCAAAAAGAGCGAGGTTATGTGTAGGTATTTGTGTGTTGCGTGCATATTAAGCCCTGTTAGCAATCGCGGCGTGGGATCTGTGCCTGTCAATGGAGACCGCGGGGCTGGAAGTCCTCCCGCTGCGCCGTAGTTGGGCATGGCTTGATTTAGAAGAGAGACATGGCGCTGCCCAGACTTTTAAATCTGCGGCGTAGACTCCCCAACCGGTCACCAGCTGAAGAGCAGCATGGTGGTTGGCGTGATGGAGGATGAGCCATGCAAGGCTGAACTTTTGGTCCCAGCCCCTGCCAGCGGAGGGCTTGGCATTATTGGGCCTCGTTAAAGGGTGCTGCATTCGCCTTAGCGTCTTCTTTTGAATGTTTCTCGCTCCTCCACAACCACCCCCCTCTTTTCCGCTCTCATCACCTGGGCACCTTAGCACCTTACACGCGATCCAGCGACAACCCGGTTTGCTACTACACTCTCTCAACCTGGGCACTTTTAGTGTCGCTATAACGCTTCTATACATCGATGTCTCTCGGAGGTCGTTCTATCATCACCAGCTCAGTCGGCAGGATGAGAGGAGGCCGGAAAAGGAGGCCCCTGCGAAGCAGCTTGTTGCCGCTATTAGCACAACGAATCGACTCGAGATAATGCGACTACTTGAAGAGTGTAACGCTGATCCTGATATTGGCCTGAATTGGGACAACACATACATTTTCCCTCTCACTCAAGCCATCTTCATCAGAGACTTCGAGATCGCAGAGACACTTTTGATTAAAGGAGCGAAAGTGAAACCCTGCCACGATATTCTTCATCATAACATGCCGCCGGCGCTGAGTCACCCCATTGCTGTCGCAATTGCATACGGGCAGACGGAGATGGTAAATTTGATGCTTGTTCACGACGTCCCCGTAAATTTCACCTGGGACCTAGCCAGGGACGGCCTGTTAACCCCTTTCCTCCAGGCGCTTTCTCGCGGAGACCTAGAGCTCGTGCGAGTGCTCCTGGATCACGGCGCCGATGTCCTTCAAAATAGCCTTACTCAACTGAACGAAGACGACATGTCCCGATACATTAATTGCTTCAGCGCACGACAAGCCCAGCTCATGAAATTCTTATCACTGTGCGAGGCACTGTATCTTTGGCCATATAGTTTCGGCTCGGCGCTTCTGATTGCTACTGGAATAGAGAACCGCGGGTTGATGGAATATTTCTTGGGTGACGCGACTGTGGAAACAGAATACATCAACGAGAACAAGCTGACTGCTTTGCATGTAGCTGCAGGCGCCGAGGGAGACGAATTTGTTGAGTTTTTGCTTACGAACGGCACGTCCATCGAAGCTAGGGATAGTTACGGCGCTACACCATTGATGCATGCGGTCTTTTACGGGAATTTGCCTGCGGTAGAGCGTTTCTTGTCGTCCGGAGCCTCCGCCGACGATTTAGTTGATGGTCGATTCTCAGGCTTTCCTCTAGTGTCGTCAGGAGTTCCATACGACGATCTTTTTGATCGTCTCACAAAGTCGCTATCAGAATTCGCGCAGTTCTGCGAGTTCAGATGGACAGCAATCCAGGTATCATCCCATCGAGGCTTTTGTAAGATCCTTGCTGTCTTACTTAGAGCTGGAGGAGATCCCTTTCATCAGTCAAGAGATGGGAAAACAGCGCTTGATCTTGCAATAGCTAGTCGTCGTTGGGGCATTGTTACGGACTTACTTCAATTGGGAGTTAAGTTCAACGCCACGAGTTCTTCAGTCGCTCGCCTTCTTGATGAGACGAGTGATGATTACAACGACGAGGCTGCGTGCATATTAGCCGACCGCGGCGCCAATTCACCGATAATGGTCTCGGAGATCAAATCTAAGGGACTGAGACGGAATACAGAGCTTCTTGCCATCCTCGATGAAGCGGCCAGGGCACTACTTGTGACGGCAGAGCGACGTGATCAAAAATTAAAGTTACAACTCTGCTCAGCCTGCTTGAAGCTTTTCCAAAGACCGACAATATTTTTTGAGACAGCACTGGAAGGGTGTCACGACAGTGGGACTAGTTGCGCCATCTGCGCACTTGCAAAAGATAGCGCCCCGTTGCAGTCGTCCCTTCAAAGCGAATGGGACATATGTTTCTTTGGGAGGACGAAGGAGCGTGATCAACGCTTTCGAATATACCTCCGTGGAAAAAGCCACGAGGTCCAACAATTCCCAGGTTAGTGAACTCTACTACACGTGCTGAGCACATACGCAAAAGGCATATCTGTAAACATGTCACTACTCTCCCGTCCATCTTTTCCCCTCTGCCAATTTCGATATCCCATATTTCATGTCATGCTCTAACATTCACTCTTCTCACACCCTCGACTACACATTAGCATGTCATTCCAATTTGACATGCTCCACCTCCTGTCTGCCCGGCGTGTATCATGCCACCCCTACTCACATCTGTACTGCGCAAGCGTGCCGCCAGCTTCTTTGAATTATAAGGTGGTATTTCATGAACACACACGAATTTTAGTCTGGACACCGCTGTCCTGGACCCTGGGTTTGTGTGAACTTGCCTGGGACGGCATGAGGTTCTCTGACACATCAATATTTGTAAAGCGACAGTTTGGGCACGATTGATAGCTCTCTGGGCCACCTCACGCGGTGTTGGGCTGCACTTTATGTTCAATGGGGCCTAGCAGCACTTCGGTCAACCGTACATTTAGCTAACACTCTACCTAGCAAATCGGGATCGCGTTATATCAGAAGCCAGCCAACTCCAGGACGAAGGGACTGGATCACCGACTGCCACGCGCGTTGCAATTCACTGGCTTCGGAACTGCATCTCAGGTCATCGGCATTGCAAAGTAGGAATGGATCGGGGCTTTTTTCCCACTAGAGTTCTTGACACGGGTCCTCCAGGGATAATAGCAGGACCTGTACTCCTCGAAGCGAACTCTTATCGCGGACCATATGTTGCTTTAAGTCATCAATGGGGATTGTCCACTCTTCCAAGTACTACGCTTGCTAACATCGAGCAACGAAGACAGTCAATCCCACTGGCGGGATTGACGACCACAATGCGGGACGCTATATCAATCGTTCGAAGTATGGGGCTCCGCTATTTATGGTTGGACGTTCTTTGCATTGTGCAGGACTCGAAGGAAGATTGGCTAGCCGAGTCAGCCAAAATGGCTGATGTGTACCGTTCTGCAATCCTGACACTAGCAGTAGCGGACGCCGAAGACCACACAGAAGGCATTTTCCGGCCCCGCGAAGCACACTGCGTAAGGCCTGTTCGATTCGAAGACTTCCGTATGCCACGAAGGGAGCGGAGCTGGTTCGATGGTGAGGGAGCACTGTATATTGTACCTTCTTCTCATCAGGTTGCCAAAGGTATCCGTCCGAGGGGACCGCTTGATTCTCGGGGATGGATCCTCCAAGAGCAGCTCCTCTCACCACGCATCCTTTATTATGGCAAAGGCGAAATTTTCTGGGACTGCGTCTCAACGTCTGCTTCTGAATCCTCTCCAGTCTCCGCATCACTTCTTGACGATGACAAGTCTTCTGAGACCTGGGCCTTGAAGCTGATCCGAAAGGCCATCGTTGGCGGAGTTGATCCTGAGACAATCCAAAGGTACATGGAAGACGTGTGGATCGAGCTTGTTCAGAACTATTCAGCTAGAACTTTGACGCGGCCTCTGGATAAGCTGGTTGCCATGGAGGGAATTCTCTCCTCAGTGGAGCAAATCTTCGGCGATGTTGTTGTCGCCGGCTTGTGGAGACATGGGCTATGGCGTCAACTGACATGGTGGACTGAGAGCATGAAGAGAAATGTCAACTCTCAGTCTACATCTGCTAAGTTCACAGCTCCTTCATGGTCATGGCTCAACGGCGAAAGCCTCATTTCATACCGTAACACTCTTTACCTCGAGTTCAAAGAGTTGGCGTCAGTGGTAGAGATATGCGATGCACGCGAAGAGATTCTATCGACAAAGACCGAGATTCGGGGAAGGCTCACTATATCCGCACTTACCTTTCCTTACCTTCTCATCGCGGACGACTTCAGAGTGAAAGTTTGGAAACGTTTTCACCGTAAGCATCTTAATGGTGCTCATTGGTGGCTTGACAACCCACTGGAGTTGCCACAGAAGATCGAATGTTTGATCCTGGCGGAGGACGCGAACGTAAAAATGCTCGTTTGTCTGTGTCTAATTCCGACGCCTGAGGAAGGGGTCTTTCGACGTATCGGTCTCTGTCACTGGGAAGGAATGCGGCACGAAGTTCACAGATTTACGGGGACTCGACTAGAGGAACGTTTGGTCACTGTTGTCTGAAATATACTACCCTACCGCACGGAGCGCTAGCCACTCAGGTCATAGCTGTAAAACTCAATTTTCAGCTTCCCATTATCCAGAACATCATAGGCCCCAGTGGGATAGTGCACCTCGGTAATGTGCTTTTTCGTTGGCATGTACTCCTCCGCCGTGTCGATGAGCCGCAAATAGCTCCCAATCAGATTCTCGATGCTGCCCTTGGTGACGCAGTTTCCATGCGCGTTGGCATTCTCGAGAGTCCGGATCCTGCTGTTCAGACTGGAGATGGTGACGCTGGCAGAGCTGTAGTTGGCACGCGCCTGGGACAGATCGCTGTTGGCCTGGTTGTAATGTTGCTGCCACACGTTGGAGGTGTTAAGCGCGTTGGTGAGCTGCGACTGTGTGGAGGCGTGCGCCTGTCTCTCGCTATTGAGTTGGGTCTGGAGGGACGACTTGGCGCCCCGCTCGGCGGAGAGTGTGGCGCTGAGGCCTTCATACTCCTGCTCAAGAGTTTGAAATTTGGTTTGGAGTACCGCGTGTGCGTTTTGCTCTGTCTTAAGTTTGGCCTCTAGATCGGATATTTTCTCGGTATGTTCGCGGATCTTCTCGTTTCTGGACTGTACTTCTACCTCCAGACGTTGGATCTCGGTTTCCAGTCGCTTGATACTGGCGGCGTGGTCGGATTTTTCCTTCTCAAGAGCGTCTTTGCTGAGGGCATGGGCTTCCTTTTCAGCATCCAGCTGCTCGTACAAGCGTTCTGGGTCGTATTCCAAGAGGCGGGTCCTGGCTATGTTGAGCTGGACTTTCAGCTTAGCCACCGTTTCGTTCACTTCATTGAGTTGGCGCGCTTGCCGCTCAAAGTCTGATTTGGCTTTATCAAGATCTCTCGTCCGTTTCTCCAAATCCGATTTGCCTTTGGCAATGTCGTCTCGGAGCTGCCGTGCGTCTTCGGCGGCCGACGTGAGTTCGTCGTTCAACTTCGCAAGTCTAGCATCACTCGTCTTCTTAAGGGCCTCTAGCTTGCCCGTGGCCTCGGTATAATCAGATCGAGCGCGCCTCAGGTCGCTAAGCGCCTTTGTGCGTTGTGCTTTCTCCTTTGCGAGAGCATCTTCAAAAGTCTCCAACATGGCTTCTTTCTCGGACAAGTCCGATTTGAGCGTCGAGGTGCTGGATTCCGCAGCGTTCAGATCCCCTTTGAGCCTGTCGATCTCGGATACCAAACGTTGGTTGTCCCGCTCCGCACCCTGTCGCTCTATGACTTCGTTCGATAACTTTCGGATTAGCTCAGAGTTCTTCTCTCCGAGCTCATCCAAATTACAGCCCGCAGTCTCCACTCTGCTCTCGAGCCCTGCGATCTTAATCTTGAGTTCTTCGATGTTTTGCTCGGTTTCCGAGACCTCCTGGGCCCTGAGTTCTTGCGCTCGTTTGAGCTCCCTTGAAGTTGCTTCCAAGTCAGACTTTGCGTCCCGGATGTCTCGAGTGAGCCTGCGAACTTCCCGCTGCTTGTCCTCCACGTCGTCCTGGAGGGATTTGACACGGCCGTTCGCCCGGTCTAGATCACCCTCAAGCCTGAATTTAACATTCTCTGCTTGAGACAGGTCGTTCTTGGCATTTCGGGCTTCTTGTTCCAATCGTTCATTGTCCTTCTGGACACGAGCCTGCTTTGCTTTCATTTCCCTCGTACTAGCTTTCTCCTTCTCCAGATTTGCCTCCAGTTCCCCGGTCGACGTCTGAAGAGCCTCATTATCGCTTTTGAGTCTAGTATTCTCAGGACGCAACGTCTGCTCCAGAGTTGCAAGCTCGCTACTGACTCGGTCGTTTTCGTCTCGGAGAGCCTTATTCGACTCGGCCTGTTTCTCCGCGTCCCTCTTCGCATCTGCGAGCCCTCGCTCCAAAGTCTTCTTCTCATTCGTAAGCTCCTGAACGTTAGCATCAAGCGTGTTCCTCGCCTGGCGGGCTTTCTTAAGCTCGTCCTCGAGAGCAGCTTCGGCATCGCGCATATCCTTGCTAGCGTTCTCGAAGCGTGCCCTGGCCAATTTCTCCTTATTGCATTCTTCCGTCAGGGATTTCAGCTTCTCTTCGAATGCCTTTGCTTCATCCTCCAGCCGTTTCTTCAGCTTGTCTTGTTCTGCTTCGGCGGCGCTCACGAGCATAGCTTTGTCCGCATCGAAGCGCACTTTCACCCGCTCGAGTTCGTTCTTGGCTTGCGATAGCTCCTTCTCCAGATCTCTTTTAGATTGTGACTAGAAGTAAAGTTAGCCAGTAGCTCAAGATCCCGTGTCAAGCGTAGGCTGCCTTACCCAGTCGCCAACCGCAGGCCCCGACCCCTCGACATCAAAGACCAAGAAATTACCGAATGGGCGCAAACCGATGCGCTCTTCCATGGGCTGATTTGCCACTATGTTGTACCGCTTCTCCACCGCTGGACGGATCTTATTCGTCCTTGTATCGGTGTTGATAGTGGGGGCATCAACGTTCCATACGCGGAGCAGGACCCTGGACGTCTCGGGTGATGAGGAGATGGGGGATGCCGACTTCCAGGTGGCCGACAGCTTCTCCTCTGCCACATCGTACTTGAAAGCCCAGGTGCCGTCCGGGAGTCCGAGGGCTCCCTCGAGCCTGGCGTTGTCGAGCCTGGCGTCGTCTCCGCCGGTGCGGATGCAGGTTTGCACGCTACTAGTCTATTACGAAGCTTTGTTATTCAGAAGTTGTTTAGAGTAAAGGAGAAGACGAACCATTGTGGCTTTGTAACTGTGTAGACTTGAAAATTAATGGAAGACGACATCGCCGGAAGTGAGCGGAGAAATCCTCAGCCTGATGTATCATCTCGAGTATCATAGGTGCTCTGCTGCACGCTGGGCCCAGCTGCTTACGCGTTCCTATTGGATCCATTATTTCTGCAGCCTTTCCGGTCAACTTTCAGCTGGAAGCTGAAAGCTGCAGCCGTTTTTGGTGGTTTGCAGTCTGACGTGCTGGGGCAAGCGAGTTTCTGAACTCGTCTACCTCCTAACGTTGAGTGAAGCTTTACAGGCTGAGCCTAGCTTTGAAGTTTACCGATTAGTGATATAGTAGTAGTTTTTGATATTTAGAGGTTGAGTGTTCCTCGGGTATAGTAGGTCTTATAAAGAGTACAGTTCTATATATGGAAACTAGTACATATTTTAATGAAATATTTCTTAACACAGTCGGCTAAGCCGTCTTGAAAGTATACAAGTCTTGAAAGTATACAAGAGTACTACCTAGAGATAACCTAGAGCGTTAAGTTTCAAGTGTATAATAATGTGTACTGTACAGCCCTATGAAAAGCTTGGCAGCAGCCGGCTTTTTTGAACCTCTCACGGACAGCCACGACGCCTCCCCAAGCACCCACTACGACTCCGCCCATCTTCCACACCTCCAATCCGTCGCCACGAGGTATCGTATATGCAGGGCGCCGGAGCCGGTTGCGCCATCAGCGAGCCCATCAGCCTATCTGAAATTCAGCAAGCCGCACAGCTTCGCGAATCATATATCCCTTCCATCGCGGATCATTTCACCTGCCAAGACTGAGAGCTGCATCCATCGCTGCTCGTCGCCGGCGTCTCTTTTGCGACTCGGCTGTCGTAGCGCGGCTCATTGGCTCGCTCATGGCGATTTCCTGGGATGACGATGATGTTACCGAGACGGTCGGAGAGACCGGCGATGGGTACGACGATATGCTGCTTGCTCTATGTTTTGATGGAGGCCGAGAGCTCGTCGGTTTCATTGGATACGAAAGTTGAATCTGATCGCTAAAGTATTGACTTGACTTTGGAGGTATGGGGGGACTTGGACCTGAGGTAGCCTGGAGCCCGGTCGTCGCGGATGTCGAATGCATCGGTGTGGCGAAGTACGGATTCGATGCCAGTGGTATATGCTGGTTGAATGTCAAGTTACTTTGGGTTCCGGTCGATGTGGAAGAACTTTGGGCACTGGGAATACTCCTTCTTTCTTGCGGGTATCTCAAATACGAATCTGTCCCTCCCGCGACATCCACACGATTGAAAACGGGAGGGCTGTCAGCCGGCAGCTCGACATCCGCGTGTTTGGAAACGGGAGAGCTGTCAGTGGGCAATTCGACAGACCCGATGCGGTACGGATTTTGGTATGGAGTTATAGCCGCTTGATGAGCGGGCAGCTCCACTGGCACTGGCCCTTGGTAGCCCCCGGTATTTCCCACTGGATATCCCGCTTGCATTGTTGAAGCACTTCCGCTTTCTATTGACATGGAACTCATCATCTGGAGCAGACTTTGCCTGGAACCCAGCGATATTTGACTTACAGAGGCTGGAAGTGGCCTTCGATTAACTGGAGAAGAATATCTTCTCGTATCCCGCCCGGCAGCTGGCGCCTGTTGGTGTGTGGCTGTGGGTCGGGTGTAACTCGAAGATGAGGCCGCTGATTGCGATAGTGGTCTCTCTGAAGGAGCTAATGGATACGATGCAGTTCGTTGATGTACATTCGGACCCCTAGGCTTACTGGCCAGCTCCCATGGGTCTACAGGTCCGAGCCGATTGGCAGAATTGAATGAGTCCAGCTCCGCAATATACTCATTCGAAGGGTAACTTGAGTTTGGCGAGGCTTTATAAGCTCTCACATCCCATCCCAGAAAAGAGATCTCGGAATGATGCGTCTCGGCTGGCTGATTCGAACTTTGTACGGGAGGCAGTGTTCTGGGTTCCCATCGTGGAGGATATGCAGTTGTGAACTGTATGTTGGGTTGCGGTGCATTTCCCACCTCTGCGCCATACTCAGTATTTGTCATGAAGTAAAGAGTAGGGGAAGAATGTGTACGTATCGTTTCAATCTTCCTCTCAGCAGCTGTCTCCTCTGCGATATCCTCCTCTTTCCTCCTAGCCTTCTTCCTCCTACTATACGGACTCTTGAAAACTAGATCATCAACCACAGCATCATGCATTGGCGGCGGCCCTAGTCCCTCCTTCTTTTCATGAAAATTACCCTTGCCTCCTCCGTCAGCCTTACTTTCAAGCTGATGCAGTTGCCCCAAAACCAACGTCAAGCTTTGCTGACACGCACTCATTTCCATCCGCCAACTGTCCAACTTCTCGCCATCGGCCAGGACCCAAGCTACCCGATGTCCAAAGCTGATCATTCCATCCCTCTCCTTGTCACTTCGCTTTCTTTCAACATACAGTCCGATCTCGTTCAACGCGCATTTTGTGCCATAAATGTTGCCCTCTATCCAGCGCCTCTTGTCCGGGTTTTGGTCAAACGAAGCACGAATCGACGGCTGGTGAAGCAATCGCTCGCATTCGAAGAGATCAGATCGCACGTTCTGAATCGTCCGTACAGAGATGCTGTTTTCGGCATCGACGTCGTTCAGCCGGATCACGAACTCAGAGAACTTCCAGAGCGTGTTAATACCGCTAAATGTACCGCCGTCCATTTTGGATATGGGAGATCGTGGCCGCAGGTCAGTCAGCCACCTGTGGGAGGGATCATGATCATTCTGAAGAGCAGAGACGCCACGAGCTTAGAGTTGGAGGTTTAGCAGTGGGCTCCTGGGGTGTCGACGTCCTATCGACAAGGCTGAGACCCAACCCCTCCTTCCCGCCGTGCGGTGGCGTTTGCGGGCTTAAATCACGCCCGATACGAAAATAACAACTGCCACATGAAGCATCTCTTGGCTATATAAGCTCGTGGATCTGCATTATTTCGCGGCGTCCATATCGCCGGGGACGAACTGGACGGGATTCCTCGATCTGGACATCACGTTCAATGGGCCAGGTCTCAGCAAAAAAGCAAAAGTTGTTCATATTCGATCAAGACATGCACGCTGCTACATAGCCAATCATGCATTACTACTCATCATGCCGTTCGGGGGGAATTACGCCCATCAAGCCGTCTCCATATTCGCAAATACGCGTGGCGGATCCAGCACACGTGCGTTCTCGTCGCTCGTCTGGAGCAAGGCTGGGAAGACCGCGAGCTTGCCATGCGCAGACCACTGGAATACGAATGTGCTGGGCTGCGAGAAGAGCAGGAATGCAAAAGATGCTGCTCGCTGTATGACGCCTTGCAGGTTGCGGATGCGCTGAGCGTCGTCCTGATGCGAGTTCACGAAGGGGCGGAGCACACCGTCTACGGCTGTGATGGTGGCTGCGATGCTGTGGCTGCGCGTGTCGGAATCACTGATCGTGGTGCTGTTATAGCGGGAGGCAAGGAGGGTACCCGAGATGGAGTGCCATTTACTCTTGAGGGCGAGTTGGCCTGAGAAATATTAGTGACTGGGTTATCGAATGATTAAGAATAAAACTCACCAGCGTTCGATCCATCAGTTCCAGCGAGCGTGTCGGCGAAAAGCCCAACTTCAGGTGGCAACAGCGAGGCTCCCGCTCCGCCTTGCCCTCCGCATCGAGAGAGAATGGCATAGCTCAAGAACAACCTGATCGTCGCGATACGGGTCTGAGGGTTCAGCAACATATCGCAGAGCGTCATGCTCCGGATCCCAGTAACTCTCGCCACATCCTGAAACTCGGACTCATCCACCATTACCGGATCAACCGCCGCCGTGTGGTAGAACGTCAGGGCATGGTTCTTGATCTTGTCGCGCAAGCGGGACAGCTCGCCGGTGATGGCGTCGTCTTCAGCGGGTTGCGGGAGCAGGGCATCGATCTGCGAGACGGCGGTGGCAGTGGCAATTGGAACAGACTTCTCAGCGGATGTGGCAGCTGCTGCACCGTTGTAGGGCCCAAGGTGATTGTTGTAGGCGGCGGACTGTGCTTGCTGTCGCTTCTTGTACCGCTTGAAGAGGAAAAAGAACACCAAGGCTGCGATTGCGGCGCCAGCGATGAGGCAACCGATGGCTATGCCGGCTGCTGCGCCGCCTGTTATGCCACTGGATTTTCCGACATGCGACTTTGCAGGCTTAGGTGTGTTGCTTGAGGAGGTGATATTGCCGCTTCCAGCCGTCGTAGCGAAAGAGAGGGAGCTGGACGAGGCTTCGCTTGAGCTGGATGAGGTTTCGCTTGAACTAGAAGAGGCTCCGATTGAGCTGGACGTGAATGCGAAAAATGGTGTCGAGGCGACTGTTGCGGAAGATGGTGTGAAAACAGCGCTCGAGCTGGAGGAAGTCGGGGTTGCCGCGATGGATGGGCTGCTAGGAGTCGAGGACTGAGAGGAAGTAATTGGAGTCGCGGAAGCTGATAATGGGTGGTCGCATTGAAATGTCGTCCCATTTGAATCACAGATCTGCGGTGACACAGGGGTACATTGTTGAGGACCGATAGCAGTTTGTGAAGCTCCACAGAACGGTGCCTCTCCTAGGGACGGAGGCGGCGTTACAGTTACGACATTCGCGATGTTGGTCGATTTACAGTCGACGTAGCACAGGATGAGGGAAGTTGTGGGAGAGCCAGGAGCGTTTACCTGTGGGTTTGGATAGCGAACGCGAAGCATTTTGCTTGAGCAGTAGCTTGCTCTACGCTGCTTGATGGGGGAAGAAACGAGTTTGGAGCCACAGAAAATGCAGGACGATCGAAGAGAGAGGGCGAGGCAGAGCCTAGGGAAAATGGGACGAGGCTTTAATGGTTTACCAGTTATGCAGCAGTATGCATAAATGAAAAGAGAAAATACTCACTCGGCCCCGCCTGGTGGACGCCAAGGCGTCTCTATCAGACTATCGACACGTCCACGCCATATGGACCTTGTGCTCAGGCTCCAACGCCTCCTCGCATGCCTGCATTATCTCCACAACGCCAACTCAGCCGGGGAAGATCAGCGCGAAACCAGAGTAAACTTTGAGAAGGCTGAGAGACCAGAACATGCCGCCCATGCGGAAAACCGTCGATGATAGGGGCCAGACAAGCGCAACGGGGGCATCGCCGACTCTATCGATCCAGACAGCCTCTTCACCGGCTCCTGAAGCGGAGCTCAGGCGGAAGTCGTCCTCCGAAGCATGATTTGCGCCGAGGCTGAGGATTGAGGTGCAGCAAGGCTGTGAATCGAGGTGCGTCGAGGTTGAGCACAGTCGTCAAAAATTTCTTGGCTAGGCGGGATGCAGGGCGTAGCGGCATCGGGATTGGACGCCAAACGGCCCCCAAGCTGTGCCTCACGAAGCCCCGTCCGTTTTCATAACCTAATACATGGAGCCTGTCTTAGTGGTCTGCAGGTGCTCGCCTCGAGAACGTGACCACGGATCAGCTAGACATGTTTAGAATGCGGCTCAAATCGAGCTCGGACCCGGAGCCCCGCTGGCAGCTTCGTCTGGGAATTGTGAGAGCTCCAGACATTCAGCCCAGGGGACTTTTGGGATCTCCGATACAGCTCATATCGTTCCAGTGTGTAAAGTGCGAGTCGACGACATCATGGAGGAGACACGGCCCGACCTGATCATCGCTATTGACTTTGGAATGACATGTATGTCTGGAAGGCTAGAGTGCCTCTTTGCGGTGAATACGTATGATAACACGGTGCTGACCTCAAGGAAAAGGTACCGGAGTCGCATACGCAAATCCCTCTATCGGCGCTGATACTATTCGGTGGATTCAGCGATGGCCGGGACGTATGCAAGCAAATGAGAACAAAGTGAGCCTCTACCACCAACTCCATTCCTCCGACCTTGTGATGGCAATGTATCTGGGGCCCTTCGCCAACATAAGATATCTAGGTCCCGACGATACTAGTCTACCCCAATGACCAGCCCAATCCCTCATCATGGGGCTTCCTATCCGAAACGATGACCGAGGTGACCGCCGTGGACAAAGAGTTTCGCGAATGGTTCAAGACATTTCTCGACGAGGGTAGACTGAATCAAGCTCAAAGAGACGCAAAAGATCCGACAGATGTCCCCAGGTCCATAGAAGAAGTGGAGAAATGGTACTGCGACTACTTCAAGTTCCTCTACCAGCATATCCGATCCAAACTCCAAAATGAGATTAGTTCTCGTTGGGAAGATGCCCGAATTGATTTCATCTTCAGCGTTCCAACGACCTGGGCGCCAAACCCCACAGTCGAGCGCTTCCGAAAGATCATAGACCGCGCAGGATTTGGACGATATCCAGGTCACATCGCGACAATCGGGTTGACGGAAGCGGAGGCGGCCGCCGTCCACATGTCTCGGGAATCTCCTGCAATATTCCTCGAAAGAGATATACTCATAGTCTGCGACGTTGGTGGGGGGACGACCGATCTATCAGCGCTTAGAGTCACTGGCACGGGTAGTGGATCGTTGAGCCTGGAACAACTAGATGTCGTATTTGGTGCTAATCTTGGCTCTGCTCAAATTGATCGCGGTTTCGAAAATGCAGCTCTTCAACGACTGGAATTTGCGAATCGAAGCCTTCCAATGGGTATTGAGATTGAAGATGCAGCGTGGGAGATGATGAAGAGCAAAGAATATCAGAATGCGAAATGTGATTACGGCGCCGAAGATGATACACCCATGTTCTCCGTTGCGGTGCCTAAGCTTAGCAGAACGTACACGAATGAGCCTGCAGGCATCATCAATGGTGAATTAAGGTTTCAAAGGTAGGACTCGATAAAAACTTGGAGTGCTTATGGTCTGACTTGATTGCAGAGATAACTTGAAGATACTGTTTGATGCTCAAGTAAGTATTGTCTAGCTTCGGAAACTCGATGTGGGGCGCTTTCTGACAGACGCAGATCGACAGACTTTTCGGTCTGATAGACAAGCAATTAACACAAATATATCAAAAGTTCCCACAAGAGCAAGTGGTAGGCTAAATCACCCCTCTCGATTTCGTCTTAGGCTCACACAACCAGGCACATCTTGTCCTTTCCGGTGGTCTCGGCAACTCCGCATACCTTCAGCAGCGGTTACGAGAACGGTATGCTTTCGGTCGCGCGCCTTTTCCGAATGCCTTGCGTTTGCAAGTTGGAGTAGCTCCGGACCCACAGCTGGTTGTGTGCAAAGGCATCGTTGCCGATCGTATACAGAAGATGAAGAGTGGGAAATCGGTGCTGGGTTGGCGATGCTGTCGGTCGTCTTATGGAACAATATGCAAAGTCCTGTATAACCCTCTGAATCCCATGCATCACAACAAGCCAACGGAACGAGATCCCATGGACGGTCAGTTGTACATTGCTAATGTTATTGACTGGTAAGTTTATTGCCCTCACCTCAACATCTTGGATGCGCTGATAATATCTTAATAGGTTCATAAAACAAGTCAGTCATCTCCGACAGGTCCAACTCATCGCTATACTAACAATAAATAGGGCGACCCGGTATCAATTGACTATCCAATCGTTCGACAATTCCGACAAAAGGTCACGCCTGGCAACCCCAAACGAGTTTTCCCCACTGCGGTCATTGAATCCCAGCTCGACAAAACCCTTCTGCCTTTCGTCATGGACCACAGTACGCAGATACCTCTCAACACGGTTCGAGTTGTCGCACACTGACCCAAAGAACAGATTGCAGGACTTTGTGCAGTGTACAGTCCGACTTCTCGAGCGTCGAACTCGCCAAGTTCAAGCTCAAGAACAGACACTTTTGGAATCGAGGCCAAAAATATCACCGTGTGGACTACGCAGTGAAGGTTGTCCTAGGACCAGTACGTCTTACAATTTAGGGACTTTTTAGTTTCTGTCAAACTCACTTCGTATTGTTCCTTGTGCTAACTGTTCCGCGACTTTAGGCAGACATCCGCTTTGAACTCTGTAGGCCCTTCTTTCATCTTCTCGTTTGTCTATAGATTAATCTCACTACTTCGACATTATGCTTGATTCGCTAACACTCATCAGGGTGGAACGGCCAAAAGCTCAGCCGCGATACTCCCATCAAAGTCGAATGGCACGCAGCGCCCGCTCCCGATCCTTCCACACTTCCTCCAGTTCCAGATATCAATCCTATGGCGCAAACTCACTTCGGTCTCCCCGCGGCTCGTACGTGGGGTGGCGTGCCATCACAGAATGGATACTTGCCTGCATCACCACCAATGGCCATGTCGCCGGCGATGTCGACTGGGTACCTCTCAGCAGGGATGAATCGTGGCTATGCGAAAGGGTATGCAACTACGAATCAGGGATATGCATCCCCAGGTAGGAACTATGCTCAACCCGGAGGAAATCATCAGAGATATTCCAATGGTGCTTACTGAGGCTCAAGGCCGTGAGTGGTGTGCGAGCTTATGATGAGGTTGACTGATATCCTACTAGTTCCTAGCTTTCTCGGATGCGCTTGTGACGGAGTACGTATTCTTAGCCAGCTAGCCTACGGAGTATGGTACGGTTAGCTCGGCTACCTTGATATAGAACACGGTTCCTATACTTAGCCCACACAGTTCTACGGTACGGCTACGTAAGCCTCCACACACACAGAGTATATATACGGCGTACGTAGCCTAGATAGATGCTCATCCAATACATCACTTACCTCGTTCAATGCATTGTTTCACCTCCATCCTCAGCCCGATCTATAACGATATCCTGATACGCAAGCGAAACATTACAAGTTTCCTCTAATAAACATATCCTTCAAGTCGAATGCTACCTAAAGCTAATGCGCCGAAGAGAGTGGGACTAGACATATAGATGGAGCAATATTCAGAATCCTCAATGATGTCAGTAGCGTCCTCAGGTCCTGCATAATGGGTATGGGTGGGGATGCGAGCTCTGTTGATGCCAAGAGCCACGCGGTAATGGTTATGCAGATGGGTAGCAGAGTACGCGTAAGTCTTTGTCAAAAACATAATTCGCGAAAAACTGTAAATTTGGTTTCTTTCAAGGATATCTAAAATTTATGTTACATTTCTTCCATATCTCGGGTATCGATCGTATTCTTTGTAGCAGGACGCAAGCTTCGTAACCTTCAAGGTAATGAAAGTCAATGTTGAATGACTAGGATACGCGTAAGAGGTCGTTTGGTTCCATCTTGAGTTTAGTATACAGTGGTGCAATGAAAGAGCAGTCCTCATTTTCCGCCTTCAGAGCTGGTTTGGATTTGCTAGCTCGTGTCTCGTGAATTGCGCTGGGAAGTTGACGACGCAGTTACACTGCTGCAGACATTCTATCACCTTACCCGTGTGCTCGTTTTCCTTACTTGCCACCATCACCCATGCGGAGCAGTGCCATACTGTGAATATGTACAGCCATGCCCTCGAAGTCCCGGTGGATGCAGGACGTCAAGATAGAAGCTGTGGGCCGGGGCCGGACTAGTTCCGAAATGACCTGAGTATATCACGTGCCACAATCCCGTGTCGCAGATTTTGTACCTTCAGTCCGCGGCAATTATGGAAATGTTAGTCTCTAAGGATCTGATTTGTGAACTCCAGCAAGAAATCTCCGCCCTCAAGATGACCGTACCATACCTTCTATCACGCGATCCCAGGAGCGACAGACCAAACGCTTATCTAAGTCGCTAGATGGGGTGTGTTCGGCATGACTGATACCGATGCTATATAGCATATCAATTCACTTTTCACTTAGATTTGATTGTCCTGGTTAACTCTGCTTACGATTGACGAGTTTCTTCTCTAATCTCTTTTCTCCCTTTCTCGTCTTTCTCGTCTCATTCATTAATCCCCCAATTAGGAAGTAACACTTCAGCATTAGTGGAAGTTGAAGCTTCGCTGCGCCCACGCTCGTAGATATGGGGATGGGATAGACTCAGCATGGCTTTCTAGCACTGTTGGGATCTTAGAATATTCATGAGTGTCCATATCTCCAGGTGATGTATTCTATCTCTAAACCCTAGGCAACAAACGTGAAGACAAAGATGACCAATAAGTCTAGGTTCTTCATCTTGGCGTATTGGATCATATATTTGCAGCCCATTACATAATATCCAAGCGCCAGCTGCCAAGATCGAGGCTACCTTCGTACCCCCAAGAATATAGGCAGAACCAGGGCCAATTCACCTTTGAAACGGACCTTTCGAGCCTATTTCCCGGGTTCCGTAGCACCTCCTCCAACCGAGCAAGTCTCGCGGCCCGGATCCGCTCTGCGTCCTTCGCAGGATCAGCGTTAGGAGCGTGCGCCGTCCGCTCGATAGCCTGGATTGCAGTTCTCTCTACCGTCAACTTCTTCAGCGCTTTTTCTAAATCATTCTTCCGTGAACCGACTGGTTCCTGGCATGCCTCTTGCGTATGGCCCAGCCCACCGCAGTTCTCGCACCGGCCCCCAGCCTCCTTCTCGATCCGTAGCTTCAAATCGGCAAGCCAACGTCTTGGGGCCATTTCCCAATAGTCTTCTTTGTGAACTACATGGAACAAGACCATGGCTAGAGTGTAGACGGCGTCGTTCGCGCCGTTGTGGAGGTTCTCTGGTATGATCCTGTATCAATTCTCTAACAGCTCGCGGAGGCCAGAGGGCCTCTGTCGTCTGCCGCAGAGAAGGATCTGGGCGTCTATGATAGCATAGAGATCGAGCTCGGAGTATGAGATCCCCATCTGGTGGCGGAGGTAGTTGTCCTCGTTATCAAAAGCATGGGCGACGAGAATGATAGGTCGATATTTGGACTCCGGCTTTGGGGTCGTCGATACGGCGCTCTCAGTCGTAGCGATGTCAACAGTCACCTCAGTCTCCTCTGGGGAAGAGTCCGTTGTATGGGAAGCCAATCCCGCTGACTGAGGAGTATCGAAAATCCGCAGTTCTCTCATCAGTATTTCCCTGAGATTAGCGGCCGACACTATCTCGCTAGTACCGTATGTAAACTTGTCGGCAGCATAGAGTGAATGACCTCTGCTGTCCTCGATATCTGGGCGGATGTGTGCGTATTCGCCCACGATATAGTGTTTTGCCTCCACACATTATTGAACCTATTCCCAAGACCGGTGCTCGTCCGCTTTGCGACAGTCGAAAAACGCTAATCCGATTTCAGTGATTTTGCCATACAAAGGATGCAGTGAAGGGAGCCAGGAGAGGCTCTCGAAATCGACCGATACGAGCAGCGCGTTTCTTGTGATCGTAGGGTGACTTTATCGGATAACGTTAGTTTTCAAAAACATAGGCTAGTAAAGGATCCGAAAATATCTGTTACCGATCTGCAAAAGCTTCGCGGTCTTGGGGACTGTATGCTTTACCCACTCTCGTCGGTCCAAGACGATCGATTTTGATGCCTAGGGCAAGACCGAGAAGCTTCTCGCCTTCTTCTCGGGATAGTGGTAACTGGGGTTCTCCAGGCTTGCGGAACATGGATGGTGTCAGCTCGTTAGTGACATGTGCCATTGTGAAGGGCATAGATTCTGCGTTTGTAGCTTTGATGAAAGTGTAGTAGAAACGTAGTTAGTGGGCCTTGTCAACGCGAAGAGAGATGTTGTGAGGAGCAAGGAAATTCAAGAAGGTAAACAACATCTTTTAGCATAGTGAATGCCGTTGGAACTTGTTAGAGTGAGACATCACTTCCGAGGCTAACCGAGTCGTGAAGGAGGCAAAGGGGGCTGGTAGAGCAGCATTTGGCAGAAATCATGCAGGATGCGTGAATGCCATGATATACAGGTACGGTAGTGAATGTAACAAGTCGACTACCAAATCGATTCAATCTTGAAAGTTGAGCGGGATGACAAGGCTGGAGGCGCCCCGTCGAAGTTTCAGCCAGATGGGCTGACTTACAGGGCCTTAGCGATCGACTTGATAGTTGAAAGCCTGTAAAGCAAACCACAGTGCAAACAGACTTGGTATTATGGAGCTAGCAATTTAGTTGCGGAGATCAAACTCACATGTACGAGACATCACAAGCCGCCGCAAAAAGGGGTGCTCAGGAAAGACTTCAGAGATATTTCTAGATCTTTAGTTCAATAGGGCGCTTGTTTCATGTCATGGCAATGACGGCGAGGATTCACGTTGAGGGTGTGTATATCTGTCCGGATACACTAGAGTCTGGAAGCCGCCGAAGTGTCAGGACTACCTCCAATAGTCAGAGCATCGAGACCTTCTCCAATGGCTGGAGGAGCCATTGGAATAGCCTCGATATCTGAAGTAGTGGAGTTTACCTCGATGTCCGAAGATCTTGGGCTGCCTTCATGTTCGGCCAGTGGAACAGTTTGAACTGGCTCCGCCTCTTCGTCATCTTCAGGTTCAGCATCAGGTACAGCCTCCCGGGCATATCGATTGAACGGTGGGTCGGGCGCCTCCAATCGCAACTTTTTAAGAGCTCCCGCAATCTTGTCCAGTCCACCCTCACGGTCATCGCAATGCCCTGAAATATGTCTGCTCCCATCACAATAGGCACATGTGTTCCCAACCTCCTTACAAAGCCTTCCAGCCTAGTAGCACTAACCAGTCGTTAAGTTCATTGTTCAGTTTTCCGCTCTCTTTCTCGATTGCGAATACGATGACGAGCATAAGTGCGTAGACCGCATCGTTCCCAGCATTGTGTAAGTTCAGAATGTTGGGCAGTACCTGGTATCGTTCCGTCAACATATACCGAAGTGAAGGTGGTTCGCGTATCATGACTTGAGCGTCGACTACACCGCAGATAGTGCCAAGGTCCGAGAAAGACATGTCTAGCTCGTTGCGTAGGTAGGAGTCTTCGTTCCCGAAACAGTGTGCTACCAGCACGATGGGGCGATATCTGGGATCGGTAGTAGTTGGCGCACTGTTGGATGGCTCAGGGGTATTGTCCAAGATACGGAACTCCTTCATGATGGTATCGCGGAGGCTCGTGATCGATACAATTTCGCTGGGGCCGAACTCGGACTTGTCTGCTTTCCAGAGAGAGTCACCGGCTCTATCCTTGACGTCCGGGCGCCAATGTGCATATTCTTTGACAACTTAGTGTTTTGCGTACGTTAGCTTTGAGAACTAGACCTTGCATTCGATGTCTTTTGTCTGACGACAATCCAGGAAAGCTAGGCCGAGCTCAGTGATCTTGCCGTGCATTGCGTGGTTGTCAGGAAGCCAGGCTAGACTCTCGAAGTCTATAGCCACGAACACGGCGTTATTCCGGACGTCGGGGTGACTTTGAATCATATTAGATAATAGACCCTCATCTCGTCTACAAGTATACTTACAGGGACTCATAGTCAGCGCGGTCTGAATCTGCCCAGGCGCACCAGCTGCCTCGCGCATATCCGATATGCCTGAATTTGAGGTCTAGAGACAGCTCTATGAGCTTCTCGCTCTCATCGTCATCCAGCGGCAGCAGGGGCTGCTCTGTCTCTGCAGACGCCAGCGGGATTTTGGGGTCACCACACTCTAGTTCCATGGGAGCTGGTGGTAGGTGAAGTGTGGTTGTGACTATGTACAGAGTTTGGCAATTAAAGGTAAACGTGTTGGAGTTTCTGGGAGCTGCGGAGATGTGGATGGACGTACGGAGGACGCAAGGAGAGGTGGACAAGGTATATCATCTTTTTTAGCGCATTTGAAGGAGAGGCCGAGCACTTGTTCCCGAGAATAAGCGAGTTAGGGGGTTGGCGACCAACAAATCAAAAGTGGAAGGTGAATGATATCGCTGAAAATCTACTGTGGTATCCGGGGTATGTTTTGTGTCTGGACCGTACGCAGCATTCACCTTGTATTTAAGAGGCACCAGATACACCCCCTGTGTGTATAGCCTGAGCATTTTGATACATACAAACAGAGGCTGTGATTGGTGTCTTTTAAATAGAAGGTGAATGCCGCGCATGGTCTCGACACAAAATATACCCCGGATACCACAGTACTAGTACCAGCGTATTATACCTACAATCATGAAGAGAAACGCTTATATCTAGAGAACTATCACTCCACGTAGTCCGCATTAGCTAAGTAGCAGATGCTTATAGACCAAGCTAGTGTCTTTACGCTTCGTACGAGATGTGTGATCTCGAACCTTACCTAGTGTGGGTGATATTCAAAAGCTATGGTATTTATAAACTCAAGACCAGATTGCAATCTACGAAGAAGACGAAAGGACGCGCAACGAGCGAACAGCAAAGGGAACGAAGGGCCGCTATGAAGACCCCAGGGCGAAACGAGTTTATATACGCTGGCTGGTTGCTCCTAAGAAGTTTGCTGCTTGGTCATTGCATTCAAAAACAATCATGCTTACCGCCCTTTACCATTACGAGTGGATGGTCAAGATGATGACAGCCACCGGCGACACTGATAATCTACACTTCTTCGCCTACTCGCTAACTATTATGCAAGCTAAGTAGTTGACCGTGAGTATGGTTATGACTCATGTGGGAACTAAGTGGGAACGGAATTGTGGAGTTGGTAAGGGGGCAGCCCAGCAAAACGCTGTGCATAATGGCGAACTGATATTGAGGATCGGAAGACCGGAAGATTCATAAACGGATTTGCGCCCTAGGTTTCCTTCCGCGGCTGTTCACTCAGGTTGCCACTGACACGCTAGTAGTGGCAACCTGAGTCACCCCCCATCCTGAGAGATCTGTACCTAGCGAAGAGAGATAGCAGTGAAAGGTCCAAACGAACATCCAATCCAAAGAACCTCTGTCCTAATATCGCGGCTGGCAATGCTGTTTATGCCACTGGCCGACACCAAGAGTACTGTCCTACGCGATGAATGTATATGCTGCCCGCTTGTATGCGTACCGGGCCTTTGTCGTGGTAGTAGAGAGGGCTTACGTCATGCCTCAGTGATGGTACCCGTTTGTATGTGTACCGGGCCCTTGTCGTGCCTCGCGCGTAGGAGGACTTTCGTTGCCTCGAGCAGAGGGCTTCACGCCGTGCCTCAGTAGAGAGGGCTTCCGCCGTGCCTCGTAGAGAGGGCTTCTGTCGTGCCTCAGTAGAGAGGGCTTCCGCCGTGTTGCTCGCAGGCGGTGCAGAGCGTTGATCGTGTATGGGTGGCGTAAGCGCACCCCCGAGATGGTAGAGAGAACCTCAATCGAATGTCGTAACAAATGCTGAACCTTGTCTTAACCGAATATGCGATGTACTGCTGGCTTTTGTGCAGACAGGAATCCAGAAACTCCGGCAGATAGGTTGATTGATTCCTAGCGTGTGACGAGAGAGGAAGGAGGATACAATGGCTGTAAGAGAGCCAAGGGACAGAGACCGCGTTGTCGTACTTTAGGAGGAAAGCATCACGTGATTGGTGAACAAGTATTCCGGGCTCATAACTCTCAGGTTGTGAAGAAGCAGTTCTGTGTTGATTTGAAGAGGCATAAGGCCCGTATATATAGCCTATGAAAGGGGGGGGGGGGGGGGTACTCCCCTGTTCCCCCTTGTTACGGATATGGAAGGATGTAACGCCACTGACACGCTAGTAGTGGCAACCTGAGTTGTTCAGCATCGCGATCTCGCAGAAAGGGTTCATAGTCGGAGAATGCTGGAGAACTGGGCTTGATTAGTGTACCTATCGCACCTTATCCACCTTCCTAAGCTCTTCTCGGCGGTGTCATCCCCTTACTTTCCACTTTGTCATTGTAACCCAGATATGCCTCATTACGAAGAGTCTGTAGCAATATGCTTTGATCGGAGTCGTAGGATCTAAGAGAGACGATCTAAAGTTCAGAAACAGCTGTCCTTCAAAAGCTTCCTAGTTAGTGTCATCTTTCGTGAAATATCACTTATTTCGAGAGCCTTATTCAGCTCGATCAGTAAGTACAACACGCTCTCCTAAGACAGACCTACTTCCCATACTTAAACGTCTAATCTTTAACGGACTCCATTTCGGATAACTGGTCTTCGTTAACATTATGCCATCTTTCAACCAGTCTAATCTCGTATATAGTAAGCAAGCAGCACTTATGCGTCCAAGAAAGTCAGCGTTAGATATAAGGACCTTATTAGGGCCAATACGCGCGATTAAGCCTACAACAAGTTGCTTTCCATCCAAGTCATTAGCTCAGCGTAACTAAGATACCCTATTTCTTCGTGGTTTCGAAGAACTTGATGTGTGATCGTTTCCTCCACGTTGCGCCGACGAGCCGAAAACTAGACCAGCCGGCGAGCCATGGACCCGGAACGTGAGGTAGACGGCGGTATGAGCGGTATGAGACGACGATGTACCAGAGAAGTGCTGCGGATACAAATACTTTGACGGAAGTGTAGAGCGCGTCCATGATGTTAAAGTGGCGCCGATAGGCGGGAATGCGGGAGGGCCAGATGGAGATAGCCTTCGACCTACTTCAGTACTACGCTGCTGATTTAATTACCTCAAGATCTGAGGTTGGGTATTAGAACAAGGGCAAATCATGCATGCATAGATCTGGAAGCCTGGTTGTGTAGAAGTCAAGGCAGGAGGGGGGTCACGTGCCGAAGTACTGGATCGTTCCCTATAATTTCCAATTCATCCCTTCCCAATCTCTCGCGTCTAGAATCAATCAATGAGAGACGTTATTGCTGCTATTGGTTCGAAATAGGCATCGTTTACGGCTCTTCGTACAAGTTCTTTGGATTTGACTGCAGATTGATTCGCGGCCGTAATCAGGTTCAGAACGCATTGGCGTGATCTTAGAATACTTCAGCACCGTTTGGAGTCAGAAGTCGGAGAAATCAGAATGATCAGAATTTCTCTTTCTTGCCCAATGCCAGTTCAGCCGGAAACAGGGCTGTGTATTGGGGCTTGGAAAAGCAATTTTTTGGCGTGGTTGCCTACTGTGAAGCTGAAGGATGGGTTGATGTGGGCATGGTAAGTACCAATCATCGTATGTTCACTCACTTCAGCTCCTTAAGGTTCTTCCTTGCTCAGTGCAACTGATTGAAAGCCAGGAAGGGCCAGCTGGTGCGGGGTAGTGTGGGGGCTGAAACTCACGAGTAATTCTTCTCCTGTACCTCCACCGCAAAAGTATCCATTCATTAAGTCTTTCACTAGGAAGTTTCTCAAGTCATGGACATTTTCAGCACCTCTCTCGAGGTTATAAACCTAATCTACGAGACGACAGTCTTTATTCGCGAAGTAACTCAAGATATCAAGGAGTACGGCTCCGCCAAACGCGACATCTCCGAGCGGCTAGAGCACGAACTTGTCTTCGTCGAAACCTTCACCGACGTATGTTTTGGCGAGGAGCGCGGTCTCCTGCGGGATTCCAGAGTTCGGGATAGTGTGAAACGAGATGTTCAGCATTGCCTCGATGTGCTCAGCAGTGCATTAGGCGCGTATAGGGTCGAGGCGTCGAAATTTGCGGGCATCGTACCGGAGATGGCCGGGGATGTAAAAGACTTGAATGTGAAGGAGAAGAAAAAGTGGAAGTTTGGCAACGGCATGAGGGCACGGTGCCAGGCCTGGAGGAAGAAAGCCTCCCCCTTGGAATGGGCGCTTTTCGGGAAAGAAGAAATGGAAGCGCTCCTCCTGCACTACACCGAGTGGACTGATCGGCTCCGGCAGACCCTCTCAATCATCCTATTGCTTGTAGGATATCCGACGCCAGGCTTCGCAGCGAGCTCGCAGGCCGCAGACCTCGGCGTCAAAGAGGTCTCAGAGAGGCAGATCAGAGTCCATTCACAGCCCCCCGAGGACTACGATGCGCTGGATGGAGAGATGAAAGATTTTGTTGTTTTCAAACCTGGACAAGAACTCTTACGTGGTGTCTACGAAGATAAATCAGGCTTCGATTCTATGGAAGTCATTGTGGAAATTCGGCAGTACGACGATGCAATAGCCCTTGCTACGAGCGAACGCGAAATCGATAAAGCCAAAGAACTTAAGGAACCCCTCAGACGACTCACATGGCTACTTCAGGGCCCGGTAGACTCGGATCTGTCAAAGCAGGACGCTGAAGAGGGGTATCGCATGCACACCCTCAGCTGCATTGGCTTCCTAGACGAACCCAATAAGAATCGAAGCCTTATTCTGTATCGTTCGGCTCAGGTGCTTTTGGAAAGTCAAGAAACACCAACCCTCCACGCTTTGATTTTGGGAAAATCGAAGCTGACCCTGGGAGGGCGGTTTCGCACGGCGCGTGCCCTGGCCGCCACGCTCCTGACCATCCATACTTCTGGCTGGGTCCACAAGAATATATGCTCCCGTAGCGTTCTGATGCTTCCCAGTTCATCCCATGATCTCGAAAGCCTCCCTTACCTTGTAGGTTGGGACGTCGCTCGCCCACTCGAAGCTCAGACTTCTCTCCACGAACTCTTCGAGCTAGAGCCAAATCTATACCATCACCAGCAACGTTTCGGGAAGCCAACGCATAAATTCTCGAACGAGCATGATATCTACTCTTTGGGGGTTTTGCTTCTTGAAATTGGCCTATGGAAGACCATGTCTACTCTCTTTGCAAGACCGCTGGAGAAGAACCCCCGGATTGAGACAACGCAGCAACATGCACTCTTTAAGCGCGTGGGTGGAATGATTGGGGATATGGCGACCGGCTTGGAGTTAAAAAGAGAAATGGGAGAGGGCTACGCTGGTGTTGTGCAGAAATGCCTAACGTGGAGACCGAGTGAGAGCCAAGAAGATGCAGTGGAGCTGTCGATTGATTTCCGTAAACAAGTGGTAGATGCTTTATCAAAGGGGAGCAAACTATAGAGGGCTGTATGCTAGAACCAATTCACCTCGCCTTAGTACCCTCGTTTAAGTAGCTCCGGCACACTCAACTTCCTGCCTTTCAAATCTCTCACCTGCTCTATTCCGCCCGGCGTCTTTGCATCCATCTTGACCTCAACACTCCTCCCATCTCTGAGAATGCCTCTGTACCAACCGTCTTTCCCACTAAGCATTTCCACGAGCCTTGGCCATTGCTCAAAGGCCAGAATAGGAACTTCCAATGTTTCAAGATCGTCCTCGTCAAGATATGAATGCTGGTCCTTGAACTCTTCGTACGCAGCTTCTTCCCATCCATCGTCCAGCTCCTCCAGGTCGTAAAGCGTTCTCCAGTGATCGAGGTTAGGTTGTGTATCCTTCGTCATCCCCAACATCGGAAGGTCGATCACATCTCTCCATGACGGGCCTCTATGCTCGGCCTGCCGTATTCGCAACCCACCATGGGATTGAAGAAGCGCAAAAATCTCCGGATACGCCCAGTAAGCCTCCCTTGCTCTCGCAGCCGAAGCTCCACCATAGCGGCCTACAACGCCGGCGTTGGTGGTATAAAGTCGGTTCTTTTGATCGGCTTCTTCGATTTCTTCCTTGGTAAGGAGCTCACTTGCGTGACCGATGTATACGAACCGTGCCGAGTTGGCCGAGAAGAACGCCTCGTCTAGAGTGGTTGTCTCGGTTCCTCGTATAGTCACCTTTTCGTTGACCCTGGCGTCCATTCCGAGTTGAAGGAGGTAAGATAAGGTTCTTAGGCGGCCTTCTGCAGCACATTTGGTCAAAGCCGTAAAGCTTGTTTCGTTGATGAACTTTCGGAGAACATCGGGCGTGAAGGATTCGTGAGAGAACAGCAGCTGCAAGGCTGAGAGGGAGTCCGCATCCATGAGGGTGTAATTTTCCACGAGACGTAGGATAAAGTTCTCTTGGGAGTCATTCATGTCACTTGGCCTCGCTCCGTGTTTGAGAAGAAACCTGATCCTCTCAACGATGTCCTTTGGGAGCCCCAGACAAGCCACCATGAGCGGCGTATTCCCGTCTCGGTTCCTCGCGTTTATATTTGGACTATGCTTCGGATCCGCAAATAGTAGTTCGATGTACTCGAACAATTTCTCTGCAGGCATTTGCGTCTTTACCATCTCGTGAAGGACCGTTTCCTCTAGTGCGCCTGCTTGACTGTCTAAATCGTTCACTTTTTCAATCATGTACGCAAATAAGCTCTTATACATGTGTGGATACCGCAGCAGACTCGGATCAGTCGAGCACCAGAGGTGTAGTACATTTTCCTCTGATCTCTCAGTTTTTGCTTCCGCGTTTGCGCCTTCGTCTAGAAGTGCTTGGACAACATGCTCCTTCCTGTAGATCGGGTCGGAAGCCGTGAGCAGGGGCGTGCGTTTCCCCCATGTATTCGTTCGGCCTTCGATATCGACGCCTGCTTTGACGAGAAGATGCACCACGTCTTTTGCAGACTGAACGCTTTTTCCCCAACTTCCGTGTCTGACCCAACTATCCCATTTCCCAGATGATAGTACGTGATCGTTCCCGGCGCCTAAGCTCATTAGGTGGAGGGGATTTCGGCCTTCTTTGTTCTTGACGGAAATGTCGGCACCTTTTCCTAGGAGATAGGCGACTAAGGGTGCATCTTCAGTGCATACGGCTTGAGCAAGAGGCGTTGTTCCATGGTTCTCGTTATCATATGTAGCGTCGATATTAGCTCCCAGGTTTAGAAGAACGTCTAGTGCAGTTTTGTTTCTCGCGAATGCCGCCCAGTGAAAAGGACTGCCAAGTGGAAATTCGAAAGGGAAGTGCTTCATGAGATACCTTGGCGTTCTTCCATAGTATCGTGGCGGCTTGATCATATGGTTAACATCAACCCCTCCGCTCTTAGCCAATGCATCTGCAATTTGAGGAATGTCCGATTCAGGAAAGTTAAAAAGCCAGTGCAATGGAGAAATCGACATATCCTTGGTAGGGGTTGCTCGATGACCATTGCGAAGAAGTAGTAGGACGACAGCCGTGTGGCCGGCCTGGCAAGCTTTGTAGAGTGGTGTCTCTTCGTTCTCGTTGACAAGTTCCGCGTTTGATTTGTCTAAAAGGATCCTGACGGAATCAATTTCCCCAAGAGCAGCGCAGGCATGCATCATGGTGTTTCCGATGGAATCTACAGCATAATCGATGCTGAATTTGCGAAGCCACGTTGCGAGCCTATTCACGTCTCGTGCCGTTGCGAGGATGGGGGCCATGCCCAGAAAAGCGTCGTCGCAGTAGCCACCGTTTCTCCTAAACTGTTGTCGCTGTTCTTCATGTCTCTCCTCTTCTAGGAAGGGATGACGATAAAACATGAAGCCATCCAACACAGCCTCTTTTTCCCACTGCATCAACGTCTTTTCGTCAACATCTATTCTGCGATCAAATGCTTCATATACCTTTGCACAAATTGCTCTTGCAGGAACGTAACCTTTCTTTGCTGATGCAAGGATATACTTCAATATTTTATCGGCGGATCCTTCAATTGGCTGCTGCGAGCAAGCTTCCGTCATTCCAAAAAGAGATTCGCCACTAAACCCACCAGATTTTCCCCTTTTCTCCTGCTGCGTATATTGCTGGTCCAGAGATCTGAGAACATGCATATCGAGGGAAGACCAATACGCATGGCCTCTACGCTTCCTTTGCTGCGTTTGCTGTACCGATGTGCTTTCTTGAAGCCACTCTAGGTAGGCCGGAAGTTCGGTTCGCAGCAAAACTGGAGAAGGGGGTGGACGTTCGCCCGGCTTGATGGCCAGAAGCTTTTTGGATGCTGCTTTGACTTGCATCAAAATGTCTTCAGGACATCCCTTCGCCGTTTTCAAAGAATCCCCGATTTCCATGGATAGTCCGAATCCTCTCTGTGGTCCCGGCTCTTTTGTAATCTCAGGCAACCCGCCATAAGCCCCAAATATCGAAAGCAACAACAACCCAAAGCTGTACGAATCGAAATTTTTCAACAACTCCGGCGTGAAAATTCCATGCACGTCATCGTTCCATTGGCCGACCCCAACCTCGCTGCCAGTCCACGATGTAGTGCCAAGGTAGGACTCCGGCGTGACCCTTTGCCCATCAACTCTCATATCCACACACACTCCAAAGTCGCTAAGCTTCGCCACGTAAGGAATCTTCAGATCATCGTGTCGAAACACCAGCACGTTTTCTGGCTTTACGTCTCCATGCACAATGTTTAACCCATGTATCGCCTCCAGCCCCGCCGCGACATCAAGCGCAAAGTGGTACTTGACGTCCCACCTCTTGGCCCCCAGCGCCACCAGTGGGCCCTCACCCTTCTTCTCCGATAACAGAAACTCATCCAGGGGTGCAAGCGCAGCTTCCATGAACAAAATCGGAATCGGCGTGTACCGATCCTCATAGTCGTATCCCCAGCCCAGTAATCGCACAATGTTCCGATGCCGCAACAGCCCCAGACTGAGGACCTCAAGCTCTAGATGCCGGAGCGTCTGTAGATATTGCTCATTCGACCCCAAGTCTTCATCATTTTTCAACGCCATTTTCGAAATTCGGACGCGCTTGACCACTTTGCCTTTCCCCTCGACAATCTTCCCGCTGTGGTCATCCTGAATGGCGGCAGATGCGTCGAGGAAGACGGTGAACTGGGACCCTTGACCTATTTTGACCGCCTTCTCTTTCAGGCTGAACATGAGGAGGTGTTCTGGGCCAGAGATGTCGAGGCTTGACAGGATCGTTATGAAGGTTGATAGCGAGGTTCCGACGTTTCCCGTTCTGGTTGCGGTTTTCCAACCTTCGAAAAGAGATTCAGCGGCTCCGGGAGAGTCGTCGCTGGGCTTGGAGGCGGCGGTTGGAGAAGGGGGCTCGGAGTCGAACCCCCATTTCTTCAGGAGGTCAGATGCTTCGTTCTCGGCGGTTTGGTTGGTGCCGTTAATTGCAAATCCCCATTCGTCTTCTTCTTCGAAAGGCTTGTCAGGCTTTGGTGCAACCTCGCCAGTGTTGTCAACAGGAAACCCCCAATCATCTTCTTCGTCATCAAGCTTATTGGGCTTTGGCGCTGCACCGCTAGTTTTGTTAGTTGAGAAGCCCCATTCATCTTCCTCGAGGCTATGCTGAAAACTTTGAGGAGTCTGATCTGCTGTGTCGTTGGAGGGAGTCGCAAATCCCCATTCGTCTTCGGCGACCGTTTCGGATGGACCGAGAACCCCTGGCCCTTTTTTTTCTGCCATTGTCTCGTTTGTGATGTTGAATACAAGTGAACCTCCTCGGTCAACCGTTTTGACTGATCGATACCCCGCTTGCATAAGCTTGAAACGGACCCCAACCTAGCACTAGTGTGGTATGGTTTATTTACTATTCTAGCATAGACGCCATTTCTAGTGCTTACTGTCCCTTTATCAGGAAGCAAGCCGCAACAACATTTGCATACATGAGTGATTGAAGTATGTTTCACGAATATTCTAAAGTACTACTGCATATTATAAATGATTCGCATGAGTTATGGTATTGTAGACAATTGAATTTGATGATACTACTGCGAATAGCGGAGAATGTCTCCAGCTATCGCCCAATTTCTGTAGACGTTGGAAGGGATTGTTCATACCAAGGCGACTACCTAAGTATCCATCTATCGCGAAACTCTGTCATATATTAAGAGGAAATGATCAGAACGACACTTCGCCCCCGATCATCGCAACATCTTCGAGATCCCCATATAGAGACTTCGCAACAATGACCAGTACTTTAAAAGCCAGGGCTTATAGAAGGGCTCTGGACTTTCCTCGCATGTTGAGCCCACATAACCTTCCTAAAACGGTGCCCTACCTTGATCGGCGGCTGACCCTCTTCGCGCTCCGATTCGTTGACAACGACGAGGCTCTTGGCCTGCTTCAGGAATTCCTTCGTCTCCTACCTCCTTGACCTCCTCCATTAGCTCATTGGTCTTGAAGTAACGATCGCGGCTCGCGTTATCGTAATTCTCGACCTCTTTTTCTGAGGACCACCGAGATAGGCTAGCCTTTTGCATACTAATAAGATAGACACTACGCTTGATATCGGCATCGAGCTCAGCAATCGTGGCTTGGAGTTTGAACATAAGATTGGCCCGATTCGAGGCAGAGCTCATCTTGAGAGCGGCGGTTCTCTCTATAGGAGAGCCTTCAGCCGAAGATTCATACCCTTCCGGCTCTTCAAGCCGCGCCAATGTCTGTTCAATCGACGGCAAAGACGCCAAGCGCTGCGCGAGAATATGGCTAAACAGCTTCCTAGCGCGCTTCAACAAGATCCTAGCCCGCTCGTCATCTAGGTGGTCCAGCTTGGCCTCGAATTCTTCCCGGACGCGTGCGAATTTGCGGCACTGCTCCTTCGCCTCCTTCTCAGCGGAGGAATCCGGGACGCAAACGAAGGTCTTTGTGTGCTGCTCGAAGTCCGACGCTAGGGCCTCTAGGGTGCCTTCGAGCTCCTTTGATTGACCTGGGTCAGTGAAGGTGCTGTACTTGGTGGCGGCAGAAGACTTGTACGCTTTGTCTTCCGCTGGAACTTCCTCTGTGAGTGTGACGTCCATTGCGCCTACTTCGACTAAATCAATCGCTTCCGTTTCTACGTCCAACATCTCCACATCACCACGGGTGGCCTTGAATTACTTGGTGGCCTTAGCGTGGATTCCATGCTTTACCGTGTTGTTATCTGAAGCTGATGGGGACTCCACGGTCTTCCGCTTCCCTAGATTGTACCGGGCTATCTTCAATGAACGAGCCGGAGGCGTGAAGTTGGAAGGGAGACCGATGTTTGACTGGGATGCGGTGTGGTGCTGGGTGTTAAAGGGTGTAGTGACAGTGGAGGGAAATCTATGGGGAATAAGCTGATACAAGCATAGACTATATACTCGGAAAAGCATCTCGTTGGAAAGGGAAAGTGTGTCATGTTTCAACTATAATATAGCACTAGGTGGTTAAATTGGTCAAGTGCTATGGTGAGTAAACAATGCGCATGAAAATTGGAGGATGCTTCACATGAGCATTCCAGCTTACACAATGTGGGGCCGCACCAGTGATATACTCCTACTCGAGATATTGTTCACATTCCTTCAAATTCGCTGCTCTTGAGGTGCCAGTATCAACCCGACCGACCGCCTGTAAGACCTGGAGTCAGTTGAAGAGGAGGTCAATCCTCCTCATCGATCTTCAGGTCGTCGAATCGGGCTAAAGTCTCCGCCTTGGATGGCAAGTTCGACAAACGCTCCGAGACCGTAGAGGCGAACAGTTTCCTGGCGCGCTTCAGCAGCATCTCCACCTTCCCGTCGCTCATGTGCACGAGTTCCTTTGCACCGACTTCCCTCTGTAAGTGTCTGACTTTGTAGAACAAATCAAACGCTATCTCCTTCTTGACAACTCTGCTAGCAGCATCCTCGAGGTGCGCAACCTTGTCGATTTGGAGATTGATATCGGAGTCCAGGCTCCTAAGAAGGTCATGGAGCTCCTTGCGGTCCACATCATCGAACGTGCTGAAGTCGGACATGATCGAAGAGGTCTCACTCTCTTTGGCTGGAGATTCATCGAAAGACCACGATCCGTATTGTCGGTCATTCTGATAGCAACCGTCTCCTAGGCCCAGGAATATCTCTTCGGCCTCAACTTCTAACCCTATGGCGAGCTTGGCCTTCTTGGGGCATACGGTCTTGACGTCGATATCATCATCCGATCTGTGTACCTCTTCGATAGCCCCTTCTCGCTGTCTCGGGCGGCTTCCAGATTTTGTACGCCTTTGCCTTCCTTGCGTTGCATCTGCGAATCTGGTGCCAATGCCGAGTTTAGATGGAGGCTCTGAACGAATCTAGCGAGTTGTGGTGGTGGTTGTGGTAATAGAGAATTTGGATGTAGACTGCAGCGCGGCGCTAATGGGTTTAATGCACCAGATACCTTCTTGTCACGATGTGAATGTCCCATGCTTCACCACACATGGTGCCCGACCAAGCAATGACGTGACCAGGAGTAAATGGAATAAGGGAGACGTGGCAATACATACGATATGGCGATGAAATTCACACCAGGTAGCATCGCATCTTCAACAGAGGCTGCAATCTAAGCTAGCAGTGAATCCATCTTACTGCAGCTGTTGAAACTTGAACCGCCGAGACTTCGACTGTGGTCTCACGCAAGCCTCTCGAACCCATCTCTGAAATGCGCCGTCCAATCTCTGCGGCAACCAACCACCCCAAATCCAGTAGAGCACCCAACTGAGGATCACGGCCGTACTGATACCCAGCAATTGTAATGATGCCGGAGCGGGATGCGTCACCCTCACGGGCCCAAAACCTTCGGAAGCCCATTGACCCCCATATACACCAAAAAGAAGCAGCCATGACCAGACGACCAGAGCATGCTTATTATCGCGGTACTGCAATGATGCCACCGCTATCCAGACCAGGAGAATGCACGACATGCGTAGTATGATTGGATGTGATAACGCAGCCAGAACCAGATCGAATTGTGAGTCGCCAATCCGCGTATCGTCAGCTTTGTTGGACCTGGGAGTGATTGATACACTCACCTCACGACATTCATAGTCGATACAGACATACTCAGTCGAAGCGTAAATTTCGTAATAGCTCAAGGCTGCATAGCATACGATCTGGCCGACGGCAAGGCAAACGTTGAATAACAAGCGGCGCCAGGTGCGATATGGCGATACTTCCAAACCCCCGTAAACACTCTCAAATATGGGGTTGCGATCACTCTCTGAGAAGCCCTTTTTGGAACGTTCGACTCCAGCTTGAAGCTCTCGAGACAACACTCTACTGCTAGGCCCTTCTACGATGAAGATGATCGGGTTTTCGATAGTTCGACCCGACGCTTCTCGCTCCTTGGCTAAGTGGTTCAAGAGGCCTGTCGTCGCATCCGTAATCGTAACGCCGGCTCGTAAGTGGAAATCGAGTAGTAAGAGTCTCACTTGTGGGTGCGGCTTGGGACGAAGAGAGCATTCGTATAATCCGTCATTTTGGGTTTCTTGGTGCTTGAAGGGGTCTGGTTTGCACACGTCGCAGCTATGCACCAGCACAACGTCAACGAGAGGATCCATGTCAGAGGTCGTAGAAAGAACCTGAAAGCTTAAGACCAGATAAATACGGAAAGGCCAAGGTTTTGAAAGTAGAGAAGGTAAGTTTTGTGTGACCACAGCTCGTGTGCAGTCTTCCTTGGCAAGGCATTTGTGAGGCATTCGCAAGGCGTACTCGATAGAATTGGCGAGGCATATTCAGCAGGATTGCGGGGATCAAACCCAGTCCAGTGAATCGTCGCCGCAGATCCTGGAACACTTCAATTCAGCCATGTCTATCGTCTCTTCCTGAAATGGGTACTCTCGGAATAGACGCTGTTGACGAAAGGGAAGGTTTGAAGGAAATAGAAATGGCGGGAGTCAGGGAGTCACGGCGTCAGGTATGCCAAGGCAGTATCTCCTCTTCGAATAATTAAAACAAGAGTTGATCACTCCCTTTCCTGAAGAATGTCTCTAATACAAGGGTATTGTCCGGATGATGATCTACTTTGAAAATCTGCGGCAGTCGGACCTGGATCTCGTATGGTGAAGATGTGCGGCGGTGACGGAACTCCGCCCCCGTTATCGACTTTCCTCCACAATCTATCATCGACAGTCAAAGCATAGCGTCGGTAAATCCGTATTCTCCTACCAGCCCACTATACACGAATCGCCGGCATATTCTTAAACTTACCTTTTTTATGGGGTCAGACAAGCTGATCATCCCACGGAAATCCAGGGAATTGAACAGTCCAGTCATCATCGACAAGCAAATCCGTAGCCAAGGATCCGAATCCAGCCTCTCCGTTCGACTGCCCCGCTCCAGTCGTCGGCAATTCCAACCCCGCAGAAAGACTTGTACCAAGATCAAGACTGAGCATTGGATCCGTCTGCGGGATTCCGCTCGCTCGACTCTTCATGGCTTCGAGCACGCTGTCCTGGATCTCTTTCATGCAAGGCCAGGTTTCCTTGACTTCGTCCATCGCGCGGAGGATTACTCCCAGCGAGGTCGAGATTTCAGGGTGATCGAACGTCGCTTTTTCGAAGAACTGTTTCATTAGGATCGTTCCTGCGGCAGTGGATAAAGTATGAACGAAGTCGAGTGGAAGACTACTATAGTGGTAGTATCGACTGTAGCTTCGGCATAGTCGAACGAGGGCGTATAGAGACTCGTAGCATATCTCTACGTCTTCGCTGGTCGCGATGCCAGGCATTACGAAGTAGTGTCGGGGTGGACGGTGGAGAACGATCATTGCTGTGTGGAATAGCATGCTAAAAGACTGCTTTAGTGGATTTGAAACTTTAAGGTACGATTCTAGGGACTCACTGGAGATGAAGAACATAAGCAGGCACCTTCCCAACCGTCCACTGATTCCAGTGAAGCTTCGCAGGCAGTCCGCCCAACCAAGTCGTGAGTGAAACATGAATCTGCTGCGCCGTGGTAGCAATAACCGCAGTATTCGTATTCGCATTCACCCGTCGATTCTCGAACAGGTTGGTGATGATGCTGTGTAAGATTTTGCATAGCTCAACTTGGTATGTCAAGGATCCTATGAGCGCGATACCATCCTCAAAAGCGGCGCTTGAAAGTCCTTTCCCGATATACGTACCGAGCAGCCCTTCCCATTCGGGCGGATATGGGAGTCTTATCGTACTCCGGACGTCTGATTCGTGTGGGTAGAGAGCGGGCGGACGGCCGAAATAGAGGCTCAATTGCTTGTCCGCGATGAAGGTGGCCCAGTACACCCTCCGCAGCACTTCCATATCAACCGAGGGCTGTGTAGCATCGTTCCAGTTGTATGGGTCGAGATGAAGTCCCATTTCGTGTGTTAGGCGAAATGCCATGCCACAGAACAGCCAACCTTTAGATGCCTTTCCGTAGCCGATCTCGCATTGGCCCAGAAGCACGAGAGCTTGTAATGTGGTAAGATCGGGATTGTCCAACGAGGCGAAGAGGAGTGTTTCGGCATGGCTTGAAAAGATCACGGATAGCTCCCGGAGGCGGGAGTCTTCGCATGCTAGAGCACCCATAGCACAGATCGCGTATAGAAGCACTTCGGAGTAGTATCGACCCGTCCCAGCATGGTAGTCGCGGAGGAAATACTCTCGGTAGATGCACATATTGTAGTAATACTGCTCTTTAAAAAATGTTGCCAGTAGACGCCGAGGAATCGCATCGCGAGGGCCATACTGGAACCTTGAAGTTGAACTATGCCCGCTTGCGGCTGAGGCATCCGAATTAAGGCTCTCTGGAGCTGGGAGAGCATTGAAATCGAGTCCTGGCAGAGAAGCTGGAGGCCCCACGGACTGATGGCCCTGGAAAAGGCTCGTTCCGCCGAAGAATTGCGACGCGTTGTTTGCTCTCAGCTTCTTCATCTGCCCAGCTCGAGTCCGGGCCAACGCCAGGTCGCCATTGTTGACAGCGTTGTCCTCGGGAGGTTGAGTAGGAGAGCTGTTTACATCACCTGAGATAACGCTAAACTCCGCAAGAAGTTCATCTCGTTGCTTGCTGTCGGCTGCGGCTAATTTTTGTAAGAGGAGTTCTAGGGAAGCTACATGACCTTCAAGTGCTTGGACATGACCTTTTCGTACTGGCCTAAGAGGATCTCGTGAGTAAGATGCCACACGATCTAAGAAATAGATCTTTCGCCTAACCTTTGCTTCTCTCCAGTACCTTGAAAGATACATTTTGCTCCGAATTTCTCACATTTCGAACATGGCTCCTGTCGGTCGCATTTGATCTGGAAAAGCTATCAGTACATACACCGACACAGTGACGATTTGTACCAACCTTCCTCCTACGACATCTTTCACATCTATTTCGAAGTTAGACAATGCTAGCCGAAATCTCGTAGAAAGAGAGACTGTACGAAGTATTCGCTGAGTCTCCGAGAGAGGTTCTCCGGCTTCGCTCCATAGGTCAATCTATGAAGTCTTTCACTGGGCGTTTCGATAGCTTAATCAGGGAAGATACCAATCTGAAACAGTGGGCCGCAAATTTATCGTCCCAGACAGGAGGTGGTAACGTCGCAGAGGTGGTGGGGTAACTAGACGGCTGCGGGCTTAGATAGCACTTGCAGAGGTAGAGCTAGGTATCGCAGCGCACTAGTACCAAAGAGGATGCCCGGCATTTTAAGTCAACTTGGGCCTATGAAGGCGAGCCAGAGCCGATGGAATAACTGTCGGGATAAATTCTTACCATCAAACTGAGAATAGCAAAGCCTGATTGCAATAGGAAGCTTTACTTAGTAATAGGAGAAGGCGGAGTAAAGACCCTATTCGATTCAAAGCAAGGTAGAGTATTCTAGACGAACTGTTTCAACACCGCAATGTGCACCCTACCCGACCCCCTCTGCGCACGTAACCCAGCGCCGCTGTGGCTGAGTTCGGCTCAGGCCCGGCTCAGCTTCGGCTCAGTTCTTCTCAGGTCTGCTCACCCTTGCTCACCCCTTCCCCACCGGCTGCGGCATAGTCTCAGATGGACCTCGCTAGAAACTGTCAAGTTTTAGCGAGGGGCCTCAAATCTGTCCCCGGGTCACGAATCAGGGCCCAATACTGTTTTGTAAGCCTTACAAGCTCAAGCTACTTTCCAGGGAGCATTCCCCACCCTTGTCCTTGTTAATGCAGAGTGTGCCATTCTACTTGAATGGCCGACCTCCTCTCACTTTATCGTTCATTCACACCTTTTTCCTATCCCACACAGTCAGAATCCTACACATCATGAGTACCCAGCGCCGAAAACAAGGTGCAAAGAAGAGGGACCCAGAAAGTCGATTCGAGGCAGCCATGCAAAATGAGTTCTCTTAGGATAAATCGGGGATTAGCAGTGAGCCAGTCTATGACGATCTTGCTGAGAGCAGTTAACCATAATATAATGAAATGTTAGAAGTTTAGGAAACGTGCATTACTAATGTTAAATAGATAAATTAGCACTAACGTTAGGAAACAATTTACGAGCATTTTTGCGGTCGTCTATGCGGTTTCAGCCATTTCGGCATATTTTAGCATTTAGCCGCATCTTGCGGCCAAACGCAATATTGCAAATAATACTACTGCAACCTGCGGCCAAATGCTGCATTGTAAATCGCGGTACTGCATTTTGCTACTAAATGCCGCCTTACAAATAGCGGTGTTGCATTTTGCTGCCAAATGCTGCCTTATAAATAGCGGTGTCGCATTTTACTACTTAATGCAGTAAAGTGTGCATTTAGTTATTGCAATATAGCAAGCAAGTAGTTTAGGTAATTGTATAATATTAAGTAGTAATATACTAGAAATAGTTTTATATTAAAGCCTACTATATATACTGCATTATTAACTACTAGTTATTTAAGAATAAGTTTTTTAATCTATATAGTATAGAATTGCAATAGCTTTTACCGTATAATAGCTTCTTTCTATACTAGTAACTATATATATACTAACCTACTAAGCTAACTACCTATTAGGCTAAATTATTTATATTAATTAGCTAATTTAAGATAGTGCCTTTACTAGAGAGTAAGTTATTTTTAGCCTCTTTTTTATAAACTAAGTTCTATATTAGGTCTATAAAGTTATAGAACTTAATTATTTATTTTTTAATACTAGAGGCCCAGTTAATATATACAAACCTATAAACCTTTAGCTCTATTTAGCCTTATAAATTAGCCTGGGCCAAATACTGCTTTAGCTTATTTAACTTATAGTTTAGTAACTCTATAATAAGAAAGTTTGCGTGCTATAAATTAAAAGAGGTACCTATTAATTAGAGGGTAGCAAATATAATCTTATCCTTTTTAAGGTTAAATACCTCCGCTAAGTTATTCTTCTGCCGCTAATTTATACCTATTATATAGAGGATAATACTTTTCTAGCTATACTACTTAATAAGCCTATTATGCTAATAGGCTTAAATAACTAGTAAGCGGACTATAATAATAATCTTAAATTAAGATCTATTAATATAGGTGCGATTTTAAACTTTAGTATTACTATTAAATACCTAGTTAACAAAAACATAATATAAGTTAATAATAAAAACTATTATTAAAACGGCCTAAACTGGCCCTATAGAGCTTAAAAAGGCCTTTAAGGCTCTTAATATAACACTTAGCAACCTTGTATAACTAAGGGTAGTAGTAGAACTATAGTTTTATACGCTGCCGCACCTATTAATAAAT